ATTTTCTACATATTGAAAGTTAGATAGTATTCACATCATTCTATCACTTGTAGCAAAAATAGAAATTAAGAAACTATTCAATGTTGAGCAATATGTTCTTAGCTCCCACAAGGGTACCTGAAATTGAAAGTTAATTTGCAGCCTTTTGGTACCATCAAAATGGATATAAATAATATATTTATGAAAAAAACTGACATCACAATAATTAGGATGTTTGTATATTGTTTACTTAATTAAACTTAGTACAAAGACTCCTATAAGGGTTTATTTTTTATTAGCATGTAATTTTTTCATGGTATACTATCTCATTGTCTGAACTATTATGTTAAACTATTTAAGCATGTATAATCAAATTATAACATTTGGTTTTGATAAGGACTCTGTACACTCAACAATGACAATAGTGATTACCTTAATTTTACCTCTAAAAGACTAAAAGCAAGTATTCACGTCTTTTAAATTACTATAGTTCATGCTAATGGAGTTTTTATCCTTATAACATCTATGTTAGCCTAAGAGATTTTAACATCCTCAAAAATATCAAGGATAATGTTAGAAGTATATTCAACAAACTTATTGATTTACAAGTGAAGAACCACCTCAAGAGAGATAAAACTATTATCTTGGATTTACGATTATGTGACTTGATTGATTCCAAGGTGATTCAACTTACTTATAAGAGCAAATTGTATTCATCAACATTTATGAATAACCTTTATTCACACAATACAAATGAAGATTAATGTGGTGATGTTCAATATCCTACTAAAAGTCATTGTTTTGATTGATAAATCTTTCTTTCATGGTCTGGATCCTTATGAGTAAAGGTTTTGTTTTGAGAAGAGTAAGAAAATGTGTCAATATAAAAGCTAGTGTCTCTATCATTGAATTTCATTAAAAGGGGGAATGCACCAAGCTTTCAAACTTGGAAGGCTGCATCCTTGGAATTTAAATAAGACTTGATGGATTCATGCATGATTTGTAACCATATCGAGCACATCTTATCAATAGAAATAAGTACTTTGATACAAGTGTGAGAGTCTTTCTAATTGAGACTATTAGTTTCCTTTTATCCAAGATGACAACCTTCATGTTTATCTTGAGCACTCACATCTTTAAGTCTCCAAGTTTCTTTGGCCTCTTCTTCATCAACTAGACATTATTCAACACTTGAAAAGTTGAATCCAAGCTCATACATATGTTTAACCCCAAACTTAAGTGCAAAAAAAATAAAAGTGAAAAGCATAATAGTGTAAACCACCATGAAATTACACGTGGCATGACTAAGAATAGTGAAAGTGGACTCTATATAACAACACTTAAACCCTTTACTTCATCCTTTGATAAATTTGAGTAGCACACCAATAACTTCATATATACAAACATCATTAGACTTCGAGAGTATGATAATAGTGACCAATGAATTCTACCTAGGGGGCAACTGATTACTAGAACGAGGGCCCAACAAGTCTTTGATCTAAGGTAGTTTTAAGTTTAAAATTAAGATAAAATTATAAACAATAGTTTGCCCTTAGAACTTGATTAAAAAAGTTAGTTTCCTTATTGTTCAAGAATTATAGTGATTGGTCTATGAATATTGCTCCTATGGGTATTTGAATGATAATTTCTAAGAAAATATAATGATGTGCACATAGATTGGATGATGAGATTTGAAATTATTATAAGTGTAATGAGAGACTCTTATTGTTGAGGATTACCACTAAATAAGATATCAAGTCACTCAACTCAAGAACAAGAAGTACCTATGTAATGGGAAGGTCTTATATCATTGAAGCCATGTGAGGAGTAGTAACGCCCTTGCAACAATAATCTCTAAACTTCTACCTTGAGGATAAAGTGTTTTTTTATAAGGGGGTAATGGTGAGACTCCAATAGGCCTAACTTATTATATGTCAAAAAGGGGGCTCAAAGGGTTCCATTACCTACTCTCGAATGGACAACACAACCTTTTAAAGTGAGGACTTGGGGAGGAGGAAAAATGTTTTTTCTCTATAAGAGGGAAAAATGCATTAAGGCTCAAGTCGGAGGCGAAATGGAACATCAAAGAGTTATTCTAGGACAGATGTGGTTGAGGGAGAGTAGGCGACCTCTTGAACATCCCTAATGACTGTAGGGTTCTTCAAAGCCCAACCTATATTTTCTACTATTTAATCTTCATTTTCCATCTCTATCCTATATGTTTTCTATTGTAGTTGTATGCTGGGATTTAAGATTTTCTCAAAGTACTTGTGTGTATCAAATAGGGTAATTTCCTTGACATACATAGGCCATCAAATAGAAAGAAGTGTAGAGAGTGATCTTTTACAAGGGTGCATCATTTTTTATTAACTAGTGAATACCTTGTCATTGACCAAGCCTAAACATTCATTAACTAAGCAATCATTTAGGCTAAAGTTAACTTTGGTCAATCATCAATTTTAAAATAGCAATTATGGGTGAATAAATAGATGAGTGACATTGGAGAGTGGTGAGTGAGGGTGAATAGTTGTTGTTGAAGAGAGTTGGTGACTTAACTTTAACATGGAAGATAGCAAAATTCAGCTATGGATACACAACATGATTTTTGGTAAAGAAATTATATTGCAACTTCAACCCTTGAATCCATAAAGATTTGTGAGATGATCTTGAATCCATACAATCAAAAGGATTATCTTTATTGTACAAAAACAATTGAATCTATAAGTAATAATTTTATAATCTCATAAGAAAGAAAGCTTGTAATACTTAAAAAATATATTGTGGTTATAATGTAGGTGAGATATTTTCGGAAAAAAATAGATTTTGAAATATAAAACTTAACCTGAAACAAAATCTAAATGACTTTTTGAATAAGAAAAATTGAAAAAGAAACAAAAACAAGCTTTACCAGATAAACTAGGTCTAACTTAGTGTTCTCTTAGGCCCACTTTTTAGCATTCTCTTTTTATTTAGGGCAACATTATGTCTAACGTATAGGTATAATATTATCATGTTAGTTCCTAACTTATGTTTCTGCATAGGATTAATAGCCATATTTTTCAATAAGCGATAAAGCACATATGCTGGTAAATTTCTAAGTGAATATGTCTAGTGACATTAATTCAATGTCAATACAATAACAATTTCCCTAGTAAATGAGATAATTAGCTGTAAAGACTAAAAATAGTGCATCATTATGCAATGAATGAGGCATATCCTTTTCAGGTTTGGTGTTGGCGATCAGGATAAGCTCCAAATAAATCCTCATAATCGGAAGTCCGACTCGGACCGTTTCGACCCGGACGATCTCTCTATGCCTATCGCTTCCTTCCGGTCCGGGCTCGCCGGGAACCCCGCCCGTGGTAGCCGGGGACCAAAACAAAGGAGAGATCTTGGAAAATCTCCCTCTCACGTCCTCATCGCCTGGCAGTCCAAAAGTCCGCCCTTTTTCTACTCAGCACTTTCCGTTCGCCGCCTCCGCAGGGGGGGAAGGAGGGCCCCGAGTGCTCTCTCGCGCGCTCGCGCATCGTCTATCCTTTTCGATCTCTTTCCGGGTCTCGAAGAAGCTAGGTCACCGCCCATGGATGCTATCGGGGGGGCGATCCTTCCTTCTACGTCGGCGGAGGTCTCGCCCGCCGTCCGCCGGTCGCCGGCGCCGCCAGTGCCGAGAGCGTCGCGTCTCTGGTGTAGATACTCTAGGGGAGTCGGAAATTTTGAGGTGTTGCGAATGAGCGCGCAGAGGTGCGGGTGCAGGGTCCGATCTCTCGATAGGGAAGTATCCGGCGGGAGCGCAGGTGAGGAGGGAGCGTTGGCGATCGGTATAAGCTCCGTCGGGGACGACAGACCGGCTTCTCCTATTGAGGTCTGCGGATATATATGCTTATCTCGACTCCCGTCACGAACTTTCGTGTGCATTAATTTACGGCGATCTTCGGGGCAGAGGATTTGACGGTTTTGAGGTCGTTTCTTTGTCGATGTTGTTTATTGCCCCGCGTTGCACAGAGCGTGACAGTTTCTTCCTGGTTTTATACTTCTCCGTGTTACCGCGTTCGACATCGGTGCTTGCAAAGCTCTGAACTCGACAGCTAAGAACTGGTTTCATACGTTCCTACATCACAGGAAGCGCCTCGATATGCACGTATTCATTTTCTGATGGAAGATTGACGTGTTCTTCCTTTATTATCGGGTCAATGCAAATGGAAAAAACGTGGTCACGATGTTCTTGCCGACCAACAAAAGAACAATTTTCTCCACGTGATTCATTTATTTTCCTGTCTTATATCTGTTGACCAGATTTTTATCGTTAATCAAGCCAAAGCTCAGTTTACAGATGAACAAAGAAAGGTAGGAGCAAGAATTCTTGCCTAATGCGTGTTGTGCTGTAGAGCCCGGAATTATGTATTATTAGTAGAACGATGGCGCTTGCCCTTTCAATCCTGGGCGTTTTACTAGAGGAGAAGTGCCACATGTTTAAGGGTGACTAAAAGTGCTTAGAGTGACGACACACGTCAGACTATGAATTGATTTGTATGTGAAATATAAGTCAAAATCTGGAGAACGACTTAAAAAGTATTGTCCAGTTTGAACCTTTTGGTGTTTGAGTCCTTTTTTATGTTGACTTGTTCATCCCGAGACAACTTTATAGTTGCCTTTATTCCTTTGCAAATTGAGCCCAGCTGGCTTTCGCTCATGGGAAAGGTTGCATTTAGTGTAAATGAATTTTGAAGATGATTTCCAAGGTTTCAGCCTCGTTATGCATTTAGAATTTTTTTGATGCTCTCCCAGTGTGCGTTGACTTTTTTTCATATCTTGATGATCGGCTTTCATGATGTTTATGCGCGTTATAAGTTAGATGGGATTCATGAAGGAAAAAAATCTCAAATCTTCATAGATCTTGACAAGAATCATGGACAATCTGTTGACTCCAAATGTGCTTCCGTGTGCTTCTGTCATCCACTTTCGAGGGCCATCATGGATTTTAGGCTTTGAAGAGAGGAACTACAGGAACTCTATGATATTGGATGATATGGGATCCTAACTTCCCAACAAAGAAAGTTCGTTCGAGCTGGCCTAAATCACGCACTCCTAAAGGCCTACCATATTATATGACAGTATGCTCTCGAGTTTCTGAGCTTTGATTTTATCCCACGACTGGGAGGGGAATGGGTCCTAAAGTGGTCTATAATGTCTCAAACCAGACCGGATATGTACTGTGTAGTTTGTTTGAGAGCTCATTGATGACATTAATTCCAGTTTGTTCCTGTTTCCTTTTTCAAACGTTTTGGTAAGTATTAGATTCAAGGGTCTCAATTTATAAGGTATTGTTGAAATCATTTTCTGTCTCGGTTCTTGATGTATACAAAATTCTTGATACTAGTTGCAAAATTTATCTGTTAATATCAATTTTTTTGTTTCTCATTCTATCTAAATTTGAAGAACAACTCAAGTCAAAATGGTAGCCTTGCGAGAGACCCTGATGAGAAACCGGAGCAAGAAACATCGAATTTTTCTGTTAGTGGAACAAGCGGAGGGTCCAGAGCAGGGCTTTTCCGAACACCAATCTCTGGTGGTGTACAAAGTGCGACATCTGCTCACAGGTTGCCACACCCAGCCTTGGCAGTTCGAAATCTAATGGAGCAGGTAGAATCCCTGGTCAATGGCATTTATATTTGTCATCGTCTCTTCTCTGCTCTTGAATATATATATTTTTTACTCCATATCTGATATTCCTAGGCCAGATTTGCTCACCTGTGCACCACAATGTCTCGGATGCATCACCGGAGAGAGGGATATCCTTTTGGTTCGTTAGTTGATTTTGCTACAGACTCAATGGGCCGTAAGTTGTCTTCGATTTTAGTTTAGTTTTCTTATCAGTGCAAGATGTATTTTTATTCGATCAGAGTGCTTTTCCTATGCAGATCCAATTTTTTCTCTTTCGCCATTGGCTATCCACACGCGGAACCTGCTGACAGATCCTAGATGTACACTTGTTGTGCAGGTGGATTTGAGTATCTGTTTGCCTTAATTTCCTCTTACAATATGATACTATGCTTCTCAAGTAGAGACTTAATCCCGCTCTGTGCTGAAATTGTTGAACTGTGTAGATTCCTGGATGGAGTGGGCTATCCAATGCACGTGTGACTATATTTGGCGATATCTTCCCTCTTTCGGATGATGAACAAGTTAGTATATCGCTGTATGAACTTTTATTAATGATGAAATAAATTATGAGATTTGCTTCTTCTCTAGGTTGAGGCTGCACAGCCCCAAGTGAATCTCTTAAATGTTTTGTTCATCTCTCATTCGAGGGATGGTTTCTTGGTGCTTTTATTAAAGATATATTGCTTGAAAACTTTGGGAATTGATTCGGGTGTGAATTCGGAAGAAACATGAAGTCTCTGTATCTCGAAATCATCAGTTTCCTTGATGTATGATGATCCCCAACGGGTCTGATAACGGTATTCATGAACAAATGAGCTTTCTAATGGTTTTTAATCTGTTTTGACTCGTCTTAGATGGTAGCCTCGTGGGATATGTTCTTCAACGATGTTATGCTTTACGGCGCTCAAAGATTCTGGTGCTCATTTTCTTCTGATCTGTTCCATCAGGAATGGGGCCATAAACAGTACACCGCAAAACATCAGCAATGGGCGTCGCAGCAGTGGGGCAACTTCTATTATTATCGGATGCAAAATATCAGGTTTTCACTTGATATTCTTTAGAAAGATCGTGATCTCTTTATGAAATATTTCTCGATTGCTGACTTTTTTCCCATCTCATTTTCGGTAAATATTTTAGTAGAAAAACGTTTGGTGCCCAGATAATCAAACCAAATCCTTGGACTGACAATTAATCATTTCAACTTAATTTATTCATCTCTTATCATTTTGACTTCAAATTTTTAATTGAACTAATTACCTGAAAATTTCAAGCAAGTGAATACCCTGAAAAAATAAATGGAAGGAAATTTTCATTCTAATACTAAGGTCTGCTATTCCCAGTGACATTTACTTCATCGGAGGGTTTGGCACTGTAGCATGGGTTGATGTGAAGGATTACGAATCAATTCGACCCGACAAGATCGCTGTTGACGGTGGGGAGCGAAATCTGAAGGTGGGCTTTCAGATTCTAGCTTTCACGTTCGTTATTTTCTCAGAGGGAGAACAGTACTAATCTCCCGGGATGTCTCTTCCCCTATGACAACAGGAACTGAATGCCATCTTCTCCAAGCCCCTTAGAAAAGTTCTGTCCTTGGATGGGGAGATAGACGATGCGGCTCTCATATCAATTGACAGCAAAGGCACGGATATCCGTGTCCGGCAGGGAGCGCAGGTATCTAAGACTCTTCATTTCATGCCCTTTAATCTAAAATTGAAGCCTTTCTTAATTAATCTAGACAGGAAGAAACCCATCATGATCAAATGTTTGTGATCTCTCCGTCCTATGCGCGTCAAACAAGTTCCTTCAGGGTTGTAATTCGTGCGATGTTGTTGGTTTCCTTGGTAAATTGTGAGAGAAAGCCTCTGAGACCAGGATCACATCTCCTGTTCTTCAAAATTCTGAGCTGTATGGGTGTAGAAAACCGATTTCAATGAAGCGGGTGCTGACGCAGTGGAAGATCTACTGAGGGTTTATTTATCTGATAATTTTGCATATAATCTTTACTTAATGCGATATGGTTACAGTCATCTTCGTCGGATCATATCATTTGCATCCATATGTTCTCATGTTCATAGCTAATTAACCATTTTATAATCTTATGATCTTGGGACCTCTCTGCGGGCGCCCGTCTGTTGTCATGCAGTTCAACGTTCAGAGGATATCTTTCGAGGAAGATCATGAAGTTGAGACGGTGGACGAGGCCAAAGCGGCGCTTCAGAAAATAATCAACCGCTGTTACAGGTCGAAGACGCACAAGAGGAGCTGAGCGCTGTTCTGCCGGCTGACGGCCACCACCCTCCTCCACTGGGAGAGAGAGAGAGAGAGAGAGAGAGAGAGAGAGAGAGAGAGAGAATAAGATACGCGGGTTCCTTCTGGGTGTAATTTCTGCACTGGTTTTCATGGTTTGAAGTGAAACCTAGCTCGGGCTTTTATCTGGGTTCGGATCGAATCGAAGCCATGAATGCGACCATGGCACTCCTGATGAATGAGCTGGTTGGAGGTGTTTGCTGGGTGGCTCTATTATCTGTAGTTGGTACCGATGTCGTTGAACTATATATATTTTTTATGATTGAAAAAATATAGTCGATAATTCGGGATATTTATGTGGACTTGGGAACTCCTTCGAATAATGGATCTTCTCTTCGAGGAAGATGCGACGAGATATCCTCTTCGAATAAATTAATCAACTTGGGTCTTGCTTTTCCTTTTTTTCCCCCCTGCAAAATCATCAACTTGGGTCTTTCAATATGCGGGGGATTGAGGTATGTACGGCGTTTTAATTGTGAAAGATCTTGAGAAGGATTGATGGTGCGAGAGAGAGACATAGAAAGAGAAAGAGAAAGAGGGGTTTGGAGATGTAATTGGTCCAGTGTGCGGGGGGAAAATGGCGGGGAGGAGGCGGAGAGGAATCCGGTTAAGGGAGCTGTACGCCTTCTCCGGCGGGCGATCGCCGGCGGTGGCAGGTGGGTACTCGAGGGAGGTGCACTGCAACGCGCCGGGGGAAGCGGGAGGCCACGGGTACGCTGGGAATAAGATTTCCACCACCAAGTACACTGTGGTGAATCTGGTGCCCAAATCTCTGTTCGAGCAATTCCGGAGGGTGGCCAACGTGTTCTTCCTCGTGGTGTCGTGCGTCTCCTTTACCCCGCTGGCGCCGTACAGGGCCGTGAGCGTACTGCTGCCGTTGGTGGTCGTCGTGGGGGCGACCATGGCCAAGGAGGCCGTCGAAGACTGGCGCCGCAAGCAGCAGGTCGAGATCTGGCTGAACTCTGCAGTATTCTGTGATCCGTTGTTCAAGTTTTTGTGCGAATTTTTGACCAAACTCTGCCTCCAAAGTATTCGGATCTCGGTTTGCTCCGGAATCTACCTTCTGGTGTTTTCCTTGATTGAATTTATTCAAGCTGTCGTATAATCCCTCCATAACCGCTCGATAGGTTCCTGGTTCTCTCAGCGAAAACCAAGTTTCCCATTAAAAAAAAAGAAGAAGATTTCAGCAAAATCAGCCCCAATCTGGCTCTAATCTGATGTCATGAGCCTGACCAGACTGAAACCGGCTGATTTGATGTTGACTATCCGACCTCAGAGCAACCAGATCAGTTTAGGACTGCAGCAGCCCGAAATTGGGTGGACATCTACGCTGGTCTGTCATTGTTTCTGGAGGGATTACCCTTGGGAAGGCATCTGCTGAAGATGATGCATCTTATCTTTCTTCCATTTTTTAAAATCAATTAGCTATGATTCTTTTTTTTTAACGTTCTGTTCTGAGATTTTGTTTCCCCCCCGGAATTAACCGACCCTATCAGTCCAGATCCATATTGGTCGGTGCCAATTCGAGCACCGTTTCTGTTCAGTCTTCCTCGACGCACACTGCCCATGATGAGTAGCATCATGGTTCTTTCCTTCTGATCGTCACGATTATCAGGAGAGAGATTATAAAATACCCATTGGAGTCTCACAGTGTGGAGCTCCAAGTGGGCAGGGTTGTATGGTGATATTGCTTATTTCTATCATTTTCTGACCAATGTTCGTCATTTACCAGCATTATGTCTTCCCTCTTATGATACCATATTAGAGAAACTGATCTGTAGCTACACTGATATTTTTATCAGTGGATGTTTTCTGTTAGTGGGTTCAATGTGCCTTTTTGCCAGAGATCTCTCATTGTTGCCTCGGCTAAATAGCTGACAACGAAGAACTCAGGTCGCCTTAAAGTGTTCATAATGATGGTCAAACTCCGAATTTCTCGCAGGATGTTGAGGTCAACAACCGGAAAGTCAAAGTGTGTCGTGAGGATCAGGCTTTCCACCAAACGGAGTGGAAGAATATCCAGGTAGGAGATATTGTCATGGTGGAGAGAGACGAGTTCTTCCCTGCTGATCTGCTCTTGCTTTCATCAAGTTACGAAGATGGGATCTGCTACGTTGAAACCATGAACCTTGATGGGGAGACAAACTTGAAACTTAAGCAGTCTTTGGAGGCGACGACACCGTTTTGTGAGGAGGACTCGTTCCAGAGATTTAAAGCACTAATCAAGTGTGAAGACCCAAATGAGAATCTCTATTCCTTCACTGGGACAATGCACCATGAGGGTTTACAGTATTCTCTTTCGCTTCAACAGCTTCTTTTACGAGATTCCAAGCTTCGGAACACTGATTATGTCTTTGGCATTGTAATTTTTACTGGACATGAGACGAAGGTCATGAAGAACGCCATGGAAGCTCCCTCCAAAAGGAGTAAGATCGAGAGGAAGATGGACAAAATCATCTATGTTCAAATCAGCGTCCTTATTCTCATTGTTTCCATTGGGTCTGCCTTTTTTGGGATTGAAACCAAGAAAGATATCAATGGTGAACCATTTCAGCGATGGTATCTCAGACCAGATGACACATCTGATTTCTTTGATCCTAATAAAGCTTTTTTGGCATCTTTTTTCCATTTTATGACGGGGCTTATGCTTTACGGATGCTTCATTCCGATTTCGCTGTATATCTCTGTAGAAATCGTAAAGGTTTTGCAGAGTACATTTATTAATAAAGACCGGGAGATGTACTATGAGGAAGCTGACAAGCCCGCGCGTGCTAGAACGTCAAATCTGAATGAAGAACTTGGTCAGGTTGACACCGTATTGTCTGACAAAACTGGCACGTTGACCTGCAACTCAATGGAATTTGTGAAGTGTTCTATAGGTGGTATTGCATATGGTGATGTAGAAACAGAATCACTAGAGAAAAACCCCCATCATCAGGATCCTGATTATTGGGGATATTATAAAGACAGTCACTGTGACCAGAATAATTCTATCAAAGGTTTCAGTTTTAGTGATGCACGCTTGATGAATGGAGAGTGGTCGAAACAGCCCCATTCAGATATAATACAGAAGTTCTTCCAAGTCCTAGCGATATGCCATACCGTTGTACCTGAAGTGAAAAACGAGAGCACAAAGATCCTATACGAAGCCGAGTCTCCAGATGAAGCTGCATTTGTCATAGCTGCTAGGGAGCTTGGCTATGAGTTCTATGAAAGGACCCAGACAAGCATCTCCCTGCACGAGTTTGACCCTAGGATTGGACGAAAGGTTGATAGGTCCTCTTTTGTGCACCTCTCTCTAGCAAAGTTTTTTATTATTATTATTTTTTACTTACCAATGTCCCTTGCACAAAAATTGTTTATAATGCGTAATCTCATACCCAATGGTTGCAAATTTCAGGACATACAAAATTCTCAACATCATAGAATTCACTCCTTCTCGCAAGAGAATGACAGTAATTCTGAGGAATGACGAAGGTCAACTGTTGCTTCTATCTAAGGGAGCAGACAGGTATGCTGTGTTTGTGATGCATTTCTAGCGTAAGAAGCTTCTGAAACGTTTGAAGTCATCATGTCATCGTGTACTTAAATGCTGTCTCAGTGTCATGTTTGATCGACTTTCTGAGGATGGGCGTGCTTCTGAGGCCAAGACCAGAGAGCACGTCAACCGATACTCTGAGGCTGGGCTGCGAACTTTGGTCGTCGCATACCGTGAGCTGAGTGAAGAAGAGTACAGAGAATGGAATGAGATGTTTGAAAAGGCCAAGAACTCAGTCAGCGACAATCGTGGTGATCTGGTGGACGCCGCAGCTGATATTATCGAGCAGAATTTGATTCTCATAGGTGCCACAGCAGTTGAGGACAGGCTGCAAAAAGGGGTAACTATTCTTGCAACAGTGTTCACTGCTTTCTTTGATCTTCTTTTTTTTCATGTTTTTATGGGTTTGCCTGACATAATCATGGAAAGCTCTGCATTCTCGTTGCATGCCACTTGTAATGTAGAGGAAAATGCGTGTGCAGTGTCTTCCTTAGAAGAGATTCATACATCATTTCTCACTTTTTTTTTTCATCTGGGCTGTAGATGCATGGTACTGTACTTGGGCTATGGTCCCGAAACATGGGCACTGTTCTTAATCATGCTTATTGTAGGTTCCTGAATGCATTGAGAAGCTTGTTCAAGCTGGAATCAAGATATGGGTGTTGACCGGCGACAAACTGGAAACTGCAGTAAATATTGGGTACCCACTTAGATTTCTTTTTCTGTTTGAACCGGCGGGTGGCAATTGTCTGATATGTGCAGAAAAATGCAGATTCTCTTGTAACTTGCTGAGGAAAGATATGAAGTTAATCATGATCACTTTGGACAAACCAGATATTGTCGCTTTGGAGAAACTCGGGGACAAGGAGATCATAGCTAAGGTATGTGAACTCTAGACCTCTCAAGGGAACGCATGCCTTATAAGGTCAACGCCTCATCTTTCTGATTTCTCTGAGAATCTGCTGTCTGTCAGGCGTGTTTTAAGGACATAGAAAAGCAAATCTTCAATGCAAGGGCTGAAGTTCGTATGGCAGGAAGCCGTGATGTCCTTGGTCTTGTGATTGAAGGCAAGTCTTTGACTTTTGCTCTCGCTGTCGACCTGGAGAAGTCGTTCTTAGAGCTAGCACTTGGCTGCACGTCAGTCATCTGCTGTCGAACCTCCCCAAAACAAAAAGCTCTGGTAATATTTATCATTAACTTAAAAGGTTCTCATGATCTTGGTGGTGCAGTTTCTGTCGCCGCAAGAATATTCTGATTGGGAGCCTGAAAGGTCTGTAGGTTGCTAGATTGGTGAAAAAGGGTACAGAGGGAACAATACTGGCTGTTGGTGATGGGGCAAACGATGTCGGGATGCTTCAAGAGGCTGATATTGGAGTTGGGATTAGCGGAGTCGAGGGGATGCAGGTACATACATATATGCGCCATTGCCAGGTCTAAAAGGTGTATTCATATGTTCAATTCTACATAAATTTACTTGATTATATTTACAGTGGGAGTTTGGTCATGTTATTGGGTTCATGAAACTTCTTTCTTAAAAAAAAAAAAAGAAAAAGAAAAAAGAAAAAAAGAAAAAAAGGAGGCAACCTGGAATGCTCTGTTTTTCCAGCGAGATGAAACGGTTGCTGTTTGAATGCAGGCCGTCATGTCCAGTGACTTCGCGATAGCTCAGTTTCGATACTTGGAGCGTCTACTGCTCGTCCATGGCCATTGGTGCTACAGAAGAATCGCCGCCATGGTGAGATTCCTCCGAGTTGGAGATCACTGAAGGATTCTGGCGTTGTTTCTCATGGATGGTTGACCCCCTGGGACCTTGCCCTCTTTGCAGATTTGCTACTTCTTCTACAAGAACATCATGTTCGGGTTCACCCTCTTCTGGTACGAAGCTCACGCCTCCTTCTCGGGGCAGCCGGCCTACAACGACTGGTATATTTCCTTCTACAACCTCGCCTTCACCTCCCTCCCCGTGATCGCCCTCGGCGTCTTCGACCAAGACATCCCCGCGAGCATCTGCCTGAAGGTAACCCAGTTACTCAAAAGCGAAAAGAAAAAGAAAAAAAGATGACCCAACTCAGGATTTCTTTCCTCCATCTCTGTAACCCCATCTCCTTCGCAGTTTCCTTCCCTGCACCAGGACGGCGTGAAGAACATATTCTTCAGCTGGCGCCGCATCTTGGGCTGGATGGTCAACGGAGTCTGCGGCTCCCTGATCATCTTCTACCTCTCTACGAATATAATCCTCCCGCAGGCGTTTCGGAAGGACGGCTCCATTGCAGGGGCCGAGATCCTCGGCGCCACCATGTACACCGCCGTCGTTTGGACGGTGAATTGCCAGATGGCCCTCTTCCTCAACTACTTCACTTGGATCCACCATCTCTTCATCTGGGGAAGCATCGTATCCTGGTACGTGTTCCTGGTGGTCTATGGATCTCTCCCCACCACCATCTCAGCGTCGGCGTATCAGGTCTTCGTTGAAGCCTGTGCGGCGAGCCCGCTCTACTGGTCGGTCACCTTCTTCACCATGGCCTCTGCCCTTGTGCCCTACTTCCTCTTCTCCGGCCTCCAGACCACGTTCTTCCCCAGGTGCCATGACCTGGTTCAGAGAGCACACTTGGACGGCCTCTATGAACACCTGATCAGAAAGACGATAGTTCCTCCGCCATTATCATCTTCATCATCATGATCATTGATGTTATGCCCACGATCTTGGGTGCTCTGCACATTAATGTTTTGGCTATTTCTGTGAAACCAACAAGTCAACGCTCCGATTGAAGTCGCCCTCCATGAACACTTGATCAGAGAAAAGGTATCACCTCCACCGTTGTCATTATGATCATTAATGTTATGCCCACAAATCTTGGGTGCTGTGCGCGCGTTGACTATCTCTGTGCAAGCAACAATTCGATGATTGAAGTTGTTGCGAAGCCTCTCACTGTTCTTGATGATGTGTCCTGGTGGATGAGATCGAAACTCTTCGGTTTGTAGTCTTGGTGGTTTTTCCTGCTCAGGGTGTCATCAGTTGTTGGTAGTGGACCATGACCGGAGCTTCTTCGATTGGATAGAGGAAAAGATGAGGTCAACGGAGTAGTTGAAACGCCCACAGCAAGTTGTTTCTCGTGGTTGGTCATTGACCTAGAGGCGTGGTTGGTTTTGTTTCTGGAACAGGGTCTGATAAGGATTGCTTGTCCAGATCGATGTTTTCCAATCTTGTCTTAATTTATCATCTCGGAAGCAGCAATATCCTCAAAATTATTGCTATTTCTTTCCGATCTCGGTCAACGGCTCAGTGAATTATTGCTTTTTTTTTCTTTGGGGTCGGATACTGTCACAGAAACCATACCCAAAGACAGCTTAGACAAGGAATAGAGGAGCAGGATCCGGGTTTGACTTTGGACCCCAGGTCAGAAGGCACAGGAGGTATTCTAGATGCAGTGGTTCTCCCAGAGACAGGGCAAAGCGGCCCAGGTCAACGCGGTAACGTTCTAGAAGCATGTTATGATCCAGGGGGAGCTCAACGAAGCTTCATCTATGTAGGGCTCCAAGTTACGAAATCAATATACAACTATATACGCGTAAAAATCGATTCGAGGGAGAAGCTATTTGGAAGGTTCCTAAGATCCTTGCGCCATTTCTTCCACCGCAAGAGAAGGCGGGCCCGGCGGTAGGAAACCCAAGGATCCGACCTTCCTGCGACGGCGACATCATCTCGAGTGTCCGAAAGACCGGCGGAACACGTGTCATGGCCTCATCATCATTAACTTGGATCGTCCACGCGTTAGCATGGCGGCGGCCGTTGCGGGTATGACATCATCTGCACGTGGTGCCATTGCCTTCCTACCCAAGCGAAGCAGTGCGTCATGGCGCACGAACGGGGGAGACGGTGAGGGCACCTCTCGCCTTCCACACGTATCGCCGTTCTTCGGCGCTGACAGCTCTCACTTTTAAATAGACCCCACGATTGGAGGTCGTGCAGTTGGCTCCATTCTTTCTACAAACAAACCCTCGGTTGCGTCAGAGGATCGAAGAGAAGAGGAGGAAGAGGAAGAGGGGAGATCAGGTTTCGGAGGGATGGAGACGACGGTGACGCTGCCGCCTCGGGGAGCGGAGGGGGACGAGGAGGTGACGCTTGCGGCGCCGAGTTTCCGGAGGATTTCAATCGATTGGGAGGGGAACGACGGCGGCGACCGTGGCGATGGCGATGGCGACGATGGCGACGATGGCGACGATGGCGAGGAGTTCGAGTTTGCAGTTCCGGCGTCGGTCTCCTTCGAGGGGATTCGGCCTGTTTCTGCCGAGGAGATCTTCTCCAACGGCCGGATCCGTTCCGTCTATTCCCTCCACGATCAAGCGCTGGTGTTTGAGGGCGGCGAGTTACAGAGATCGGAGAGCGTCGGAGCGGCGGAGAAGGCTGTCGTCGGATCCGCCTTGCAGAAGCTCGCGATAGAGGATAGGGCGGCTACTGATCCGCCGTCGACGTCGTACTCGACGGCGTCGTCGGATGCGGCCGATCTGGAGGGGATCTCTGCGAACAGTTACTGCCTGTGGACTCCATCGTCGGCGCCTTCTCCAGATATGCGGAGGAGGTCCCACTCCGCGGGTGAGTCGAAGAGGTGGCGCCTCCGCGATCTCGTCATCGGCCGCAGCCAGAGCGACGGGAAGAAGAAGTTCATCTTCTTGGAGTCGCATCACTCCTCTGTGGAGGTTGCCGAGAAGAGGAACAAGGAGCGACACGACGGCAAGTCCGAGCCGCCGTCGAAGTCGCCGGCGGCCGGAGAGGAGAAGAAGAAGAAGGGGGGAGTCAACCGCCCCGGCAAGGCATTGGAGATGGACATGGTGACCGCCCACCGGGTTTTCTACTCCAAGGGGGCGGCTGCGGCGGGGGATCGCCGGCGATCTTACCTCCCCTACCGCAGCAATCTGGTCGGCTTCTTCCCCAACTCCAATGGCGGCGCCCACCCCTTCTAAGCTCCCTCCTATACCACCGCTTTTCCCCCCTCTCCTGCAACCAAAACCCTAATGTTAGTAATCTCAGAGCCTGTAAACCTTCCCCCAATCCCTCTGTAAATTTGTTCTCCCGGTGTTGACAATCTTTCAGAAAACACAACACACTGAATTCACACGATCATCATCCACAAAGCAGCGAACAAACAGGCTGAGCAAGATGCGACGTCATATCTCAACGAAACCAGAAATTATCTCGAACGGATTCAATCCCGAATAATTTTCCAACCGCGGTTGGACCAAGACCCTCTCGTCTTCCGAGAAAGTCAACGGCACCGACGACCATCCCGCCTCCGAACTACGCGTAGCAGCGAGGCTCCCCCCACCGCCGCCTCTCCTGAGGGCTCCACCACCATCGCCGCCGCACTATCTACAAGCCCGACTCGGTCAACCGCCCGGAAAATATGAACATCCCCACCCCTCCTCCCATGAAGGAACGACGATAAGACCTAGCAACTCCACCCACCGATCGCCTCTCTCTCTAACTTCTGTCTGAAAAGGACGCGGATCCCAGTAATGAACACGCAGTGATCGTTCAAACATATTGACTTTTGACCGCCTATGTGAAAGGGGTGCCGAAAAGCAGCCTCATTGCCAACCCACGTGGAGACCAAACGGATCTCGTTGTCCGGTCGATCGTCGGGTCGAGGTCACAGTTGAAAAGAAAGCAATTGGTAGCTGAATTAATGGCGGCGCGAAGACCAACTGCATTTGGATCACGTGGGAATGGGGAGAGGTCGAAGAAGCGCAAAAGCCCAGGCGGTAACTTCACGCTAGATGAAGTAGCCCAGGAAAGGGCGGGCGCTTGCAACTGAGAAGAAAGCTCCCATTTTTTCTAATTATCTCAATATTCATGAAATTGTTCATTAATCACCTTCTCTCTCTTGTACATATTGGGCCAGTTTTAACTGTCCCCCAGGCTAATTATCGATAAACCCCCTCATTTCTATACATTGACAAAGCACTCCCCAGAAACTCTCACCGGCTTCCAGTACTCCGCATTTAATTGAAACTTTGGTTAACCTCTAACCGTACGGTGAAAAGACAATACTACCCTTATACCCACATCTCTCTCTCTCTCTCTCTCTGTGCCTCCCAGCGACCCTTTCAGCAATACCATGACATTTTTTTTTATGTTTCAGAAGATTTGGACAACGTTACAATAATATTAACATAATATTCTAAGAATATGGTAAACAATTAACCACTGGGACCAGAAACAAATTTGAGGAAGGTTTTCTGGGGAGCAACGGATCGAGGCACAAAAATGAAGAGTTTTTTTTTATTTATCGATTGACCTAATTTCAGGGAAGCTAGAACCAAAAGGACCCAATTAGATAACTCATACTAGGGTTCATCCTTATTCACGATTGGCCAATAAGACAAATGCTAATAAGAAGAAGAAGAAGAAGCAGAAGAGATCCATAAAGGGATTATAAATCATGCACAAAATACTCACTGTTCCCTAATCTTCCTCTGGCTGGGCCTTATCTCCCTACCCTAATAATGCTCCTTTACCCAATCTAGGAAATAATCTTCATATCTGACAAAGAATTGAGACACATCCATACGCTTAAAATACTCATGTGGCATCCCAACGATTGGCCTGGCGGCGATCTTGTGGGCCAGATCGAGATGTGGATGCAGGGGCACACGGTCTCACAGAGTCTAAGCAGGAACAGGGTGCAAACCTGATGAATGCTGTAGATCGGCGGCATGCCTTCGAGCCCACAAGTCGTAATGTACGATCTCCTCCAGGCTTGGTTCGGCGACCAGGTCGTTCCTGTGGGCGTCACATGTCTTCTCCACGACCTTGAATATGTCCAGATAGCTGATCCTGGGAGCAGAAAAAATGTCCAGTTCTTGGGAAACTCGTTGCAGAGATTTGTTTCTTAAAATACGATGAATGCATGTTAAGTATTTGAGGAAATGAGCTCAGAGGATGTGATGGCATGGGGATGACTACTTTGATGCCTTTAATGGAATTTCTGGTACCATGAATGTATGCCAAATCGGGTAAAAAAACAAATGAATCTCTGCATGGATGTGCAGAAAATGAATCTGCACCGTTCGTATGGGTTTAGACATGAATCGTGAAAAGATGCAACGTACTTTTCATCAATAAACATCTCCACAGCTTTCTCATTGGCCGCACTGAGGACTCCGGTCATGGTGCCTCCAGCACGCCCAGCTGCATAGGCCAGATCCATGGACGGATACTTCACGTTATCTGGAGCCTTAAACGTTAGTGAACCCAACCTGAAAAATCAAATTATAAAATACCATAAGATTATCATATTAATTAGAAGGCTAGATTCATCTGGGTGTCACCAGGCAACATAACATTCAACTTCAGTTGCACATTTAGGGAAAGTAAGGCGTAATATTCTGTTCAAATCAACCAGATTCGTACCAGTCATAAAGGGATATCAACCATATTCTTTTCAGAAATAACAGGGAAATGGATCATGAGCATATTTTATCCTTCAAAAAGGTCAAAGTTGTACGCGGTGCCAATGACTTTCGATGGAACGCGTTATGAGATAGACATTGTCAATGCTCTTCCAGGAGAGAGAAACATAATGGGTACTTGGAATCATGAAAAGAACACGCCAATAGTTTCTTATGTTTTAATGCAGAACTATGGAACTAAACAGTGTTGACTAAAATAGATTTCTATCACAGAGTGGAGCAGCGAATGGGACTCCAAATCTGTTTATTATATAGAAGAGGGGCATACTTGCAGAGGTCAAGCCGAGGCCATGTGACTTCTGAGCAGTGTATTCTGTCTGGCCAAGATAGAGTGTACAAAATTGGCAGACGCATGTCAGGCCATCCCAGCTGAGCTAGAACTGATGAATCCTGAGAGAAAAACACAGCCTATCAGGAATTTGTGTTCATTGAATAATATTCCAATATAGATTATTTTCAATTTATTATTCTATTCCAATGGAGTGCATCCTCTTAGACAGAAAGAAATTTTCTTTGGAATACCAATTATTCCTTATCACATCTCCTACATATGGATGGGAGGGGGGGTTGGGGGGAGGGAAAGAAAGACCTGTGTCTCAATCATTGAATGTATGATGGATTGCGGATGAATCACGATCTCAATATTATCATATTCAGCCCCAAATAGATAATGAGCCTCGATAACCTCTAAACCCTGGTAAGAAAGAAAGAAAAAACTGGTGTTAACCACTGATGGAACGGTATGTAAGCAGCACAATAAAAAGGAAGAGAACCCTCGTCGTATATAACATTAATGCCAACTCTACACATTCTATCCATTTTATTTTTTCTCAATCCTGTAGTAGACCCAATACTACTATGGGATCTAACTTTAAGACTGATATTCATGAATGGTTGACATGATCTTTCTGACCACTAACCATATGGAATGGATATCGACTTGTACTCCCCCCGTCCACTATGAATGAAAAGCACCTTATTGAAGAGAGTAGCAGAATCCACTGTAATCTTCTTCCCCATGTTCCAGTTTGGATGTTTCAATGCATCAGCAACTTTCACTTCTTTCAACTTTTCAACGGGCCAATCCCTGCCAAGAAAACCATAAAATGAAGATATGAGACATTTCATACAGTGAAGTGAAGAACTGGTTTTTTGATATCTAGAGCTCTATGCTAAGACAATGATTGGACGGTAGGAAGCCCTCAAAGTGAGAAATATATTACGAGTAATATCACAGCTTACAGCAAGGTATCATTTGAACATCATTTCTTTGGAAATTATGAAAATATTCTTCCCTGAATTCACACAACGAATCCTGAATAGCTGAACCTCGTCTAATTATTTGAAATGTTTTAAATATTTTTAAAGTTTTTATCAATTACAGTTCGCACCTGAAGGATCCTCCTGATGCAGTTAAAATGATACCTCTGAGCGCTCCTTCAGGCAAACCTTGTATACACTGCAGAAAAGAGGGCACTATCAACAATTGACAATAAAAAGCGAGAATGGAAAGGATGAAGAGTTAGCACACATCTACTTCAGTATCATAAAAGCTCCAAACCTGAAATATGGCAGAATGTTCGGAATCTGCCGGAAGTATTTTAACGTTATACTTGTGAGCAAGGGGAAGTACGAAAGGTCCTCCAGCGATGAGTGTTTCCTTGTTTGCCAGCGCTATGTTTTTTCCTGCCTTAATTGCTGCTACAGTGGGCTGATGAAGCATCAAGAAAAAACAGGCAAAGTGTAAAGATACGTTTATTCGTAAGACCAAAGGAATTCACATCCTTATTTTTCGATATTCTTAATCATCACGTTTCTGGCAACCAGGATAAAGACGTTTAAACTACACAAGACTCTTAAACTTACATAAATACCAAAATTTCCCATTTGATTAGCGACTTCAAGGCAATTAACGAAATGTAAAATATGACCAAAGTGTACATGGTTAGGGAAAGTTCAAGAGTAACGTCGACTGTCAAGTACTAAGAAATTGAACGTTAACAGAAGGGGTTGGGGACCAGACATTGAACATTGATGGCCATCTTGGTGGGATCTTGTTTCTTTCGTACAGAGTTCTGAACTTGACTGTCAATAGTTCCTCATCAGAATAAATACATTGAAATAGGCCCTCTCACATTGCAACTACTCAGCAGCATCTGCAGAGATACGTGCTGGTCACATAGCTTACGAGGTACATGTTTTTCATGTAAAAATAGTTGCTTGATCAAGTATTTTATGATACTTTAAAATAACCGGAAACTCCAAAATTATTTGATCTCATTATTGGACTTTTCGCAATAATAGTTCAGAAAAAGAGAAATTCAAAATATATAATAGGATAAATATTGTAAGGAAACAAAAAACGGTATCAGTAAAACATAAACGGAAAGTTTTACCTTCAATCCTGCACAGCCTACTATTCCTGTAACAACAGTAATGGCGTCTGGATGGCGAGCGACCTGAAATTTTTGAACACATAATCCAGCCTATTAAATTGGATGCTAGTAATTCTAACCTGAGTAACAAGACAATGATAGAAATTTCAACTTGCCTCTATAATGCCCTCTTCTCCAGGGATGATTTCAGGTTTGTCATCACAATCAGCCAAAGCCTCTTTAAGTTCACCGACCAATGACTCATCTCTTACGGAAACCAACTGAGGTTTGAAGTTTTTCACCTAAAAGCAGGGAGATAACACGCGAATAACGAAATTTGATCAAATGAACTAATGTTTCAAATCTTAAGAGAAAAATATACCTGATCAGCAAGAAGAGCCACATTCGAACCAGCAGCAAGTGCAACAACCTTGAATTTATCTGGATGCTCAGCAACTATATCCAGTGTCTGCAAACAACATTTTAAAGATTTTTAATGGTTGAAAATGAGTATTCACGTTTAATTAAGGCTGGCATTGATTACCAAAAACTGTAACATCTTGTCAGAGGAAAATATTTTCAGACAACCTCCCAGACGATACCAAAACTTTTCAGCAGGAGTTCAGTATTCAAAACATTCAATAGGTTTCAAGGGGTGGATCTGATCTGGTCAGGCATCTGTTTTTTCAGGCAGATATTTATTGGACATCTAAAGGAATCTTTTACACGCTACATTACAAACGTTTACCAGTTTTAAACGGAAAATACTAGATACACTCGGAGATACCCAAGATAAGTCGAAAAATGAATATAGTTACCTGAGTTCCGATTGATCCTGTTGACCCCACAATAGAAATAGGCTTCGGACCATCCCATACGTGGTAGCCTGGTTCCGCAATCGCACGACCAGGCCAGGCTGGTGGGGGACCCTGCTGCGCCGAGCAATAGGTTCTCCCAGTAGACCTTACTTCCTTCAACCTCTTCTGAACGAGTCCTACTGGAGAGAAAAATTAATCACCTGATAATCTTTAATCAAGAGCAAACAGTTCATGATGCAGACAAGCAGAAAACTGCGCAAAGGAGCGATTCCACGCGGAACCAGTCTCCGAAAAGTTTATGGTAGCTCATGAATGAATATGCTATCCTACTAAACACAGCAGACAATAATCAGCTGTGTTTAGTAGGATACGTGGTAGAAAGGAGCAGTGAACATTAATCGGTTATGCTTAAAACGGGATATGGAAAAGAGAGCTCGAAAATAAAAGGCTATCCTGATTCCAGAATCTTATCCATGTAAAATAAACACCGAGCTCCAGATAATTCATACATCTAGTCGCGAATCCGGTCCCATCCAAAACACAAACAACTTCGACTAAAGAAAGGACGCGATCACTTGTAGACAGCCAAACTTCTCCATGGCACGATAGAAACACATCCAGAAGCACCGGAGGACGAAGGGGAGTCCACGGATAGAAAACGCTATAAGACAGAGACAACGGTCACGGCCACACATAGAGACACACGCCGCACAGACTGAGGAGCTCACCTTTCACCTTGTGGAATGTCCCCCGGCTAGAATCCAAGAAGGAAATGCTCCCGACCTCGCCGTGGAACGGAAGCTTCAGAGCCATCACCCCGCCCAGCGCCCGCCCGCCTCAGTCCCCCGCCAGCAGCAAAACTCGACACAGAAGGACAACGAGGAGGGAGGGCTGGGGTGGAGCAGAGAGAGAGAGTTCAAATGAGACTGCAAGTTTGCGAGGCGACCGCCGAGTTCCGGAGATAAGACGAGTGGCGTCTACGGACGGAAAGAGCGGGTACTGATCTTCCAATTCTGATCACCCTGTGTGGGCGCAGGATAACATCAATGCTCCAGGGGAACATTGCAACGGTCATTCCTCACGTGCGACCGATGCCCAATTGGCTCTTCGTTCGGTCCTCCTTGTCGTCTTCCAGAGAATCCTGCGGTGGAGATTTACCCACTCCGCACAAACCCCCCTTCTGATGTGGGCCACGTTGGAGAGCAAAATAACAAACAGGTGGGGCCCACTTTTTGTTGGGAAGCTTTTGCGCAGGCAAAGTGGGACCCACTAGTCCAACGTGACTTTCGGCCGCCGGGAGCCCACCGGGCCAATTTTATAGTTAGGTTGTAACAGGTCACTCATTAGGGAAACTGGGCTTCGGCCCATTAATACTTTTGTCCTTTTGTGGCGGAGTCGATTGGTGACGTGTACAAACTCTCACTGTTTAGATTCATGATAAGAGCCCATCGACGGCAATGGATGGAGCACACCAGACCGACGGGTACCTACCCAATCACAAAGACCAGGAGAGAGAGAGAGAGAGAGAGAGAGACCATGGAGAGGCGCATATCATCGGAGGTCGATGACCTCGAATCTGAGGTTGGGATTGATGTAGATATTGGAGCAGTCCTCGTAGAGTGGGGTTCCATCGGCAGGTTCACGGTGGTAGTGGAATCCGCGCTCTTCGCATTCCTTCAGAACGCTGATCCCCGCCGGATCCGTCAGCCGGAAGATTCCGAAGTTCCTGGGGGAGAGGCTTACCGATTAAGGCCATCTGAGGGGCGATCTCAAGATCTCCATCACCGAGGTGAGGAAGGAGGAAACTGAATAAAGAGGAAGGTCGACGAAGCAGGAGACAGATGATGAGAGCATTGCGGAGCCAATACTTGCCTCGAAGTGTCTGTGGGAGCCACAACAATCGCGAAAGCCTCGGGGAGCATCACCTGTAAAGGAAGTCCGTCACTCGGAGGAAGAAAATCTCGGAATAGGCGACTGCCAGGCAAGCAGCGAGGGTAACTGAAATGAAATTCACTTATTTCCTAATTTCCGTTGAGATTATGCATGATAAGCATTTGATGAACTACGTGCTGAAATCAAGGTAGTAGTTGTTGATAAATTATGAAATTATATCGAATCTTGATGAAAACATGATGAGCGAGAGTTTTGAAGCAGAAATCCCATCATCATAACGTACCTGGTATGAGTATTGAGTGTGAAGATCAATGGATGACATGAAACAACTTTGAGAAGGATGAGTCTGCGGAGAGTGGATCAAAATATTATCAGATTTTTTTTTTTTTAATGAAAATGCATTATACGAAAACCAGACGAATACGAAGAAGGTACGACATCTCAACACAATAAGATAAATGGGGGAGAGAAACGCGAAGATTATGGTGAAATATTTGTACGAACATGGATCCATCCCAAAGGAAAAAGGTTCAACTCATCCTGAAGAGCATAGATCTCCTCCTCATGCAGCGCTTGGCACTGGAAATCCAGATAAAAAGTCAAGGTTCATCTTGATCATGATAGAATCATATGCATGGGAATTCACACGGCAGTTAACTTACTGAATTCGATGTGGAATCCTGCTTGGGCACGATTAAGGTCGTCACATAGAAGTTGCTGTTTTTCTGCAGTCGGGCATTTGAAGATTTAGTGAAGCTGAAACGGAGAAGACATGGACTGGGAAAGCTCACTGTCATCTCAGGCATAAGCTTGCTTACAAGGGAAGCACCAAGAACTCCGCAAGTTTCCAAGTCTCTTCCAGTGTTATCTCTAGCGAGTGTTGTGAATTCCTCCATCAATCCTGCTGACTGGAAATAGAAAAATAAAATGACCGTGAAAAAACTCGTTCGGCAAGAAACATGGCCTCATAAACATGACTTTATCTGCTGTTTTTCTTCAATTATTCCGATAGCCCTTTGTTTTTGGTCGGCTATTTTTACAGAATTCACCTAGACACCGTTGACCCAGCAGCTCTAAGTGTAGAGAAAGTGTCGCAGAAAGTTAATTTATGAGGAAGTGTTTTTGGGTACCCACCAAGTGGATGTCGTGGATGGTGCCTGAAGTCAAACGCTCTTCGCATAGTGATTTTAGTTTCCTATTTCTGGAATCTGGAACCGTGACGTGAGAAACAGTTGCCACAAGAGGAGCAGTCTCCACCCATGAAGTGATGGGGGAAGGAGGGAAGTGCTTGACGGCGAGGAGATTGATGTTCTGACGTCTTCCTTCTGTTATGGGAAACTCTGATGTCCCCAAAGCTACGCCACCAGCTTCCTCTTCTCTCCCTTGGCTTTCAAGCAGCACCAAAAATAGAAAAGTCACTCTTATGTCTTTTCTTAAAGCTGAAACATAAAACCCAATGGTCAACCGTTGTCAAAAGTCACTACCATGACGAATGAAATACCTGCGATTTGTTCCAATCACGCCATCAGCGTTGACCTGTATAATGTTCAGATGTCATCAGCTGAAACTAAAGTATTTCCACATAAAACAGGCCGAAAGTATTCGCCCAATTACTAAAATGGCGATTTCCGAAAAATGATAAGATCAGGGAGATTTCTAGATTTTTTATTCCAAAATCCAGCTGATAATAACCATCAACAAGCAGACGAAAGGTCCAAAGAACTTTTCATACTAAGAAAAATATGAATTAAATACAGAAATTAAGATCATTATATTCATCATATGATCATAATTTCTTACCTGTCTAATATTATCAGACTCTCCCTTTGCAACCGACGACTTTTTCATCCTGCGTTCCTCCAAGAACCCTTCCACGATCTAATCCAACCATGTGTGTGTGTGTGTTACTGAACCGATTTGCATGAAAAATCTGATAAATACTGTTATTTATAAACATAGAAAAGAAAATGCCATCACACCTTCTTGTGATGAACCTTCTCTTTGAGAGAATATGCTATATAATCTTGATGCTGAGGGATGAACTCCGACACCAATCTATAATATGTTTAAATAAGCCAATAAAAAATTTCCCCATGAGCAATGCTTGGCAATACATGAGCAGCAAGAAGGTGGTGCTAGTGGAGTCAATCGCATCCATAATAAAAACATGAGTATTTATAGACAACAATAGAGGTAGAAAAAATGAATTCGCCCGATTTGATAACCACTCCCAAATGTTCCCTAATTTCCTAAATATGTGTCTATCTGTAGCGTTAACCTATATGAACAAAAAAAAAAAAAGGGTTAAATCCCAGGCATAAAAAAAGAGAAGAAAGCAGGCTATAGATCGAATGCTAAAGCAAATAGGTATTTGAATCGATGGTGCTGAATAAGTTCAACCCAACAATCTTGTTTCTTCCCATCTTTTCCAAGCTCTTTTAGGGTCCCCCAATCTTCTTGAAGCCTTTGACTTTAATACTCTTACCACTGCAACAGAATCAAAAACATCTAGTTCCCCTCCAAAACACCGGATCAGTCCATATTTTCGATCATATGTCGACCTGTTTTTCCACTTATTTACCTAAAAAAAGATACCATCTTCTAGATCATCTCCATGAAAACGGGAATACAACGGAAAATTCAACTGGTTTCAACAATATGAACCGGTCCACAACGCGTTTATGATCCAAAACATGGTTGGAGCAATGAACGGCTAAGCCCATCGGATGTGGAAGAAAATCCGCGTTGCTCACATCGGCTAGTCCTGTTTCTTTTTTTTTTTCCTTTCATCCAACTTAAGGCGGAATTCTATGCCACCCGCGCAGAGTGTTCGAGGGAATCGGAAGATGGAGCATCTTCGCTTTTCAGGTGCTATGAATTTCATGTTCAAGAAGAAAATATCAGGTTCTCAGCCACGGATAGGTGGGGAGAAGAGTAGAGTTGCCTCATGTATCTGGTGACGACTTGGGAAAGATCTTCTGCGTTCCCTTCCTCCTGATACACCTTCACCTGGAGATTGATCACAAAATAATAAGTCGGCAGTCCGTAACTACGGCGACAAGCAACGACATCTGAATTTTAAGCGGAAAAATGCCGTAAAACCATAAAAAATAGAGATACAAAGAATTAGATACGAGATGAGCGAGAGAGAGAGAGATTGGCGACGCGGTGAAACGGAAGGACCTGTTTGAGGAACAGATTGGCGACGCGGTAGTGGCAGGAGAGAGGGATCGGGGAGTTGGATGCTGCTCGTCCTGCAATATCCATCTCTTCGCCGGCTTCTTCTCCCTTTCCTCTCAGGTTAAATTACACCTGGAGATACCTTCCTCCATCTTCGATGTATACCAGGGACCTTTATCCGGACCCGACGCCATCGCACTAATTGCCGGCTCTCCACTTTGTCCTCCACCCGCTGCCGTCGCTCTCTCTGCGGCGTGTCGTGTTGCATCTCCTCTCGGGCAAGAGAGCGGAGGCATTGCCATCGAGGTCCCTGCGTCTGCAGAAGGGGCCCGCGGGGCGGCTACGGGTTCTCAGAAGAACATTATAGAGAAGACACTGATTTGAGAACCTTCCTCTGCGGCGTGTCGTGTTTCTACTGATTTGAGAACCTACTCTCCAGAACCTCCTCGGCAATGAAATTAGGATAAAACGGTAAATTAATTAATTTTCTTTTGCCGCCATCTTCGAACTCCATTGACCTCTGCGGCGCGTCGTGTTGCATCTCAGAAGTATTTTCAACGATTTATTTAGTTATTATATTGGTGCTTTTGTTTGATTAACTTTACTTGAAGATACTGACAGGTTAGGAAATCCGAGAAAATCTTGACACGATTTTTTTCTCCATCTTTTTGCCCAAAAATCGAATTAAAAAAATAAAAAAAAGTTCCAAACATAAATTATTTATCTATAATATGGGATTAAAATGGATATGAAAATCCAGACATGTTCTTGGAGCAGTTGACTTCCAAAAATGGAGTGTTCTTGCCTGCTCCATGGTATACATCTCTCTCAGTGTCAGTCGTCTCTCAGTGTGCCTCAACCACATCGTCAACATCTTCTTGCTTTATCTCACTGAGATGATGGTGGTTCATGTCCGACGCCCCATCATCAGAGCTCCCAGCTCCGGCCGCCAATTCAGGGGGAACCTGCAAGATATCAACTTCCCCCAGGCCAGATGGCGGCACCGATGGCGGCTCGGCGGGCGGCTGCTGCTTAGGCTTGGGCTTGCGGATGGCGGCGGCGGCTTCGGGAATGGCCACCGACGGTGTCTGTGGGGGCACCCAGTCTCTGCCGGGCCAGTTTTTAGACCCGAAGCCATATGAGGACGACCCTTGCTCCTCCAGCTCTGGAGTCTTCTGTTTCCACGACGGCTCTGGGCCATTATATGGGTTGCCGTTAACCGGAGAGGTCAGCCCATTGTCTTGCGTTTCGGATGTCCATCCATAGCCAGAGCTCTGCTGTGCCTGAGCAGCAGCTTCCCATGGCTAGAAAAAAAGTAGGAAACCACACCCAATCAACCGACTGTGTTCGTGAAAATCTCATCAGGACACCATTCAAACCAGTTTAACCCTAAATTTAACAGTAACTGAATATTACTTTATATATATATATATATATATATATATTTATGTATAGTAGAGCTCTGCTGAGCCTGGGCAGCAGCTTCCCATGGCTAGAAAAAAAGTAGGAAACCCCACCCTATTAACCAACTGTGTTCGTGAAGCTGTCATCAGGATAGCAGTCAAACCAATTTAACCCTAAATTCAACAGCAACTGAATATTACTTTATATATATATATATATATACATATTTATCGCAAACAGATAAAGTAAATCCTGCATGAAACATATTTACGTCGACAAAAGCAGGTATAGCCCACTTACCTTCATTCTAGGCGCCAGACGAGGGTTTGAAGGTTGTTGATTTGGGTTTGGAGGCATGTCGTTGATCTCCTAGTTTCAGGGAAGAGGCAACTTGAGAATTGGAAGAATAATGCACGATCAAATAGATAAACACATATTTAAGAGAAAGAGAACGAGGACTTAAGGATTATTAAGGATAAAAAGCCCAAAAGCCCCTCGCCGCCTCCTTCCCGCTGTAGATTATAGCGAGAGGAGATAAGGGGAAGGTGATCGGTAAGAAGGGCCATCCTTGTCGCTCTCTGGCTTTCTTCCCAGCGACTTAAAGTATTTTAAAAAGAAGAGCAAAATGGGCCTTCGATATGCATTTGAGATGGGGTTCTTAGGCGATGAATATATGGAGTTTTGAGGGTTTCTTCCACTCAAGAATTGGGCATGTGAAAAAGAGCAAAGAACAAAGGCATGTACCTTTATTCCAGGAGGCTTTTCCCCTCTCTGCACCATAGACATGATCTGCAAAGTCAAAATGAAAGGACTGAGAGAGTGACAGGAATAGCGAAGAATGGAGGAAGAATAAAGAACTTTGGTATGTTTGCATGAATGGAAGAGCATGTTTAGGTGTTTCATTTCGAGCTTTGAACATCAAAAAAAACACCTTGCAAGCTATGTGATCCCACTCAAAACGACTGAAATAAAAAGTGGAGCAGAATATTTTCTCCACTGCCAGAATGAATGTGGGATGTTCTTGCACCATCCAACGACATCATTCGACCAACCATTTGAATTCCAGGGTTAGCCCGCCCCTTGTGTTTTCTCAAGCATGCGCACTCAACATTTATCAATCCTGTCACAGGCTGGCCTTTCTGCTTTGCAATGTCATTTAGGTCCTATCTGAAGCAGCTTATTCCTCCTGGTCTGCTCCCATGCTTTGCAGCTCCATTGAGGTCCTAGGCTATGCCCCATAACATAACATATATGATGCTCGTCGTAGATGATTTTTTCTTTTTTTTCACATTGGAAATCCGATGCAGTATTAAACATGTATACGACCAAAGGCATGTGGACTAAGAGAGAATCCCACAGACAGCAAGACACTGAACAAAATCAATATTTAATGCGTGGTTCCAATAACAGCCAAGCTATGAAAAAGCAAAGATATAGGCATTCGAATTTAAAGATATGTACAAACTAGTCTTCTGTACAGTTCAGAAGATTCATAACAATAAAAAATTATGCACCTCCATGAATGACTTAGGGTAAGGAGTTTCGGTGGATTCCACAGATGCAGGTGCCGATGAGGACCTATCTTCAGTGGCATTCACTTTCCATCCCTAGAGAAACATATGAATCATTTCATTACATATTGATGAGGAAAATGCTGAAAATACCACAAATTGGTCTGTCTCAAATCACATACAGTGTGAGTTTTACCTGTGGACTAACAGAAGAAATCCTTGAATCTGACTGATTAACAGTGGGAGCCATACGAGTATTATTGATTGGCCCTGGAAACCACACGATCCGTTGAGGAAAATGGAGCTAACGTAACAGAAAAATTTTAAGTTTAACTTGTTCCGGTGAACACACCAAAGAAAGACTCAAAATCACCTGCAACTATATGCTTAAAAGATGAAGAACGATAACAATAGCATCAATGTCTTCCTGTACCCCTGACTAGGGCTGTGCAATCAGCAGATAAAACAACTCTTATACTGGAGAATGTTCTACTATAGAACACCCACTCATTGCTTCTAATCCTCATTATAAATCAAAATCAAAAGTTAAAACATTTTCCACGAGTTCATGATGATTATTGTGGTTCGAAAAACGTGGGTTTCTTCGTGTAAAGACGCAGCTTCAGCAAATGGAAAAAAACATGATTGCATGACTCGCAACACTGGACCCCACATCTCAAGAGGTTCTCAATGGATGTGACCAAACCTTCACGCTTTATTTGTAGATAAAATGCATTTAATATGGTAAACTAACCAATAGAGAAAGAGTATAAATCGCTGGAAGAAGTTTTAACAAATTTATGAGCAAAACAACAGAATAGAGTAAGCTAGTCAAGTCATGTTTATACTAACAACAGATCTTTGATTCCGAGTTAGATCAATTACTCATCTATTATGGGCACGGGATGGCAGAATGAGAGAATCTCAACTCTTTGGTCATTGGATTACTTGACTTAGGATTCCAAGGCTTGTTTAGCTCAATTCAAACCAAAGTGGCACAAAGTGCTATCAGTGTAAAACCCATTTTTTTGTTATTTAATTGATAGACCATGTAGAATCAAAATGGAAGAAAAACAAGTACAATTTATTGACGAATAAAACCATAAAATAGTCATTGATGACAACCGCAGCCAGTGACATTGCTTTTCATTAAAGAATGAAAAATGGAGATAGGCATGAAGAATAAGGGGAGAACAATGTAACCATGTGAAATTGACATCAAAGTACTGCAATGATTGTTTCACAAAATGAATCTAGATATCAACCAAATATCTTTTATAAAATTACATTTTAGTCTTATGTAATAAAGCATAACACATCAATCTTCAAAATATGCACATTTCTTGAATCAATTATGATTCACCATTTCCTGATGCAAATTGAGTGTCTGCCTTTCTCTTGTCTTGTTGATGGATAGATTCTCTTGTAGTCTCCAACTCCCGTATAGCACTTCCCATAGATTTCATCTCCTTCACTTGCGCATCTAATAAGCTCATGAATGTCTCAAAATACTTCTTCTCTGTAAAATAGGAAAAATAATATCAAGTTTCAGTGATGGGATAGACAACTGAAATATGAATTCAAGGGGAAAAAAAAAAAGGCTTTAAGGATCTAGGAGAGGAAGACCTTCACTCCGTGCACTCAACAAATCTTGACATGCTTTAGCAACAACAGCAGCAGCAGAAGCAGCGGTTTTTGCGGCTTCTGCAGCTTCTTCGGCTGCACTTGGTCCCATTTTCACTTTCTTTTCAGCATCATCTTCTTCCTTTACGACTTTACGGATCCAAGCTTTCAGCCTGGGTATAACAGCATTCTATGCCAGAAATGGATTAAATAAATATGTACACCCCATCAAGAAATCAAAGTCCAAGAAAGGAGAATAATCAGTAGGGCGGCTACTCAGAGAAAAAACAGACAGCGGGTAACACATCTTTTGGCGGATAGGATAAAGGCAGTGTATACCTTGAACAGCACAGCAGTCCCAGCTCCTGAAGTAGCAAGAACTCCAACAGCAAGGACAATGTAAGGCCACTGAAATCTGGACTGCAGGGCAGGTGCTGGGGGAACAATATTGGAAGGTGCAACAGCAGTTTGGATAGTCTGAGCTGGAACTTGGGACTGTAAAGCTGTAGATGGTTTTTCCAGGCTACCTGTCAAGAAATACGGCCATTCCATATTTAGACAAACGGAAAAGAAGATTGAAAAAAGAAAAAGAAAACAGGAAGCCCCTCGTCGATATACTGATGCAATATTGGTTGCTTTTGATACAGAACATAAAAACAGTTCACATCATACTTTTGGGGCCTAAAAAAATTGTCAAAGAAGATTCTCCAGTTGTTTGTCTTTCTATTTAACAATGGTTACATCTTATATTCGGCACCGAAGTCACTACAGCAACGCTAGCTTAAATAGACCAAGGAAGTTAATCGGATTCCTCATCCAGACTAGTCTATGGTGTTTGCTATTCAGTTTCGTTTTGGTTCAGGAGACGGTTGGTTCTACATAGGCACGATTAGCTCTGCTAGTTCAGCAAAAGATACTATAAGTATTCCAAAAACATAAGACAATCTTCCTCCGTTCGGTCGTTGTAGACAATGCAGGGACCTTTCCGGAGGATTTAGTGCAGTTTCCGTTTGATCTAACCCTGGACGGGTCAGTAAAGGCTGATTCCAGCATTTCAGGGACAAAAACAGACAGAACTAGCACAATCCAAGTAAGTTCTGACCAGTTCTGCCATTTCCAATTCTGTTTAGCCAATATTTCATTTTACAAAGAAGTGTAAAACGAACTGTTGAAAAATTAGACTTGTTTGGGTTTACTGTGTGGATTATAGCTGTGACATTCTTTCCAGAGATGTTTACAAAATGCAAGTACTGTGCATGCGGGTGAGCGAGTTAGTGCGTGTGCGAGAGAGGGGGGGGGGAGAGAGAGAGAGAGCACGGGGAGGGGAGGGAGAGAAGATGTGCGCATGTTCTCACTTGCCTCATAAATTTTGTCATAGTGTTATTTTGTCCACAGTGTTACTTTTTTAGCTTTTCTGGCAACAATGCAATTTGTGGCCCAAAAAGAAGTCCAAAACGTACTCAGGGAAACCAAAACATTTGAAAATATTAAGATGACTCCACTGAGATTAACCAGACATTTGAAATACACGATTAACAGTAGCCTTATAAATCTGGAAATTATAAATACTTTCACGAGTACTTTTAAACCATACACATTTCTGGTGCAAGCACAGACATAGGGATGTCTTTTTGGCCATTACTGAAGTCTTTTACCAGATACTATCTTGATAATTCAAATTCGATCAATATTAATGCAAATTAATTAACTTCTTACCTTGTGCTGGTTTAGCTGCTTCAACCACAGCAGTGTTTGAAGGTGGATCCTAAGAACATGAGATGAAAGATTGTCATGAAGGAACAATAAAACATACTTTGGTGCACCATGCAATACTTAAAAATAATAACATCAAGATGGGACGGCAAATATCGAACAAGAGATTGGATTTTGAATAAACCAGGAGCAATAATAAGTCAACGAATTGCTTACAGGAACACGGCGGAAGGCCTCATCTATTTCCTCCCTTGTGAGGCCCTTTTTCTCAAGGAAAGATCGACGGTAGACGACAGGAGAACCTCTAACTTTAGGATGCGACAGGAACTTGACTGCATTCTGTACTTGCTCCTCCCTCATCGGTTGTTCTGATGCAGTAGATATGGATCTTATAAATGCATCACTGGAAGTCTCTCCAACGGAATTTTGGAGATTTTTGTTGTCCCCTTCGGCTGGTTTTACCATTGCAGGTGCTGAAAATTATAGCGAATTAACAACAAGACATGAGCATACACAAAGGTTAAAGTTTCTGCTCATGCCCATTACTAATCAAACTCGACAATTTATAATAAAAACTGTTAACATCACACTGACATCATGTCCTATCTTCACTGGGAAAAAGACCTTAACATCTCCAGGTAAGCATAGCCTGTGTAACATGCTGGGGTTCTCAATCCACGTTTTCAACAACTGCACCATGGCGTTCTCCAACGCCCTTGTATCATTATGCACCATTTGAAAAATTCCAACATTTCTGGCCACCTATGTCTACCATACTATGCATGCAACATCGTCCATCATGCTATCTCTTTAAACTTGACTGCTTCTGTTCAAACTCTGCAGGAGATCCCGAGTCCTAGACTATGTAGAAGGATACCATTTTCTCCAAATGATAAGAGAAGCAAAGGAAAAAGCGAACGCCTGACTGATCCTGACTCAGATCTAAATAAATGACAGCCATTACCAAAAGGACAAACGGGCCATCCTCAGATTTGAACAGTTCATCTCCTGATGACACTGAGACAGCTATGAAAATGAAATATGAAAAACAAGAAACATTAACGATAATGGACTCAATTTGGATCACCGATATAAGATATCTATGAATCCTAAAAATGAGAGATTGCACGTATGATTTTGTGGCAGTCAAAAACCACAGCTTCATGTGCACCTGCCGTTGAGTGGCATGGTCAGTAGATACGGCACAGTTTACAGACCACAATCAGAATCAAATCAAATACCATACAGAAAACAGATATTTCAATAAAAACATTGTCGAAACCAGTATTGACAATACCCTGTGATATATGAATAGATGCATAAAATTGCAAAATATAAGGTTCCAATTCAACAGTATTGACAGCACTGATGAGTACGAGATAAGCATACTTTGGTTCCCATTTCAGATCAGAAACAAATTTAATCGTGCGATAGACATATATCTCATCCAAGCAAGTCACGAATCGTGCATTCTTTTGTGGACCAAGTCATAGCAGTGGCTATGAGATAGTTTAGATAAAGTAAATGGATAAGAAATATTTATATCTTGCAAAATAAACACCAGCAGAGAATACTCCCTCAGTCGTTGCCCTAGAACCAGTCAAGATTGAAAATACCTTTTCTTGATCTGAAAGGTTAAAATCTGTCCTAAATTGTTTCACAATTGATAGGACAAGAAAAAGAAAATCATATTCCTCACAGGTGTCACGATGGGATTGTGATCGTATAGATATTGCCTGTACCGAGAAGTCAACAAGAAAAACTGCCGCATGTGTAACTATGTCTAAAGCTAAGACAGAGAGTGTCACAACCTTTCCTCACGGCGAAGGTACTCCATCAGGGTGCCTCTGTTTTGATTCCCTGACAAACGAAGAAAAACCAGGACATAGAAATTGAATAGCCTAATCTGGCGATTGAGATGACACCCTTCCGTTCCCGCCCTAACCACCTATCGAAAGAAGTATAGTCAAGAAAACACCTCTTTCACGATATCTTTTCCCACTGCAATAATTCCTGACTAAAATGGTAGCCGAAAATCCACTAGCCAGTCATATATTCCTCATAAATCAAATATTCCCCCACACGGATATTCCCTGCGCTGAATTAGACAAATTTCGTGCGGATTATCAAATAAATCATCATTTCCCTCTTTCCTCGCACGTGCTACGCTCTCTTGTGGGGAGGTTGTGCTCCAACGAGACTCGATGGAGTGAGGGGAAACGATCGGATAAATCACCTATTCCTCCTGGTGGCGACGGGGTCGATTCCTGCGGATTGTCCTCGGCAGCAATCGGACTTGGAGCCGTTGTCGATTGCGTCGCCATAGCCGACTCTGCTACCCCCTCTCCTCCTCCCCTGATCGATCGCCCAGTCCACGAGGGAAAGTGAAGGGGAGGGAGAGAAATAAGAGTCGCAAGCGGCGCTGCAGCACCTCAGCTGGGCCCCCGCTCAGCAGATTTAAGGATTCAGATATTAGCGAGAGAGAGAGAGTGAGTGAGGAACAGACAAGGTTTGCCGATCCTGATGCATCATCCGTCAGACCGTTCACGAACAGCCAGATCAGCGGCCGTTCCCAGAGGACTCGACTCGGACGAGTCGGCCGACTTTCCAGGTGGAGACCGCCCGATAACGAGAATACGACGAATCGTTCGTCATCAATCGGATAATGTTGGGATGCGAGCTAATTGGACCTCGCACACTAATTGGGCCTCCCAACGAGGCCCCCCACCCCGGCCCAAATCTCCCAACGATGGACAGATAGATAGACAGCTAGATAGATGGAGAGAGAGAGTGAGAGAGAGATGAGAGCTAATTGGGCCTACTAACGAGGCCCCCAATCCGGCCCAAATCCTGCCCTCTTCACCTGCTAGGAGCCACTACCCGTAAATTTCAGAACGTTCCATACGTAGGAGAAAACACAGAGAGAACGAGACAGAGAGAGAGAGAGCACGAGTTGAAGTTGAAATGATAAAATTTGGAAAGAAGAGAAAACCTTGTCGCCAGAAGGGGTGACGGTGTGTGGTGGAGCACGAGTTGAAGTTGAAACCCAAGTGAAAAGTTAACCTTTACGTTGACCATTGACCTGGAAGTTGACTGTTGACCGGGTGTCCTGGTTGATTGGCGGACCGGCTCGAACCGATGGTGCGATTGGCGCGGACCAGGTGGTCCAGCAGGATGAGCTGGCGTGGACCAATGGTCCGAGATGGTTCAGACCAGGCGATCGGTTCGGATCGGACCAAGCGGTCGGGGCGGTGGGACGGCTGTTTCGGACCAAGTGGTCGATGGGCTTGGGCCGAAGCAAACCGATTCAGTCCAGCGGTTCGTTACACCGCGAACCGGGGCTCTAGGCCCTAATAAGTTGGCGGGAAAAGGGGGGAACTCGAATGGGTCGTGCCGGGCGGAGGAACGGAAGGCTACTGCAATGGCGGAAAGGCGGAACGGACAGAGGCAAATGCCGGGCTGGTGGCAGCGGATGACGGAGGCGAAGGCAGGGTAGGTGGCAGCAGCAGCGAATGGTGAAGGCGGGCAGCGGCGGGAGCGATGGGGCAGAAGGTGGCGGTAGACGGTGGCGACGACGGCGATAATGGGTGGCGGCAAACGGCAGATACTGACGATAGACGGTGGCAGTGGACGGCGGCGGGGATGATGGCGGCGGTGGTGATGGATAAGCGACCCTCACAGCCTCTCCTTGCGGAGCGTAAAGAGGTAAACCTCGAACTATTCTCTTCTCTGATTATTCTTAGGGCTACATGAGGTTATCTGTAACCTCTCAAGAAGGAAAGAGCGATTAATGGGCTTGGCCGATGCGCTATTGACGCGGTCGTAGGCTCCGTCTTTGTCGATCCTCATCATGCCAGACGAAGAAGGGGGACGTCAGATGATTCTCTCGAAGGGCTTCAGCTCTGTGGGCAAGTTGTCAAAGTCCCCAGAGTCAACCTTCGACTGAAACATCGGCTGCGACCCGAATTTCTTAAGAACCCCTTCTGCCAGGTGCTCCTTGCTCGGTGTCAGCATCACATAATTCGGATCGGCCCTCTCATAACTGTAGAGAGAGAGAGAGACAGAGCAGAAGCAGCAGAATCGGTCGTCACATCCTCTTGTTCTCTGATGAGAGAGAAAGAGATAGATGGAGAGAGACAGAGAGACAGAGACCTAGCTTCTCTCAGATCCTCGATCCGGATACCAAACCCAAAGGAGGCGCCGCCGCGTGCGTGGTCACTGATGGCTGGAGGGAGAGAGAACCACGTCACAGACAGAATATGGCGTTCGGTCAAAAGATCTTCACAAGGGTAGAGAGAGAAAATCACGCGAGGAGCTGCACCTGTAATGCTGAACGTGAAGGAAGGTCTCCACCAAGATTTAAACGCCAGAGCCATGGAGGAGAGAGAAGGACCGATCTTTCCCTGAAGATGTGATCAAGGTGAAGGGATGATATGTACCATCTTCAAGCCTAATCATCAAGAACAAGGTCTGCCATACGCAGGGATCCACTACCTTGAGCAGGATGTTCTTATTGGCTTGCCAAGATGCAGCCACTTGAAAGGTAGATCGGTCAACGCTAGCAGTTGACTTATGTTCTTTGAACCTTGGGTAACAATGAAATTATGACTCAGATCCCTTCCTTCTTTTTTTTTGTTTCTCGGAGACTTTGACTAGAAATGGAAATCAAAAGTCAAACCTTGTCTTCAGCTCAAAGCCAAAGTCGATATAATTTGTGATCCCCACTACTTGGCTCGCTTCAAATGGGTTTTGAACCTGTTTGAAGAAAACAGGGACAATTTTTATCTTCTCACACACCAAGATACACAAAGTGGGAAAAAAATTCCTAATAAGAGAGACGTCAAGATCTGTGAGAAATCCAATTAGTGATCATCAGAATGAACATTATCCACGAAATCTATGGAATCTGCAGGAATTCTCCAGGTCTAAGCTGTCCCTGAAGATCGCTCATCAGGCCCGGTTAAGCTGTTGGGAGGAGGTCAACCCAGCAAACATGGTGAGCTGAGGCTCTTCATCCTGGCAGTGAATCGGTCAACTACCAAAATATCTCATGATTTTGTACAGGAAGAAACCAGTTAGATGCCATAAGCCACAGAAATGAACAGGAACCCATACCCTTCTTTGGACGACGACATGCTGATAAAAGGATGCAGTCAACTGCAATTGGAGCACATGATCGATCAACATGAGCATCTGAACACCAATGGATTAATGTGCAGTGTAAGAGAAAAAAAGCATGATCCATTCAAGCGTGATTAGTAGGGAGATCCTGTTGGGGGAAGAGCTGCAGAAAACAAAATGGATCCGATCCCCAACAGCAGGGCACTTACCAGTGTCGGTGAGAGAATTGGGAGAGGAGTATGCTCGATCTAAACCTCGCAGCTGACTTACAGGTGTTGGTGTTCATGCCAAGAGAAATTCTTCCACAATCTCTTCCGAGGTAAAGGATTTCTATGCACAGATGCCCTATTGGATCCGATCATATGCGTGTTCTCAGTTAGAGAGAGAATAGCTACAAAAGGGTCTGATTTTCCTAAAAAATAAAGATTAAAATAAAAATAAATAAGAGCCTGTCTATATTGTAAGTTACCAGGTCAATCACCATTGTAGGCATGTAAGGGGAGAAGGGTGTGCGCAGTGCCATAACATAAAGTCAACCACAAGGTAGTGTAATCGCCCTCTAGAAATCAGTGATTAATGATAAATCAAAGACGATTAAACTGGGAGTTTATTCCACGTTATTTTAGATAAGAATATGATCAAATGCATACAATCTTCCAAAAGCCAATTAATTGCTCAACAAAATGGAAGGGAGGTGTAGCTCTGAATTTGAAGCTAAATGACAGTCCAGGGTTGAAGAAAAAATCAAAGACGATTAAATGGGGAGTTTATTCCACGTTATTTTAGAAAAGAGAATTATGCAGGAATATGATCAAATGCATATAATCTTCAAAAATCCAATTAATTGCCCAAGAAAATGCAAGGAAGGTGAATCGTAGAAGAGAAAGAAAGAGAACCTCTGAATTTGCAGCTAACTCAAGGCTAACATTGAATGAAGGCCTCAAAGGAGTGCCCGAGCCTACTCTATAACCAACTGCCCAGCTCCAGTTCTTTAGGTGCCTAAAGTCCACCTCGTCTTTGATTCCCTCACCTAGCAAGAGAGGTGATAATAAGATAAATATGTAAAGAAAAATTTACAGGCCAAGCTCATTGGTGTGTTCCAAGGCATGCACTTTCATGATTACGATAGATGATATCATAACTTGTCTATGAGAGGTTTTTTTCTATAGATTAAAAAATATGTATCTGTTTCAGTATCCGATTTTACTCTAATAATTTTTTGAGGAAAATAAAAAAAATAAATCTGCAATGTTCATCTCGCTCCAACCTTGATTTGAATGGGAAAACAACAAAATATCAGGAGGATCGTTCTTTCTTTAACCCCAAACAAAGAAATATTGAGGAGATCACCAAGCAGTACAGAATATTGACAGGAGTTTCTTCAACGAGTTAGAACTATTATTGGGACTAAGAGGCAAATTCGTTCAAAAACAATATGTTACATAAACACTGTAATCACTTTCTTTAGCACCAAGATTGTACCAGAAAATATCCTTTGCTCATAAATTATAATAACATACAAATTATTAATGATCTGTGGAGTTTTATTATAGAATTATGAACATAGAAATAGCACTTGGATAGATGCATAGACTTTGAAAATTTATCACCACAGAACTTGAGAACATCGTTAGTGAAAAAAAAAGCTTTCTTCGCAACAGATTTGCCAGACTAGCTATGAATTTCTGCACAGAACTAAATCATATTTGGCTTAGATCCAAGAACTAGGAACACTATTCGACAAATCAAATAAGAACGGAATTAGGCAACATAAATAGGCATCAAATTTTAATTTGGCTGTTAAAAAGAATGTATGACTATAACACAGTACCACTCCCACAGGAATTGTACCCATGTTGGATGGTGTTTTCTTTTAATCACACATTTCGTCCTTGGCTACCAGATAAAGACCCAAGAAGGTCTAACAGTATATGAGGCATCAAGCGGATCAGAAATCACTGCAATTAAAACTCACATGGCGGTTTATATAGCACACCGGCGCATAACCTCCCTGCCCTACCGACCAGCCACGCACAACTTGGAAATCCAGCAGACACTACAGAGAGAGTAACATCCAATATGTCAATATCAATGACAATGCATGTATAGTGTCACGATGCTGTTTTTAAAATCGTAGATTTTCATTAACCGGTAAAGATTATTGGAATGAATAAAGGACGGAAACCATAGTAGCAATGGCGGGAAAAGGTGGTATCATGTTGAGTGGACACAAGGTAGAAGAGAGAGAGAGCGGGAAAAAAAAAGGAATTACATAGAAAGTGTTGTCAATAGGGCAGGTCTGCCCTGAAACCAGCATGTCCTGACAATTTTTTTGGTTTTGGGCCAGAAAAATAAAACCAGAAGCCTGAAAAACCCAAGTCACAGTACAACTGCCTTTGAGAAAGAATGTATAATTAGGAGTTCGGTTCTTAGTGCGACAGTTCCCTATTTTGTTGGTTCGTTTCCAGGTCTTCTGTTTCTTATTTGTGGTCCTGGTACTCGTACATAACAGTCATCTAGGATGTGAACACAAGAGTTTTTTGCTCTGCATATCCTCCTAGGGTTTGGGGCACTGTTCAAGACATGGCCCCTTCATGCAGCAGCTAACTCAGCATTCCCCACCTTTCTCTCCATTCTAGCATAGACTGACGCGACTGTGTGAACCAAGCTTCAAAACACCCAGCATGGGCTTGAGAATCAAAGACACCGGAGAAGAAAATGGAAGAAAAATAATGGCAAGTAGCAGAAGTTGTCTAGTCATTTGACAAGCTGATCACTACTGGAGAAGAACATGTTTCAATAATAATAATGATAGTGCTGATGGGCCCATGTGTAGGAACAATTGCCACTCAGAAGGGCAAGTGCTTCTGACACTTCCTAGTTCATTTTTTATCCAGGGAAATGTAGATACCTACGGTGAGAATGAAAGCTTTTGCAAATGACACGGAATAAAAAAAAAATCAAACTGTGACATCCCTAAAGATGTATCAAGAACATGGCATTTGAAAATTTCTGATGCACCAGGGAGAATATATTTCATTTATATGAAAAAAAGCATATGATAAGTTAGTCCTTTTCTCCAATCCATCAACATTTTCATTCGGCATCATGTCGGATAATATTGATAGATAATGTTTACAGATTGGAGACTCCAACGTACACGAGAAAGGAGCCAATGATGTCCCAATGGATAAGTTTTCTGATCCATATCTCACACCGATGAAACCACTGTTTTCTGAATGAGTCCTGTCAGCCAATTTAGTGCCTCAAGATATTCAAACACATAAAATACGAAGAACAACAATTCAAAGAAGACAGCGACATGTGATCAGTATTTCTAGTGAAATATCTATGGTACGGGTATGCTTACCCAGACATGAATTTTATCATACATTTAAGTTCATTGTAGAAGAATATAAAAATAAGCCACAGACAACGAATTATAAATAGTGAGCACATAAACATAGGTAACTTGCAACACCAGATATAAAGGATTCATGACGAGCATATGGCAGATATCTGAAAGATTGAGTAACCAAAAAGGCAATAAATGTCAAGATGACTAACAATTTGAATCAATGGTTTCAAAGGTAGAGGTTGACCCAGGCTCAATGTTTCACATAGAATTCATGAGTTTAGAGTTGGCAATACACTGACATTTTATTCTCTTAAGAGTACAGATGTAATTGACCTGGAGAGATCATGGAACCAAAACCTGGCGTTCTAGAAAACCAAGGTGCTAGTTTGGTTATTCAAGAAAAAAAAAACTTGAACATGCAGAATGCAAGCAATAACTAATAATGGAGGTCCATGTAAAACACAAGTCTAGGGATCCAAAAAGTCATCTACTAGGATAGAGTGTATCTACCTTCGAAATTCTAAACACCCTACCTAACATTTAACGTGTATACAATTTATAGTAATCATTCTTTTCATAGTTTATGGCATGAAAATTATGTACTTGAATCATTATTGTCATCCATCAAAACCCAACCAACAGAAGATCCAGCAATACAGTGAATATATACCATGGTGGTCAGGGAAAGCCTATCTACGTCAGTTGTACAAAGGTCGGATTTTTGTATCGGTTTTATCCAAAATTCAGTCTCAGTATTACAATGGGTTCCAATGAACCTAACCATGTGTGTGCGTGGACATCTGTGTATAGAACATATCAAATAAGGTAAGTCAAATCGAACTCTTTGATATGAAATTTAAGGTTCTAAAATCACTTCAGAAAAAGGGTGGACAGTTACACTCGAGTTGAAGACCTCAACGCACTAGCTCCAGATTGAGGGATTTTCCTATTGAAGAAAAATCATAGAAGCTTTCTCATGAGAGGGAAGAAAATCTCTCTATCAACCAAGGGAGACGAAAAGTCCATCAAACTGATGTTATTAAAAGTGGCTGTTTCTCTCACACTTTTGACAATCCATCAACATCTGAACATCGAAAGAGAATTGAGCTTTCTTTCAGAAAAGGTATAACAATACCCACATCAATTTGCCCTATAATCTGCAATCATTGGTAATCTTGTTGCACCAATGGTTACAGTTGCAAAATTCACGACACTAAGTCTTTTACAAAAGATAAATAGGTCTGTCCAACCTTATGCTAGAAATCAAATTCCTTTATAGAATGATACTTGGAGTCAGAATCTATGCCAGTTTCTACTAAAAATGATGAATTTTGTGACGCAAGTATGTGGATTTATTAAGGACTAGACCCCCAAGCAAGCAGGTATACCAAAACGAAGATTCAGTGAAAGTTCGACAAGTGAATCAAGATTTTATTACTACAGAGAGGATATATTATCTAGTTAGAGTTAAACAATCCAAACTCTTTACAGGGTATGAGCAAAATAAGCTAATGAGTATGAAAATATAAACGAAAAATGTGCATACCTCCTTTGTATTAGCAATGGGAGGATACCAAAGATTCCCAACCCAAGTTCGGGAAGGTAAACACACGACTTGAACCGAATAAATCTAAAATAGGCCACAGAATGAGAGACTAAGAGTCGGCAAAGAAAGATTCAAGATAAGATCCAGGACATATAAGTGAAGAATTATATTCTGAAGGAAGAAGAAGATCCTTACGGTTCTGAGGTTGAGACAGACACTTCCACGAACGAATTTGGGTCCTCCAAATCCCTGAATCATTCAAATAAAAAATCTAACAATTTAATTTTTATTCTTAAATGTAATCCACCCAGACTAAAGTAGGAGAAAACCTTTGCCAGCGGAACACTGCATTTCCTTCTTTGCTCCCATCAAGTGGTCCAGATACCTAATTATGCTAATGAATGCACTTTTTTTCTTTTTACTACTAAAAAAGTTTTAGATATTCAGACCGAGTTTCAGACACGGCGGGAAACAGAGAGAAAACAGATGTTATTGATAAAACAAAATCTTGTCGTACCAGAAATAAAACAATGCCTCCAGAAAATAATACTACAAGAGGAAAGGGAAGATAGAGTGGCGCTTCTATGATATGGGCCATGACAACATGACATTGGAAATTTATTGATAAGCTCAAAAGGAAACAATTTGATGCAAACTTAGATAGCCAACCTCATCACACGGAAAAAAGTGGATAATATATCAAATGAGGTAAAAATATGGCAAGAGAAGCACATAAGTATCTGCAGAAATAAATACTTCGGTGTGATATTAGACGAGTGTGGTGCATATTTCTACTTCGAGGATAGTCAAAAAGGTGGGCAAAAGTACTAGAGAAGAGAAAGTTCCGTAAGATCCTCAGCGAAATGTACATCCCAGGAGTTTCCAGCAAGATTTCAAGAATATCACATGAGGAGTTAATGGCTCATTCATGTCAGTAATAGAGAATGTACCAAAGGTGAAAATGATGAGAGTTCTACATAATACTATATGCTTAGGTCTCTTCGGTGGCGTTTGGTGCCAAGAATGTCACATCAATTTCCAGAACCATCGTAGTCAGGTTTGGGCCAGGGTTATTGTTATATAGAGGAAGGGAAGAAGTGCTAGCACTTCAATAATCCTCAGAAAATTACATGGTAAGATCAAGTGATTTTCTTGATGACTATTCTGCCCACTTACAAGAGATGGAGATGAGGAAGCAATGCCAACATTAGTGAAAAAACTTGCAGGAACATGCAGACATCATTAGATTTCGACAAATGAGGTCAAAAAATAGTATGCAAATTGACAGGGCAATCAATTGTAAGCATCAAATGGAAACGACATAAGAAAACCAACATCAGTAACTACACAGAAGACCGTACTCATTAAATAACATGAATTCCACCGGCTAAAAAAGAACATCTCAGGAAAAAACCAGTAAAAAATAAAATTAAAATAAATGCCATTAAAAAACAGGTCAAGTTTTCTATTGGATACAGTGGTAACCAAGTCAATATGAGGATCTTCGCGAGGCTTTAGCATAATTCTCGCGCTGAAATTTCTTGCGTCTTCAAAATAATCCTCAAAAAGGCATTGCAATGCTAGCTTTACAAACAACAAGTCATATGCGGGGACCAACATCCTGTGACAGCTCAGACCAATATCAGGTTAACCACCCCAACACCTCTTTTTGAAAGAAAACAGAATATTCCATTAATTGAGAAATGGGTGGCAAAGATCGCATTGATAGGACAAAAGAAACTGATACCTAGATAATAGTTATTCAGTTTACGTTGATCCTGTTTGACAAGATTGAACAGTTGCATACAGATGACATAAAAGAGTACAGTTACAGAAAATAAGAACTAAATAAGATAGTTAAAAACTGAGGAATTCAAAATTATGGTCAGCATCTTTTCGAGATTAAAGTGGAACAGTTTTTCCAGATTTATTCCGAACTGATTTTTACAACGTAGATTTTATGGCGAGAAGCTTCGTAGTGAAAAAATATTTTACTTATAATTCTAAAAAAAATATAACGAATTTTTTTTTAACAAAGTCATAACTTTATAATAACACAATGTTTAGTCAATTATGACGTTTGATATATCAATTTAATCCCTTCGGTCAAATAAAACCAAATGGCGTGCACAGATGTAACTTGGAGCACAAAATTTACAAAACTCAGTGCGCAAAAGCTTCCACATCACCCACATAAATCTTTCCGCACACTGAGTTGGTGCAGGTCGGTGAAAAGTGCAAGCTGCTCCAATGCCCACAGCCTTTGTTAGGATGCCTGACCCTATGCAGCATAAAGAATGAGGGCAGGACCCTACATTCCAACCACCAACCAGATGCAGGATGTGCTACCAATTATTGTACAGATTCCTATGCAGTCTAAGAGAGGGTTTCTGAAAGCCCAGACAGAAGGCATGATATCTCAGAAATGATCTGCTCCCTTCTCAGTGACTCGATCTCCAAAACCCTACTGTTCTGATGAGACACTCGTCCAAACCGCAGAATGCTAAGCATTGCGGCATCGGGCCATCTCTTTGTTCACTCTTCCTAAGCAAGCAATGCTATCCACACTAGATATCAAGGCTGGCGGTGAACATCGTCTATACATGGTCGCCTCCCGTGATCTGGACTTGTTTTCGTCGAAAACCTAGCATAATGCGGAAAGAGGGCACGAGTTTGTGAGTTTTCCACGGAATTTCTCTACCGGACCATCCAACGAACAGGAAGAGAAGCAATTGTGACGATCCACGCAGAAGCCCGTGGCAGCTGGAATCATTTGCGTCTAAGAAGAAACCCGACAGCGATGGTAAGCCGAGAGGAAGATGGATGAGCGGCATGTAGGTAGTCGTATTCGGCACCTGGTGCGGGCGGCGAGGGGAGGGAAATCGAAAATCGGCGGCACTAGCACCATCGGCGGCGGGGGCTCCTTGTTCACAAAGTTTCCCATCTCTCTCTCTCCCTCTCTCCCTCCTTCCCTCCCTCTCCCTGAGCTTCTTGTCGCTCCGGACGGTCTCAGGTAGCAGAGTTCAACAGAAAACCGATTGTCGGATGTAGGTCGATACTATTATAAAAGTTGTAAAATCATACATTTGTATATTATTGAAATAAATATATTTGGATGTTTAATGTGTTATTCAATCAGAATTATTCGCTTCGTATCTCGTTGAATAAGCATATATCTATATATATTGCCTAGAAATTATCTGAATTAAGATGTGCATATTCCAATCATACGAGGATGAGTTGGAGCAAGTACATACGTATTGTCTGTCATTTTCTGGCTCACAAATGATCTCCCGTAGTGGTGTCCACCGGCGGCGCCGCCGGTCGCCGCCATCACGCCGCCGTCGCGCCACCACTCGCGGTGTCGGAGTTGCCGCCGAAGAGGTAGTTCAGGGAGACGGCCTTCCTGCGCCTGACTCTCCCGGACTCCTTCAGCAGCTCGGCCAATCTCCTCTTCTCCCCCTCCACCTCGGGGTTCGCCGTCCCCAGCTTCTCCTCTCTGACGCTGACGATGTGCTCCAAGATTCCAGTGGCGTCTCCCCACCTGGATTTTACCCCATGTGGTGAAGCTCCTCGTTGAACTTGCAGGAAGGAGGAGGAAGAAGGCGTACCTGCCCATGGCGTCGTACGTGGCGGCGAGATTGCTGTAGACCTCGAGAGTCTCGGGGTGGTGGGGGCCGTGTTCTTTCTCCATGATGGACTTGGCCTCCTGGAAGAGACCTGCGGCCTCCTGGATGTCACTGAGCTGGACGCAGGCAAGGCCCATCTGGTTCAGAGCGACGGCAAGGAAAGCGGGCTGCTTCTTCTCCCCATAATTGCGGAGCTTGGAAATGGCGCTGTGGAAAAAGCAGCGGGACTTGATGAAGTCGCCGGCGGCGTAGCAGAGGACCCCCATCTGGGCCTCCATCCCTGCCACTGCGCTCTGCTGCCCCGGTGAGCCGTCGCAGAGTTTCAGGGCCCTCTGAAGCAACTTGATGGCCTCCTCGTGCTCGTTCATGGACACGTACAAGGCGGCGACGTCCGCCAGGCCGGCGGCGATCTCCTCGGAGGCGCTTCCCGGCGGCGGCTTGTTGAAGATCCTCAGGGCATCTTCACAGTGGGCTTTAGACTCCTTCAATCTCCCCATTCTGTTGAATAAATCTGCAAGGCGAACCAGAGCATGCGCCACCGTGGGGTGATTCTCTCCTCCGGTACACTTGAGGGTGGAGAGAGCTCTCCTGTAGGCGAAGACGGCTTCGTCGTAGCGAGCAAGGGAAAGGTAGGCGTCGCCGATGCTGCAGTCCACATAGGCCACCTCCTTTACCTGCCCATTAGCGGCCATGGCGGTGCTCGCCATGACCAGATGCTCGAGAGCTTCCTCGTGGTCGCCCTTGACCTGGGATATGAGGGCCATGAGTCTCCTGTCGGCGGTCTCCTCCAGTGGTGGCTCCTCCCCGCTCTCTCTGTGGATGTCCATGGCCGTCCTGCAGAGCTCCTTAGCTTCGTCGAGTTGCAGCGCCTGGAGATGGACTTCGGCAAGGAATCGGCAGGTTTCACCGACTCTTGGGTCCATCGCCCCCAGCGCATAGCTCTGGATCTCCAGACCGGAAGAGTAGCAGGCTATGGAGTTCTCCAGCTGACCCATCATTGAATATGTGTCCCCCAGCTGCATCTGGCCGGCGAACTGGGCGAGGGCGTGGGACTGGCCTTCTTCCATGGATGGGATCTGAATTGATCGCTTTAGCGCGGGTATGGCCTGCTCGTATTGCCCTAAGCTGCTGTAGATCCCCGCAAGAACATGCAAGCTCATCACCAGGTCTAAGCAGGGCTTCCCGTTCGCAGTTCTTTCGAATGACTTGACCGCCCGCAGTGCATAGTCGAGAGCTCTCTTGTGGTGATCCCCTGAGATCAGTTCTCTGGCGCGCTTCAGATTGAAATGTCCGAGGTCGGAATTATTCAGAGCGGATTCTGAGAAATCCTCGGTTCCGTTCCACGATTTTGCTTCCCCGCCGGTGGAACTCCGTTTCTTCGCATCAGCGCTTAATTTCTTTCCCCTCGGATCACCTCTTCCGGGAGAGTCCTTGTTTTCAGGTTCTGGCATCGATGAATCGGAGGATTTGTCGGAGGATCTGGCCATGCTCTCCTTCATCCGGTCAGAAAATCCATTTCCCTTCTGGGAAGCCCCCGTCTCCCCTCCGGCGAGGTGGTGCAACTCTGAGTCGATCCTCAATTCCTCACCTTCAGATCCGAAACTCCTTGTTATGCAGCTGTCACCAGAGCTCATCATCTCGCATACATTATCGTACAGTTGATCAATCGAGGCATCCAGAGAAGGGTGATCGACGACCTTTTTTGGTGTGTTCTTGGTGTTCGAAGGAGGAATTGGAAAATCATTTGCCGGTGGATGGTCCTCGAGCTTGGGAAAACTTCGATTATTTGGCATTACAATCTCATCAGCACCCTCCACGGTGTCACCAGGCATTTTTCTAGGAGCAGAAACCAGCAGAACAGGATGAACGGTTCGATGCGGACTACCCTAGCTCCTGAAAATTCTACGCAAACGCATTGAATCAGAAAAGTCTGATGATAATTTCCGCAATCGAGAATGCAACCTCGAAGAAACGGATGAAACTGACATCGTCAGAATCAAAAAGTAGGATGCTTGCATCCATTTATGAAAAGTGATAAGAATTAGAGGTATCACTCCAGACATTACGATTAATAAATTAATTTAAATAAAAATATACGCCGCAATCTAAAGTCGAAAAGGAAATGTGCATCGCCTTCTTGTTTCGAGAACGAGAAAAGCAGAACATTCGCGAAATACAAGGAAAAGCAGGGAAATTATTTGAATTATCATGTCATCCGGCCAGATCAAATAAGGAGCATTCCGAAAAACACACGGAACGAACACCATTGAAACCCTAGGGTTAAATTTTCGAAGCATATTCAGGATCATCTCATCGAGTTCCCACAGACCACGCACCTCGATCGCGCAGATATAGAGAGATAACGCCGGATCTCTCCAACTGCTCTTCCTCGCATCGGATGTTCGCCCAGCAGGAGACGATGTCCGTGCCCGCAATGAAAGAGAATTAGATGGGGGAAAGAGGAAGGGGAGAGAGAGAGAGGGAGGGGTACAGAAGAAGCGGTTGCTCCTGGCGGGGTGGGTAGGCTGGGAATAAAGGCTTCTGATACAAAATAAAGGCACTCTCTGCTCCACGACGATCGATCAGACAATGAGATCATCATCAGCAGTGGCGAAATCGCAGAGATTCTATCGACGAGGAAGAGGGAGGCAAATCTTTTCCCCTCCTTCTATCTGCATCTCTCTCTCTCTCTCTCTCTCTCTCTCTCTCTTCGCGCGCGCAGGGTGTCTAAATTAACCGACACGTCTGGGAGCAACCGCCATTTTGGACGTTTGTGATCCCGGAGATCGCCCGCTAATTGTGGGCGAGATGCAGATGGTGACTGAGCCACAGCCAGACGACAAATTCTGTTTGTGGGCCCCACAAACACAACCTCGGGAATCCGATGCAACTGCCCGTGACACATTAATAGACGGCGGCCGTGTCATAAAAACGGAGTGGAATGGTCATAGCTACGGCCCAGTGGGCCAGAATACCGTGGGCCCATTAACTGCCGACTCGCCTTGAATGGCGGGCCCCACAGAGGGGTGGTCCATATCGTAGCCCGGCCCGTTCGCTTTGAGTATATAAAAAATGTCGCTTTAAGCATATCTTATATCCATCAATTAAGGCTCATTTTCTCCCTAAATTGAAAGGAAATTTCTGATAAAAAGTAAAACCCACTCAAATATTTTAAAAATTAGACTAAAATGAAGAATCCCCCCTCTCGTCACAGTTCCTTAATCAGAGTACCTGAACGCATTAGGAAGCAAAACATGAAGGGAATTACAACCTGTAGAGAGAGAGAGAGAGAGAGAGAGAGAGAGAGAGAGAGAGAGGGAGAATAAGCTATGGCCTATTTTACCATATAAATGGAATTATTTCCATATGCTGAAGCTCATTTTCCCTCTATATTATAGGAAAAGTTGCAGTAAAACTAGGATCCATACAGATCCTTAAAAGTTCAGACAAAATGAATGTCTGTTTCCCTCATTATCATTCCAGTAATCATGGTACCTAAACACGCCCAACAGTAGGACACAGAAATCACAGCCTAGAGAGCGAGAGAGAGAGAGAGAGAGAGAGAGAGAGAGAGAGAGAGAGAGAGAGAGAGAGAGAGAGAGAGAGAGAGAGAGAGAGAGAGAGAGAGAGAGCCATACCTTTCAAAGACGCAGCAGGCCGGAAGACTGTAATGCATCCTGAAAACGCCCTACAAGCCCCCTCCGTTCGACAGATTTTAGTGATAGAAACAGCGTCGGATCTTGCTGCAGACCCTCCGACCAGGTCTCGAGAATGGAGACGATCTTGTCGAACTGAGGCCGCGTTTCTGGGTTTGCGGACCAGCATTGGGTGATGAGACGACCAAGAGCCGGAGGGCAGTCAGCAGGTATAGGCGGCCGAGCGTTCTGGGGCAATGAACAAATACGCAGGAAGATGACTGAATTCACACTTAAAATGAAATAATTATGATCTCCAATCTGGGTGGGTTTCCTAAGCAAGGCTCAGCATACCTTCTGGGCGACGGCAAAAGCAGCTTGCTCTGGAGTCATATCGGAGAAAGGGGTCAACGCTGTGAGGAGCTCCCAGAGGACTATGCCGAAGCTGTAGACGTCAACCTTCCGAGTATGGTGCTTCCCTTTGATCATCTCAGGGGCCATCCATCGGTATGTGCCTGTGAAGCCTTTTGCGTCGCCGCACTGAGACTCCAGGCAGGAGATTCCGAAATCGGCAACTTTGACGGACATATCTTCCGCAAGAAGTAGATTCTCCGATTTCAGATCCCTGTGGAGTATCCCCTGAGAATGAAGGTAACTCATTCCACGAGCAATGTCCAAGGACAGCTTCACTACCAGCTTGAGAGGGAGAGAGTGTGGTTCCTGCTTGTGGAGGTATCTCCTCAGAGAGCCCCCCGACAAGTATTCGGTGATGATGCAGAACACCGGAGGCTTCTTGCATGCTGCGACGAACTACAGCAGAAGCGGAATGAGCGGGGGAGATGAGAACATAGTAATAATTAGACAAAATGCATATATGGGGGGGGGGCAATGTCTTGATTTCCATTAATAACCACATTCTTCAGTTGCACAGCGTGTATTGGCATCAGGCAGAGGACGAGAAGCACTGGGTGGATTTCTGCTGATTTACTGTTACTCATTTCCAGCACATCAAGAGTCAACTAAACATCATTATCAAACTTGTAGTGGGGAAAGTGAGCAGGAGATGATACGACACAAGCAATCAATGGCTAAGAAGGCCATCCCACCATATATGGCAGCAGGTTTGAGGCGTCAATCAGATAATGTTTCTAGAGGGGAAGTCAGAATCTCCTGCTAGAAACATGACCAGGGGTGGGAGTAACCAAAGGACGGGGATCCCTCAACAGAACTCCGAGGGATGGCAGCAAGGTCTCTGCTTCTGGCAAGCGGCATATCAGCCAAGGAACCGGGGGAGGAGGGTAAGATCAATTGGGTTGACTGCCTCACATGACGGTCGAATCAAAATGGGCAAAAGATTGCGGTCAGTGGTCTGGGGAGTGTCACAGGATCCCACGGAAGCTATTTCTAACTGTGAATAGCTCAAAAAATTGTCATTCTTCGGTAGAAGCAGCGGTTATAGGGCAATGATGGAAAGGGAAACCTTTTACTTCTTTAAATCTGTCTAAGCATGAATCCCTATCTCTACTTTGCAGTGGTGATTCAGCTCCTAAATCAACACATTGGAAGCCCCCTGAATCAGAACTTGGATCAGACACTGCTGATTCCTTTGTACGATGCCTGTGAAAACAGGTTCAGGCCTAGAAAGTATGAAGAATGAAGGAAAAGTTTGGCGCTTCAGGATGAGGTCAGCAGGTCAGTCTGGAAACGAGCTGATAAACATGAGGGAAGAAGATATGGGGGAAAGATGGAGGAAATGACAACATAACTGGAATATGTATGTGGGGAGTCCAGGAGACACTGGTAGAATAGATGAAGACATTTAAAATGCCTTTCCATAATGTCAAATTGAGGCTTCAAGTGGGAATTATGAAGAATAAGAACAAAAACACGTCCAATAACGGATAAGGTAGGGGGGAAAGGAGATCACGAAACTAGAAAAATGGAGAAGGGGTGAGCCAGGAAGAAGAAAAAAGGGAAGGGGATTCAAAATCGGAGGTTTTTCGAATAAAGAAAATTTAGTGGAACTTGATAGGCGTTCATAGCATGGTGTCTAGGGAATCTGAAAGGGAGTGAAAGTGGATATTATTAGATAATGCAAAGAACATGATGATATATGAAGGAAGAGTTGGTGAGAGGGACATAGTTAGGTTTCTCTAACGAAGTTGGTTCGTGGGAGTGAGTCTAAGGGCTTTTTACTGAGAGATAATTATTTTGTGAAACGAGTTAGGCTATAGTCTCTCAGACATCATCCATTTCCTGTTCTATTTTTTTCAAGTTGTTTAGAAGGATACATTAATGCTGAACTTTTTGCCAGAAAAGCCTGAAGAAAAATTATAAGGGAGAGAAGAAGAGTTCATAGAGTTCATTGGAAACAATAGGGAGATGTCTGCAATTGCAATTCGTTATATCTTCGAGTCCTTTCAAATTTGACAAATTCTTGATTTCGATAGTCCGGAAGAGGTATTTCTTAGTGCCCGGGTAGATATAATTGAATGGAGAGCGCTGTATCACAAATTTATTCCATTTTTTCATTTTGGCTCGTTTCGGTTTTTTTTGACCAAATTGTCCTGATCTATTTATTTTGGAAACAGGCGAGAGCAGATATCTGAAAATTGACACATATCACATGGATCAGATGAAGAACCAGAAAAGGGTGATGAACATCGGATGGCTTATAGAAAGACTATTTCTTCTGCCATATCTGATAAAACGTATCAGAGGATGTTCGTGAAATTGTATAGGAGAAATTTTCAGAATGCCCTCATCACTAGTTCCAAAAATCTTTTACTTGATTAGACCAAACAGGCCATTCTAAAAGTCTGGCTTATGATCAGATTTAATTGCCTATGTTTACAATGTCATTTTATAACTCAAGTTGGGATAGATTATGGATTTTTTTTGGCATATAAAATATTCAGATATTATTATTTTTCGTCTCCTTGAAATTTCTGGTGTTGGGGAAGCTGAAATGGTTTTTACCAACTTTTTAATTTGGTGATGCCTCGAGTTCTATCTATTTCAAACAAAAAGTCTTCAGCCTGGATGTTTTCCCAGACCGTTAGTAGATCAAACCTCCGAGAACAGCATTCCAGGGATGTACAGTACCCTAGAAATACGACCCAGACACGGGATAAAGAGGCCTATCATTGAACTATCTGAAATATAGGAAATATGCCTATTCCTTCACTTATAAAACAAAATTGATGTAAGGCGGGTTATCATTGTGCTGAAAAATTTAAGATTTCCCAAAAGAATGACAATAGGCTTTATACTCCATTTTTCCAGTGACATCAGATATTTGGATGATTTGGTTTTCCCACTAAACCTGGGGCTGCAGGTTCCATTAGATTTACTCTTTCAAAATGATACACTTAGCTATGAACTAATCCAAAAAAGAGCAGGAAAGATACATCAAGCAAGATGAAACATCTACCAAAACAACCTCATCTCTCAAACCAGCCAGAAACTACGGATAGTATAATTTGTCGTTGATTCTTGAAATAGAGTCTGCTATTTCTAGAAACGTTATTATATAAACCCCAAAATAAGAACAAATGTACCAAAAATACGGGAGATTACACAAGGAGGAAAAGCTGTGAACGATTGAAAAAAAATTGAAGCAACGTAGACTGCACAATATGCTAAAAGGTGACTTAGCACACCAAGTAGTATAGTGAACTTACACCAACAATATTTGGATGCTGGAGGCACAACAAAAAAGACACTTCTGATTTGAACTGCATCTCTAATGATAAAGCCAAAATCTCATCTTCCTCTGGTTGACTCACAATCTTTATTGCCACTTCTCTCTGCTTGTACATCCCACGGTAGATCCGACTATGCCGGCCTTTCGCAAATTTATCACCTATGAACAATTCAGACATATCAGCACTCCATTCCTCTTCTCCTTCTTTTATCTCTCCACCATCAGAGACCAGGTATTTTGACCATGATTCTGCCCTCCTGTATTCTCCCAGAGAAAGCCTCCTTTCTGGTCGACCACGATTTGCATTCTGCCTAAAGCAATCAAAATTCAACATGGACGAGTGATTCTGGCGGGTTAGTCACAGAAGTATAAAATTTCAAAGCCCAGAAACAAGAACCTCGAATCTATCACTGGGGGAAGACAGTTATGATCAGCTACATCGTTGGCAATTACTTCTAAGTGGCTGAGGAATGCACAACTTATCTCTGTATGCACTACAGTACTCACTAAGGAATAACATATTAATCATGTGCACACTCTATGCAGTCTCTTCAACCCAATATGTTACTTTCATTGCCCTCATTTAGCAGAAGATCAAGATAGACGGTTCATCATAATCTTGGTTTTTTCACTTTATTATATAATCTCCAAGTAAAATGCCAACTCCACGACGTCATGAAAAGCTCACAAGGTTCAGACCGAAATCTCTCAAAACATATGAGTATCAGACTTTTCTAAGCACCGAGCTCCAGAAATCTCTTTAATCGAAATCATAGATTCCAGTGCTTAATGTTCGTCAGATAAACAACGTAGCAATCAACCAAAGAATGAGAACAGGAAAGCAAAAATCAGGCGCAGCAAGTCATGGAAAACAAGTCTGAAATCAGATCTCTCAAGTAATCCATTCTAGCAGCAAACATAAATCCACCAATTCTCCTCAGATCCCGGCGCGAGGACGATCTAGAGCGCAGTGAAGTTTCAAATCCGATGATCCCTCTACGCATACACCCAAACACCCACACACCATCTATCCACAATGCAAATGTTCCAACGCGAGAACGGAGACGTCAGCCCTTCAGCCAGCCATAAACATGTCCAATCTCCCGAGATCTGGTTCCTCCCCGCCCCGACGGCATAATGCATGGGCCCGCCATTCTCTGACCTCTCGGAGACTACCCCCACTTTCTCCCCCCCCCGGGGCTCCACCGCACACCAGGCAAGAGAGAGAGAGAGAGAGAGAGAGTAGAGAGGCACTGTTGGTGCAGGGGGACGAGGCCGACGGCTGGGTTGGCATGAAGGGGTTGATAAAGACGCGGCTATGAATAATAATAAAGATCACAAGGACAAGGGCGTTGGCGGCTCTCTCTGGCGAAACGTGGATGGCAACCAAATGCCCAAATAACCACTATTTTCCACAAAAATAACGATATTACCATCAGAAGAAAGGTTCTGTCTATTGCGCACAAGGCGGGCTATCATTCCGGCTATGGAAATCCCCTTTTCGACGAGACTTTCAAATTTGGCGGAGTGACGACGATTTGACTCGGGTTCGGCCCGTCGGCCCGATTTGAGGGGTAATTTCGTATTTTTCAGTCTGGTACAAGGGCAATCGGATTAGGATCATGGTTCTGAGTGTGGGGAATCCGATCAGCGTATATTTCTCTGTCAAGTGGGCCCCACACACTCCCACAAAGTGCCTCCTACTCTGGACCGATAGCCGTATGGAGGTTCCGTATACGGCCTTTAAAGTTGCCACGTCAGCTGGAAATTATTTTTTAAACTAAATATTTTTATTAATTTCTCGCTCAGCAAGTTGTGCTCGAACTCTTAAATTAGTTATTAAATTAAAAAAAAAATCGCGTATAGTTTCAGAGAGAGAGAGAGAGAACGGTGGCAATTTTGAGAGATGAGTCTGTGGGACTAATGGCCCACTAAACGGGCATCGATTAGGTCCCGCTGAAACTTGATCGGCCCAAATTCCTTAATGGGTCTGATTCAGAAGTGAGGGAACAATTTGGGGAAAGAGGAGAGTAACCGGCCCAACAGTGATACGCAGGATGATGGGCCTGCCATACTGTGGCCCATTTTATTCGTCTTCCTCCTAGGAAGAACAATGAGGATGCTTAGGTTGCCCATTTGCAGGGTTTTTAGGCTGAAAAAGGGTAAGACGGTATTTGAGACCATAAAACAGGGGGGGGGGGGAGGAAAGAAGGGTCCGCCTTCTTCCACAAATCCAACAAAATAACATGATCTGTACGCTGTAAGCTTCCTGGGTCTCGTTACCGATGGAAAACCAGAGGACCCGCAACTGGAAATCGCTATCTTGGAGGAGAAATAGTTTCTGACGGGGATTCAGAAGTGACCACGGCGGCGCCGCCAGGGATGATCGTCGGAGACCTTCGGTGGTGGGTTCTTTGCTATACTGTTTCCGACGAGGAGGCGGCTGGGAGAAAGAAACCCATGGATCAGGGGATCTTGCTGAAGAGGATGAAGGCGGATATCAGTGCGCTGATGGCGAGCGCCGCGAAGGCGAGGAAGGAGACGGAGATGGACCCGTTGGCCATCACCGTGAAGGGGTCGCTTCCCCAGTTGGTCACCCAGTCGGTGTTCCTGGTGGCCGCTGCAGTCGCCGCCGCGATCAGGAGGTATGCCAACACCTGCGGCAGCTCAAAGACGATCATGGATGGTTCCTATGGTTTTGGGCAGGTTCAGGAAGCTCACCTGATCCATGGCGAAGTCGAAGTAGAGCCGTATGGGCAGGGGGATGATGTCCTTGTCGCTGATGAGACGGTGGACCTGCGCGTAGGCTTGGAATCCCGAGTAGACAAAGGCGAGGATGTTCACTGTGATGCAGAACCTGCAACTCCCCCCACAAACAAGCAGGACGAGGATCAGGCCTTGATATGGACATTAATGGCGACAGGAGAAAGAGGGCTTCTACCGGTACTCCATGTAGCGGTCGAAGGAGTCCCCTGCCCAACCCTTTGTCCGATTGGCGGCCATCACGGAGAAGGAGACCAAGGACAGAACCACGGCGGAGAGACGGGCGAGGATCGCCACCTTCGCGATCGCCTCTCCACGCTTCCGCCGGTGGAGAATCCACGAGACCACCCCCGATCCCTTCTCAGCGTCTCCGGGGGCGGCGGCTTCGAGTTTCTTGACGGGCGGCGGTGGGTCCTCCCTCGCCGCTCGGTTGAGTATGGAGATCGCCGGCGGCGGCGCTGGGTCGTTGACAGGTCCGACTACGTGAGAGGGGGAACTCTGGAGAAGGGAGGAAAGGCGGTGGGTGGGGCTGGGCTTGGCGGAGCGGGGTGCCGCCGGTGCCGATGGCGGTGGCGGGTTGTCGACAGGTCCGACTTCGTGAGAGGGAAATCTCTGGAGAAGGGAGGAAAGGGGGTGGGCGGGGACGGTCTTGGCGGAACGGGGCGCCGGCGGTGCCGACGGCGGTGGCGGCGGCGGGGGGGGGTTCGGCTTGGAGGTGGAAGACGGCACTAGGGTTTGCCGTGTGGGGAGGGTAGCAGCTACTTCGCGGTGCGGGGGATCGGCAGCGGAGTCGGACGACGCTGCCTGCTGTGCCGTCGGGAGCGGCGGATGGGGAGTGGGTTCCAAGCGGATGCGCTTGTTGGGAGAGCCGTCGGAGCCGTCGGAGTCGGCGGAGTCGGGCGGCGCCGGCTGCTGTTCCGGCGGGGGAGGCGCTCGGGAAGAGGACTCCATGCGGCGGCGCAGGAAGAGAGAGATAGAGAGAGAGAGAGAGAGGGAAAGAGGTTAGTGGAAGACGGACGAAATTTTTGTGGCTCTCTCTCTCTCTCTCTACGAATCCGTAAACTAGCGCACGCTGGAGGGCATCTCTCGTGCTACTTCTGCTTTGCTTCACCCCTGCGCCTTCCTCTTTCCACCTCCAGACCCATAGTGGCTCCACATTCTTATTCGTCCTCCCCCGACTATCCTGTCGTCAAAAGAAGAAAATTCACCCTTTCCTCTGAAAAGGTCAAAGCGCCCTTCCTCTGCGCTCATATTCTATCCCACGGGCAAGTTAACAAGCCAATATATATTATAGATAGCGCGCGAGCGAGAGAGAGAGAGAGAGAGAGAGTGAAAGAGAGAGAGCTCTGATGCCACGCGTCTTGACGGAGGTGGTGGTTCCACGGTCGGGTCAACGTAAGTGATGAGACGACGGGGACAGATCAACGACAACACAGGACAGTGCGGGGTCAGCGGGGGCGTTGGCCTCCGGCGCGCCACCGTCCTCTCCGGCGCCGGCGATGGGGACGACGTTCTCCGTTCGGATGGGCCACAACAGACCCTGCAGCCGCAGCAGGTAGCTCTGCGCCGCCGGCGGTGAACTCACGTACCGCGCCGCCGCCGCCGCCGCTGCCGCCGCATCGCCGGCCGGCGGCGTCGGCCGGCGCGCGTCGGCGGGGATGTCGGAGAGGGCGCTGAGATCGAGGTCGGGGAAGACTGAGCAACGGCATCTGGGGCACTTCACGTTGAGCCGCAGCCATTCGTCGATGCACTCGACGTGGAAGTTGTGGGCGCAGGGCAGCCCCCGGACCTGCAATAAGTCAAAGACCCATTTTTTAAATCTATCTTTTTTGAGAAAAAAACTACGTTAAACTAGAAAATAGGAATTTCTTTATTTTATTCATAAACATCTAAAAAAGGAAATAGATAAAAAAGTACGCGCTAACAAGCAGCGACAGCCATGAAAATCATTTCTTCGGAGTAAAGAGGAAGATGAGCTCCCTACCTCGTTCCCGACGCGGAATTCTTCAAGGCAGATGGGACACTCGCTGCAGTCGGTGGGGACGGCCTTGAGCCAGAACTTGGGGAGCTCCTGGATGAGCGCCTCCACAGCTTCTCTCTGTTCAAACACCATTGGAGAGTGGCACCGAGTTACAGCCATGAAAAATCCGCATCGGATAGTGATGAGAGTTTTTTCTTTTTTTTTTTTCACCTGGGTGGCGGTGAGGTAAAGGCCGGGATGGTACGCGGTTTCCTGACCCATCACCCTGAGCTCCTGTCCGGCGACCTCGAATGCCCAATCGGGTACCCGGATCATGTCAACCAGCACCTTGACCAGGAAGGAAAAGGTCAGAATGTGAGGAAAATGAGCCTCTCATTTGTATACCAAGGAGAGACAATAGCTAAAAGTGGTTAATGGCCAAGCTAATTCTTTCAAATCAGATGGGAGCCGGAAAATCATGCTATTTTGAGGCTGATATTGCATGGGTCAACTCACGAGAGGATCTGAGATACAATCGGGATAATGTTCCTGAATTTGGTAGTAAGGAAACAAGATAACTAGCAAGCAGGATTCGACAGAAATCGCTGTGGGTGTTGACCAGGAACTCTGGCACCTCTCAATCCAAATGGAGGTATGCATCGATCAGGAGCTCAGCTACATGAATCAGGTGTATGTACTGAAAACGATACATAAAAGTCTGAAGATCTGTAACGTCATCCTGCATGACCATCACTTATTGGCTTTGGAAAATGTCAACTTCAGTATGGCTCTTCATTTCCACCCAATTTGTTGGAAAATATTGCCTGTATTACTATTTCCATTATTGATACCCAATAATAAGTGGCAATGCTAAGTAGATGTGAAATCCCAGGAATCAAGATACACAGGGTTAGAAGAAGAGGCCTTGCTCACCCCATACTCAGAGATCGGGATTCCATGCTGTGCACGTTGGAAGTGTGCTTGCCTTCGGGCTAGCCACTGTAGACGAAGTTCAGAAACAAAATTAGTTCAGAAAACGTTTCTCTGTAAAGTCAACGCGGGAGCAGCAGCAATCAACGTTTTTAGATGAGTTACGCACATGACAAATAAGATACGTGGAGGGTTCACTATGACAAGATGAAAGTTGTTTATATGGCTAATGGTGTCCCGACTTGAAAATGCTTGAAAAGGCTTCAGCATGTATCCAAGGTTGCATCACGAGCATTTTCAGTAAGAAAGAATCAGCAAAATATCATAGCGCTCACCATTAACAGCTGCTGCCATCGTTATCATCCTATTGGGATTGAGAACATAAATCTAATCTTGCTATTACTTTATACCGTATATCATATTCATTTCTAAATATGCCTATACTAAATATTCTTCATCATTTTTTCCATCCAGGTTAATTCGGAATTTACTGCTTCCCTGTAAAGAATCAATAGAAATGGTGTTCCTTTCTTCTAATCGTTGTGTTCATGCAAAAAATGGTAAAATAACTTAAACGAATTGTGTTACTTATTTATATTTTCTTATATTTCAATAATCTTACATGGATTCTGGAATTAATCTTTATCCTTGGTACTCAACTAAAGCATTGGTGTACCTTTTTCACCTTTCTCCTGCACATCGTGTTTCCTTTTTGAAAAAATATTTAGCATAATTTTTTTCCCAATAAAGACATAGTGACACTCTTTGTTTAAATACTTCAATCGAAATAACATCTGGATCATTTGGTTCTCTTTTTTCCATATTTCTCACTGCTTTTTTTACTCCATTTTTTAGAAGTGGTCGATGGCACAACATTTCCGTCCTCCAACATATGTGAGTAGTGAATTTCCCCACATGAAGCAGAAAGACCTGATTTAACAGCGGGTTTTCGCTAATAAAAACTCGAGTTTTTACTTTCCGTGGGCACCGCCACCTCCAGGTCCACTCCAAAAGGTGAAAATCCTCTGTTTTCGGCTTTTGAGCAGATTTTGCTTAAAGCTTTTTATTTGGCCCCTGCTCTCCCTCTCGCCTCTGGCGTCAAATCAGGATCTGCTGGACGTAGACTTTTCAACCGTGTCATCTACCATACCCATGTTGTCATTGATTTGTCACATGATAACTAAATGTTTGCTTAGAGTGAAAACTCTCATCGATCTCTAATTTGAGCACACAGACATCTCTTCACGCAGGTGGCATGTGATCCTCCACCAGACCTTACATGTTCTATATATACAGAACCTAGCATAACACTTTCTCCCATGAGAACCAGAGACTGAATGAGATGAAGCACCTAATCTCTAATGAAAAAAATACAAAAAAGTAAGGAGAGACAGGAATTCTATACCTTGTGAATGAATCTACAACAACACGATTACCTATTCCCAAGTTACATGCAGTTATTGTGAATTAAACTGGTTAGCAGGCAATATGTTTCAAATGGAGAACGAAAATAAACATAGTCATTTGCATTCAATTGGAAGCCTTCCCCTACCTCGACGACAAGACCTATCCACCTCCTCACTCACTCTTTCTTCATCTGAGACTGTTGGAAACAGGGCTCTTTTCTATAACCAAAATTTATTGCTAGGATGATGCTCTCAGAAGATCATTATGTACGCTCTTCGAGTTCTTCTTCTTAAGGATTTTAGATTTTTCATGTAAAAACATACGGACAAAATAACACTTTCAAAGTGCCACGTTCAGAACAAAGAAACGGAATTCGTTGGACTGAACAGCATGACATGGTTACTGATGAAAAAAATGCATCCTTCACAGATCAAAACTTTGTGTTGAATAGCCCATTGGTCTCAAAAAGAAAAAAATAATTCATACAACGCAAAATTTGAAATGGAACCCATAGAAATGCAATAGATAAAGATATGGTGACTCTAATATATAAAGATATGGAACCCATGCTCAGGCGGCTATACCAAGAAACTTTAAGTTTCCAGAAAGATGACCATACATTTGTCAAAAGAACTACGAACCTTCCCAATAGAAATGCATCCCAGACATACGAGTCCACAGTGGCTGAAAAGCAGCCAGATAAGGAAGCCCCACTTTTGACCTTCCTCTGGAAGCTGCATCCATCAGAAGCGTAAAGCGATTGAGTGCAGTCTAACAATGCATCTGAGATCTGATTTAACCTTTATGTGAAAAGAGACTTACACAGCGTCTAGCACTAGCGAACCATAACGTACCAATAACTGTCCAAACCCAAAGAAATGGGTAAAGGAGGAGGACGAGAACCGAAAGCACAGCGATCCTTCCACAGAATCGAACATATCGTTGCTGCCAACCAAGATCCCTAGAACCGGATTTTCATCAAAGGGGAAGCTGTTGATTGCCAATCATTTTGTATAAAAATAAAGATGTGTACATTAGCGCTGATACACCTTTCTGCATTATCGAACCATTCCGAAACGGGTGTGACATTCTATTTTGAAATGTTCTATTGGCTTTTCTAAGGCCCAGAACTGTGGTAACTATAGCACAATGAGATCAATGCTAGGATTGCCATCTATCTGAATCAGTATGTTCCGTTGAATCCTTGAGGGCTGCAAAATCATATTGCTAATTTTTTTTAAAGGATCCATAAGCAAGTGATACCGAGTTGGGTACGATTCTCATTAGATGCATCTGTATGATCAAGGAAACTAATATACTTGACATTTCCCTGGTCATTCAGTTTCAGCGATATCAGATGGTTATGCTAGAGGAACGTGGTGGCAAAGTTTCAACTTGTCGGATACAGCTGACAACAGATGAAGCGAGAAGCAATATTTTGCAAAGAAAATAATAGAAATAGGATATCGGATATCAGTACTTACAAGCCCATTCCTGCTGCAAGACCATTGTCAACAAACATTAAGAGCCGAAAAATAAAGACTGTTGTATAGTCAACCTGAGATGAACAGATAAAAAAACCGTCACAATTCAAAAAAGTACGAATATCAATGAAAAGCTCAAATCAGATGTACCCCTGAAAATATACTGAACGAAGAGAAACTTACCACAATCCAGATGTGCAATGGATGCGTGCAGAGATGATAACGCTTCCAATTGATCGAAACAATGATTCTTAGGTGAATAGGTCAAGGAATTCAGAATACCAAGAGCAATCAAGTTAACGGTAAAACCTGAGCTCGCGACGAACGCGAATGACTACGAAATTTTAGCGTGATACAGACAGTATTCGAGTTTTGGTGGGAGAAAGAATGCAAACGTCTGAGAACCTCTTTCGCTTTAGATATCTTGAGATTAAACTTAATTTTCTAAAAAAGTCATCGACATTGAAACTATCATGGTCCAGACAACCAGAAGGATACACGCTCGTCGCGAGCATAGACAGGAAGAACCCATCGTACCTGCCATAGTAGAAATATCGCCGATATATAAAGCACTCGAAAGAACCACAATAATATGAACAAATTAATCATACTCCCAAGTTTATAATCGTTTAGTTTCTCTTTTTTGTAGAGCGTCAGACAAATAACGGGAAATATGAACAAGGATCCCAACTCACCACTTGAAATCGACGCCTCTCATCGCCATTGAACAGGAACCAACACTAGAACGCGGGTTCAATCCCAGCAAGGACATCCATTTCTCGAGATCCGACGCGAATAAGATCAAGGCCGTGCGGCGTCCCCCCGAGGCCTGGTGTCATCGAAAAATCCAAGCCTCCTCCGCAAGCCGACAGATTGAAGCCGATTTCAACAAGGACCAAGGAGAAAATCGCGACGATAACAAAACAAGGCGAATCAACTACAGAGTTGGAAAGGCGACTCAGATACAGCGAAGAACTGGAGAGAGAGAGAGAGAGAGAGAGTATCGGCGTTGTGCGCCGTTTAGGATCCAGGGTCTTAGCGGGCCGGGTTCACGATGTTGGGCCCTGTTTTGATGTTGATAAAAGCCAGGGCCCAAGAGACTCTCCCACCCCTGAATTGGGAGTATATAAACCCATTTGGACGCCACTCAGTCCATCCTGCTACCATGCCCACGCGACGAAGGGGAATCACCGGGCCGAGCCTCACCAAACCCGTCGAAAATGGCCCGGAAAGCTGAATCCGGCCCGAACCCTCATGCCACAGAGAGAGACAGAGAGATAGAGGAGAGAGAGTGACGCCCGCCGTAGACCAGATTGGGGAATTGAACGGGCGAGATGGAGAGATGGAATCGGGCCGTGTTGACTGGGATCACCAAGGGCAATATCGTCATGATGACAGGTAAGGGCCCCACGTAGCTTAAACCTCGGGAAAAGTTAGAGAAGGAAAATGGAAAATTCCGCTGCCTTCCCTTCCTGCGGACTCCGACGGGAAGACTTAGTAGCCTCACGTCCCCTCCTCTACTTCTTCCAGTTCCACACACCAAGAAGGAGATGGCGAGGGACCGGAGCGTTTGCCTCACCTTGTGCTGTGGGAAATTCCCGGGCGTGGACTTTCGCGTCTGATATGGTCGATACGTTGATCTCCGTCGCCGCGATCTGAATCTTGAGGGCGCGACCTCGGGCTCTGGGCGGCGGGAAGTGTTTCCTCGTTCGACCTGGGACATGGGAGCTTATGACTCGAACAAAAATAAGGAGATTTCCTACGGCAGGGAGGTCCGTTCTCCGTGGAGCGGAGCTGGGGATGGAGTCGGGAACCTGACGGAGAGGATTGGGAGCATGGGGATCGGCGATTCCCCAATGGATGGTTTAATTCAGGTCATAAGGGCGGTGGAGGACGCCGAGAATCAAATCAAGCAACAGGTAAGACTATCTCAATCCTGATGCGTAGCTTCCGTCTGGTGTATGTTTCAATTCTGCTGTAATATTTCCTCGGGCACTCATGAACCCTTGACCGTTTGAAGGAGCTTTTTGGTTGTCGCTATGTGTGAGAAATTTAGACGATAAATGTGAGCCAGAATCGTAATGCTGCCATAACTTGTCTTTTTTTTAGCCCTGAAGAAAAGATTAGCATCTTAGGTTTGTTATATAAAACGACCGAGTTTGCAGATGTAGTTGGTGCACAGGTCATGGTACTTATTGGAAGAAAGTAGGCATTAGAGGTCTGAAAGGCTGGTGTGACTCAGCAGAGACTGTCGTGTAATTTGAGGTAGTTCAATCACAATGACGCATTCGTACCTCTGATGTGAAAAATTGAAACGTTCACATTCTTTGGTTCTTAGATTGATCAGATTGAGGACTAGAGAAGATGCACCAGAAAAAAACCATTTTATGGCATACATGACTGTTTCTATTTTGAAATTGAGGTGAATGCCATTGGCCGGATTAAACCTGGGTTCGTGGCAGGAGGATGGTGGCATCTAACGCTCAGTCGAAGTTATGAAGATAAGGCGTAGGACATATAGTTTAGTCAGGATGAAGCACGGAATTACAGTGGGTTTTCTTTTTCGTGAAAAGCTAGGAGCTACCGTCAATTTTGGTAACATGGAGAGAGATGATGCATCTGTATACTCAATGTGTGTGTACAAATACATGAATGTTGATTCCTTTGAATGATTTTGAAATAGTTTTAAACTTATATGATGCTCTGTACAGGTTATAATCGATAACTTTTACTCTATTGATTGAAAACTCCTGTAACGGCAAAATAGTACAATAACCTTGTTTCCTATCCTTCAGTGGCTATCCAAGTAGATCCATTCTTTCACTATGAAGACTGAAAGCAGATGGACGAAATTTGAATTTACTGTCATAACAAGTGCAAAGACTGAAATCTATCACTGCAGACTAAGTTAAAAAGCGAACAGCTTGAGAAACACAATATGAAGAGCTTCATTTGATAATTCTGTCGTCAGGTTAAATGAGAATGTAGATGATGATTTTTTTTTAAACATTTTATATCATAAAATAGTGTCCGTCATTAGGCTTCAGAACATGATTATCTCTAGCTGCAACATGCCTGTCACTTACAGATTTTTCTGCCCCAAGATTAGTACACAATAGCATTTAGAAAGTCTTGGGTTACTACAACTAGAACAATATATAGGCTTAAATTTTTGTCCATCATGGATCCCTTGTCAGTTGAGTTTCTCATTGTAATGCTTGTTCTTGCATGTCTTGCCTTGTTGCGCCAATGCATCCTTTCTTTCATTTCCTGTTGTTGGTTCTTTTCTTTCCCTGTATTGTGTCTTGTCTACACATGTGTCCTTTCCCTGTTTTTTGGTGTTGTTTGGCTAGTGCCCTTGATTCTGTTAATGAGGTTTGAAATCCTGCAAAGTGTGAACATCATCTACCTCTATGAGTGTTGTTGGGGTTAGTCGTCGTAATAAATAAATGATCTATACATGACAAGTGCACCATTACAATTCGATTTTCCTTGTAGTGCTGCTTGTTGTCGCCTCTTTTGCTTGGGGTTGTGCATGCAACTCTCCTTTAGTCTTCTTTCCTTGTTTCTGCTCCTTCTATTTGTCCAGGTGCTTCCTTCCGACCTCGTCTTGCTGTGAGTCCTCTACATATTCCTCATCAACCTTGCAAGATGGAAAAACACGCCCCTCTGTTCTTCTCTCAATTATTGCAGTGATTACTCTTCGTCCTTCGGAGATTTCTCCTATTGCTGGTGATGGTTATTTGTTGCGCCATCTTACGTACATCTGTCCCCCTTTTTCAAAGTTTGTAGATGCTACGGGGTGCTATCAGTAGCTCCTTCAGAGACCGATATTCCCTGTATGACTCATTTAAAAGATCTTGATTAGCTGAGCAGTCGGTAGGGCGTTGCCTTCTTGATATTGTTGTTCAATACGTTGAATGTCTTGAACCCGTGCTATTATTTGATTCCACCATTTCCTGAGTCTCCATTGGTGGCATTTGTTTTATAGCACCATTTGAACCAAGACCTTTGAGTCAAATTCAACCCATATTTGCATAAGGTTGAGCCGCTTACATAGGATGAGGCCATCTGCTGGCGCGTTGCACTCAACCTCCATGTTAGTGCCATAATTATAACTTTCGAAAATGCTAAAATGATATGTCCATTGCTATCACAGATGATTCCACCTCCACCCGCTTAACCTAGATTGCCTCGTGAGGCCCCATCTATGTTTAATTTCACTTGATGCATGGGTGGAGGGGTCCATTTTATAAGTTGGTATGATCCATGATTCTGAATTTTCCCCACAACCAAGCCCCAACCAGCTAGTAGTGTCGCTTCATCCCTAGTTGTAAGTCTACAGGGCAGAACTACTGAATCTAATCCAGCCACCCACAATTTACATCTATGGGTGATGAAAGCAGGCTGGTACTCTTTTCCGGCCATCTTTACTAGATTTCTCCCTTTCTATATTTCCCATGGCATGCAGCCGAATGTCGTTCTCCTATTATTTTTGCCTTCAGTTCTCTCATTTTCTTCTTAAGAAAAACTCACTCCATTCTCGAAATGTTCTTGACCCCTGTCTAGTTAAGTCTACTTGCATAGGAACCAAAACCAGCACACAACCACCCATTCGATCTCAAAGAACAAGTGATCTAAAGTCTCAACTTGCGGATTGGTTGGGCAACAGCAACATTTTGAAGGTAATTGGACTCCTAACTGCCATAGATTTGCATCCATAGGTAGTGTGTCTTTCATTAGCCTCCAGAGGAAGAATGATAACTTGGACGGAGTGGCTAATCCCAAATCGCCCTACCCCATGAATGTATAATTCTCCTCGTCCTAAGTTGATTCCAGGCTGATTTAATGGAAAATTGCCGTCTTTGGTTAGTGACCAGATAGATTAAACCTTTTCGTCAGAATCTGGATTTGCATCTCTGAAATTTCCTCAATAATTTTACCATTCACTCTGAATCAAGCAAGAAAAGGTTTCCAATCTGATTGGAATAGCTGTCTCACCTGAAAATTTGGGTACTGTCCTTGGTAACCAGTGATATCAGCTTGCAAGCCCGCTCCTGATCAGTTGTTCTACCACACGTTAAACCTCCCCTCTTTTATGTGCCATCTAATTCGGAGTTTCATGTCTATCTAGGCTGTTTGTAGCTTTCTTAACCTAGTAGGACCCTTAATGTTGTTACATGTGTTAGGCCAGGGTCCTTATTTTGCTTGAATAAGATTCGTCCATAATGAATCGCTATTATGGATCCACCATGTCTTCTTCATCCTGCAAATCCTCATTTGCTCTCTTATGTTCCTTATGCCTAGACCTCCTTCGTCCACAGGGCAGCATGTGTCCTTCTATGAAACCCAATGCCTCTTCCTACAATCAAATGACCTTGTTCATAAAAAAATAGCCATGATTCTATCTAATCTATCAATAATCCATAGTGGGATGTCATAAACCGAAATCAAATGAATTGGCACGCTATTATGTACGTATTTAACTAGTGTAAGTCCTCTTCCAGGGCGTAGGAATTTAGCTTTCCAGCCATCTACTTTGCCACTAATCTTTGATAGCAAATCTTCGAAATAATGTTGTTCTAAAATTCGCTTGTAAATTGGACATCGAAGGTATTTGAAAGGTAGTGATCCTTGTTGGAAATCGGTATAAATGCGCATTATCCTTGACCTTCTAGGACTAGCTTTTGATGCTGTAAAGAAACAGCTTTTGTGTGCACCAATATTCTGCCATGATATCCCCTCATATTTCTGGAGAAAATTCATGAAATTTTTCATTTTTCCCACCATTTAGGAACATGATTCTGTCCTCAGCAAATAAACAATGAGAAATCTTTTGGCATCCCTTCTTGGTATAGAATGATTCTATAGTGCCCTTCAAATATAGTCTCTTAGTCCTCTACTAGGGCGGGGGAAAGTGGGTCTCCCTGTCGGAGGTCTCTGCTGGCTGTGGAGAAATCTGTCGAAGATCCATCTATGAGTAGGAAAAAATTGTTAAAACTAATACATGTCCTCACGAATCCTATCCATTATTCACAAAATCCAAATTTTCGTAGCACCTCAAGGAAGAAACTCCACTCCTGATGATCATATGCCTTCTCCATGTCTATTTTAATGATTAGATTGGACCCCCGGATCTTATAGTTTAATGATTGTGTCATTTCATGGACTACGGCAACATTCTCTTGTATGAGTCTTCCTTTCACGAAGGCTCATTGTTCCCTAGAGATCAACATTGGGAGTATTACACCCGATCTTTGATTCATCTTTTTCGCTATCACCTTGTAACATACGCTACATAGGCTGATAAGGCGAAAGTTAGTGAAAGATAAGGGAACCTTCTTAGGGATTAAAGCAAGGAAGGATGCTGTCCAGGGTCTTTGTGAAGAACTCCCCCACTGCTGCACAAAGATCCTCCCCTACAATGTTCCAGCAAACCATATAGAATCGGGCAGAGAATCTGTCTCGTCCAAGTGTGCTGTCACCTTTCATGCTAAACACTATTTGTTTAATCTCCTCATTATCAGGTGGAGCACAGAGAATGATTAAATTCCTGACTAATCAAGTGAGGTTCAATAGGTCATGGTTTGCGTCCACTGATTCTGACATTAAGAGTTCAGAAAATACTTTTTGCCCACTCGTTTCATGTCTTCTATTTTTCCTCCAAATTCTTTTCGGATCTCCTCAAAATAGTTCACCCTTCTTCTGTCCTTAATGGCTGCATGGAAAAATTTTGAGTTTTGATCTCCCTCTTTTAACCAATGGATGATGACTTATTGCTTCTCGAGGATAGTTTAAATGGATCTGTGCGAGATTGTGGAATAACAAGTCTTATTGTAGACTTTAGGACGTGGCAATCTTGAATTTTAGAGCAACCATGGATTTATGAAGTTTGGATTCAGAAGTTGAATGCTTATTGGTGAATCTCAGATGTCAATATGCCCACGGAAAAAAAAACGGACACCTAGTTACTATGACCACCGAATTGCGTGAAAAATTCGTGGCAGTAGGTTTGACAACAGCACTATTAATTTGTGAACAACCCACCACAGGACTGTGTCTATAGCTTGTCGTGAGAAATTGATCTTCAGTGTCTGCTAGGCTTCAGAAACTTCCAGAGACGTTTAAAGATGCCTTTCATCGCAGATGGGAAAATTCAAGAGTAATCCTCATGGAGTGTTATTTCAAACTTTTTGCAAGGAAAGGATTTGCATGCCTATTAATTAAGCCTTAGGATTCATTTTCCGTCCAATGTAGTTTTCTGTGTGGAAGTCTAGTTATGGCGCCTAATGAGAACATTGTAGTTCTTGATGCGAGTATCGAATGAGAGGCAAGCATTGTGCGCACATTTGTGATATTAGTCATCTATTAATGAAGGTGTAAATTATTGATTCTATGTTTGGATAAGGTGAAAAATGTGGTTTTGTTGAGGGAGCATATGGTGAATTTGGATGCAGTGTTTCATGTGTTTGACTTCCTGGAATATAACCGAGAATTGAGCCAAATCTACTAACAAATGTGGAGCTTATGTAACAGCATCATAGTCTGCTAGGAAATGTGGGGGTTAGGTAATGGCATACCATTTTTTGTCATTTATGTTGTTCCTGTTTATGAAGTCCTGTAGTGGGTGATGGCATCTCATCAAATTTGTAATTTGTATGGGGTTTTGAATTGCTTGTTGCTTCCACTGTTATTCTCCTTTTTTAGGAAATCCTTCTAATAGACTACATTCCTTCCTAGGGTTCAATCTATGCAACTCATGCTGATACTTGTTGGGGTACTCGATGTTACTAATTACATGATTTTTTGGCAAACTGTCTTGTCTTTATTTTTCAGATCTCGTCTTTTCATATCTAGGTGTTCTTTTCTACGTTATTGATTTTTGTGACGTGTGTAGTCATCTGAGCAATTAGGGATCGCTAGAGGGTCGTATATCTCGGGACTCAAGTGAACAAACATAAAAGGTGCCTATCTTGTCACCTTAATGCGTGCAAACCCTTGTCTGTCACCTCGATCATTCTTTTATTCTAATTCAATTCGACTAAATATTGATATAAGTTCCTAATGAATCTATACATTCATAAAGCACTCACTTGACCATGAAAATGGTATAGATAAAAAAATAGTTTAATAAATATCACATTATAAATTATTGGAAATGTGGAAAAGCTTACAGATTGGATGAGTCATGCTTTACTTTACCTTTGGGTATTGGCCTATTTTGATAAATTTTAACTAGGAAAATGTGAACTAGGATTATGAAGTTCTTAATCAGTGGTACAAGGATGTCTTCGTGATGGTATAAAATATGTTTCTCCAATAGTAAAACGATCACTTTGTATGGACTAGAGTTAGTTTGGGGCATTAGTATAACAGTGATATGGACCATGGTGCTTCAGAATCGCAAAGGTGTGTTTAATTCGGAGCCTTGATTTTCGCTGTCATGTTGATGTATAATAAATTAATTTACATTGATTTTAAAAGCTTCCTTTGCTGAATAGTCTCATTTTTGGATATCTTTTGGTGTATTAAGATGGGACTGTATCCTTTGCATCTCCTCCGAGTAAAGGCATTTTGATCATGTTAACATCGTCTTGCTATGTTTTCTCAGCTGGAAGAGAATAACAAGCTGCGGGATGAACTTAAGCAGAAGACATGTGAACTTGAGAAATATGTACGTTCCATTGATCCGTTTAATAATGTCCTGGGCTATTGCTTATCAATAATAGTATGAATCTCATAGGATTATTTATGATCTTTCTTGTTGTTAATGAGCAAAGTGGATCCATAGGCGTCCTTGGAACAGGGGAGAGAATAAGAAAAAAAAAACCCATTTATTAAGATGTTCTTCTTGAAATTGAACTTAGATATTATGTAATTTGATTTTTTTTCATCTCGCTAATATCCATCGTATTGCATGGAAATAGGTTCAAGTTATCTATTCAATTATTGTTATAACTTATTTAAAAATATCCATTCAGCAGCCTATCCTGGAGTTAATTTTTTGAATTATTGTTTGCAATCATGTCGAATTTTTGGGTTGATTGGCTTAGCCTTAATTTGTATCACATTGGATAGGTCAAGCGGATTCTGGGGAAGGCTATGCCCCTTTAACGAGAATAGCATCTATACGGCACCTCAGTCATCCTTGAACTTTTCTAAACATTTATTGTTGAACCAATGTTTAGGTGCATGGATTCTTACTTTTGAAACGCTATCTGTGTTTTGAATGAGTCCCTATTACCACATACTCGTGAATATCCTAAGAAAATGCATGTGGTAGTGCTTTTCAGGATTAACGAGCTCCTTGTACAAAGTTTTTGTACTAGACACTGTAGAAGATACGCTTAACTACAGCACACAGAAGACAAAATCAAATTATTCATAATTACAAAAAGTTCTCATACCCTTTAAACATGTAGGGTTTGACTTCAAAGATAGTTATGTTGATGTCTCACTAAATAGCCCAAAGAATCTAGAGCAACTTAATTTTCCATCTCCTTTGGATGCTCAAAATTGATTGTACCTTCATGGTTATTGCTTCTTCCGTCCTGGATGCTGCCAGCATATCCCGTATACCGTGGCTTTACATTAATTAAATCTCACGGGAGAAATAACATCCTGAAAGAAATGTTCCAAGCTTTCCTCTTCCTGTCCTCAAAAGCGGCATGCAATGTAATGGTATTCACAAATAGAGCTAGCCTATCTCATGTAATAACCTCTCAACAGGAGCCTCCATTTTTTTTTCTGCTCCTTCGGTGGGGATGGGAGTTTCCTGACTTCAGAGGATACCAGATGCCTAGTGTCTCTGACTGCAATGGTTTGATATGCTGACTTCACTTACAATCTTCATCCTTTCACCCATTTCCATCTTCATTCGCCTGCTGTACACATAGATGGTATCTTTCTTGCGTTACAATCTTGATAGGTCTTCCAGTCACCAAATCCCTCCTTGCCTGAGATTTCTTCCACCACTGTCCTACTGCCTCAATATCAAGGGCCTTTGCAGCAGTAATACGAGAGTCTTATGCTTGATGAATTTTTTTTTTCACTGAAAGCTATGTTCTCACCCAAGTTTTCTTTCGAGAATAGTGATTGCCAATGGTCTCTATCGGCAATCATCCCATTTACGATGATTGCCAATTGTCCCTACCGGCAACCATCTTTGGTGCATAGGATCTGTCTCTCTCTATACACTGGAAATGTTGCCTGTAATAGCAAGTAATTTGTCCTAGATCGTAGTAGTAGTTATGAAAACCACCACAGATCATGGCCTTCCATCCCTGGTTTGAAATTTTCATCGATACTGGCTGTTCCAAGTTATAATCCCTAGTGCTGATCCCCAGATCTCTGTTGTCTTTTTGCTTACATATTGTTCCCCACGTGTTGTTCTCTACTTCTGTGACTATTCTCACACCTAAAAGGCTACCCTCTATAGCTTCAAATCTCTTTGATACCGTCTTGGGTGTTCTGAATAAGGATAAATAATGGATCAACAGGTTCGACAGCATTGTCTTACAAGGAGCAAGCTCCCATTTATTAGACAAGAACTTAAATTTTCAACCTGCCATCCGCCTTTCCCAACTCTGCAATATCTTTTCGTCCTACGATGCAATATTCATGTTGCAAAGTTCTTTTCCTCCTACAATGAAGTACTCACATTGTTATCATTTTCTAGAGATAGGAAAGTTCTCATTCTTACTGCAGAGGCATATTTGCACTCGTAATTTCCTGCCCAAAAACTGTTCTCATAGGTAACCTTATGCGAAGTGATTTCTTTTAGATGTTCTAATATCTCTCTCGTAATGAGTAGCTACATCAGCTACATAGGTAGAGACAGGATATTGTTATCTGCAATTTGGACATGTTTGAACTTGTTACGCAGGGATATACCTGGAACCCACAAATCCATCACAATTTTTCAGCTTTGTGCAACATCCTGCTTTCCACTTCGCATTTTTCACTTAGGGTAAAAGATTATTCGTAAAATTTGACTTATCATTATTTAATTAAATTTTGATGCAATTGTAGACCAAGTTATACGGTCTATTTTAGAATGCATTTTTGGGTTTTTAAATAGCAGGAAGGATATAGTGGTTAGTTCCTAATTGTGAAATATCGTTGGAGTTGAGATATACGGTTTCATACTCCTGATTTACAAAAAGACTAGCAAACTGCACGCTTTCTGACGAGGTTTCTTAATATCTTTTTAGTTTGATAACTTGTATCATGTGTTGAGATAGGGGATTGCTTTCTTATGCTAACTCGTCATGGGGCCTTGTTTCGCTGTTGCCTTATTAACCTAGATGGTTGTAAAGAGCCCTCTTTGGGGAACCAAGGATTAAGTACGGGGTGAATAGGTGGTACATTATAGGTATACCTCTATCTCAACGAGATCTTGAAATGTTCCATACTATCTGCGCTTAGTACCTTGATTTGTACACTCAGGGTGAAGACTTCTTTCCATTTGCAAAGGGCAAGCTTGAACTCCAATGCTTATTTCATATCTCAGAAATAAGGCAACTGCAAAGAGCCTGTGGCCAGTGGGATTCAGTTTTTCTCGTGTGTCCATCAAAGAGCCATATGAGCATTGACTGTGAGAATGAGTTAAGGGGAAGTTCAATTAAGTGACAGCTAAACAGAATAAGGTTATTATGGTTTCAAAAAGAAATGCAAAAAAAAGAACAGTAGAAAAGTTATAATTTATAATATTTAAATTGAGTTTTAGTAATGTTTACATTTCCATTCCTGTGTACCCATCTACCTCACTGCGCCAAAGTTCGAAACCTGATCTTCCCCAGTTTTAGGGACAGCAGGGTGGGGTGGTGTCTGTGTCAACTTGCTAATCTTCCTCGTGCTGCTGATGCTGACCCTAGTGGCAAATGGTGGGCTGCAGGTGGTTAGAAACTGGTTGGTATTGGATGATCAAAGAAGTAGTCTTTACATCTTCTTTCTCTTGCGGGTATGGGGGCTGCTGTTCACTGTTCTTCTACTGGTAAAGGCTTGACCCAGCCTGGAAACTTATTATCCAAAGAAATCGGGCTATTTCTTCTTCGTCTGGTAGAGGAATCAATTTTGTGACGCTGCTGCTGCTGTTATGAGAGCTATCCTGCTGGAAACCATGGGAATAGAAATGCAGCAGAGATCGAAGGTGTACACTACCCGGAGCACGAGTATAACCTGATTCGTGTTTAGTCGCTGAATCCTCTTTTAGGCTGAAGTGTTCACATTTATCCTAAACGATAGCAGCTCTGAGCCTGTTGTTCCATTATTGATGGTGGCGCAGGCTCTGGTAGAGTTTATATTGTTGGCTTTCCTTTTCAGTGAGACAAAAAAACCCCACCCCTCCCTAGAAAGGATCCAGAACCTCTTTTGAGCTCTGGATTGGCAATGTGCGATTTTTTTTCCCATTTTCTAAGTTGATATGACGTCAAGTGGACTAAATTCCCACTTCACTTATTACCTAAAGCTTATGGATTGACTATAAAAAAAATTGTCTACTTAAAACATAAGCTAATTTAGAATCAGATTACAAATTTTCATTGCATTAGTTATGATTAAGAAAGCACACCAGTTGTTGACCCTCATTAAACAGAAAAAGCATGGCGAATCACTCAAGATACATTTCATTTTTACAGGTGCTTGACGTTATTTTCATTGTACAGTCAAATGCAAGCAAATTATTCACAAAACATCACAAATTCACCTACGCTTATTTTTTTTGATATTCGTTGACAGAAATCAGATGCCATAACGTCTGTTAGATCCTCTTCTGGAGCAACAAGAGACAATCATCTACAAGAATCTTCGATGACAAATTTATCAAGTCTTCCATTTGGAAACGGTGATGATAGGATGAGATGGATGGATAACGGTTCTTCAAGTAAACAGCAAGGTAAACAGCAAGGTACAATAATCATTGATCACAATAGGACAGATAGCCATGAAGATCCTTTTCTACAAATTAACGTGGTGAAACATTATTTGTCAGATAACAAGGCAAACGGAAATACGAAAATATTTCCTGGTTCTCAGACAGGTGTTGATAATGCAGTAGCATCTCAGTTTTCATCTCCTTCTTCTAGATCAATCTCCCCAAGCAGGTGTCTCTATTTACTCTGTGGATTTTACCTCTTTCATCTTTTAAATAATGTGCGATTCTTCATCTAAACTTTGTGTAATCCTGTATAGGCATCAAAAGGAAGGAGATTCTGCTTCAAGACTACATTCATTTGCCCATGGACTCATGCAAATGACAGAAATTAACGTCTCCAGCAATCTGTTAAAGCAGGTAGTGCCTTATTGATCTGGCCACTAAACTCCCCCACAATGGAATTGTATGGCATGCTCCCTCTGAGAGCATACATTTCTGATTATGTCATTATTACTGCTAATGTCAAAAGTTTTTATTGGAGAACAATCCACTCTGTCGAGGGCATATCATCATGTCTTGCATATGATGAGTTCATGCAGCCTTTGTGCCCCAAAGGCTATGCTGCTTGTAAACTGAGTAATACTATAATTGGCAGGATCTTATTGTCAAGGTCAAAGAGCATGAAGAAGAGATTTCGCAGCTAAGAAGACATCTTGCTGACTTTTCTATGAAGGTAAGTACATACACATTCATTTTATTACTAGAAGATTTCAGTTTATCATTTTGTGATGCAATCACATATGCCTTTGCCAAATGAACACTTGTACAGGAAGCGCAAATACGCAATGAAAAGTATGTGCTTGAAAAACGAATAGCTCACATGCGCTTGGTAGGCTATTTTCTGCATCTAACTTTTTTGGTGTAGAGAGTACAGATTTAATATATGATTTCTCAACAGGCTTTTGATCAGCAGCAGCAAGACTTAGTTGATGCTGCTTCGAAAGCTCTTTCCTACAGACAAGAGATAATTGAAGAAAATATTCGTCTCACATATGCTTTGCAAGTATGATTCGTTCCATAGTATAGATTTTTTTTCCAAATTTTTTATTTTCATATATACTCTTCTATTCATCCTTGACAAATCTATAACTTTCGTACTAACTCGCTCAAACTGTGTTGTTGATTTTATTGACTACCCCTTTTTGCTTGATTATTTTTCAGTCAAAATCTTGGCCCCTGATTTGGGTTTATTAGGCTGATTTAGGCTGATCCAACAGTTTGTGATTTCAATCCATTGAAAATGCTGCAAACTAAAATCGTTGTTCTATTTTATTCAGGCAGCACAGCAAGAGAAATCAACTTTTGTGTCATCTTTGATGCCTCTTCTGGCAGAATATAATTTCCAGCCATCTGTGCCCGATGCCATGGCAATTACCAGCAATCTGAAGGTCTGAAATTTCTTTCAGTCATGGAAGGGAATATTTATCCTCTTCGTCTCAAGGGTTGTCTTGCCAGTTCCTACTTTATCATTCCTCCTTTTGTTTGTGCGTCTGATTGAACTTGCTTACTTTAGTGTTGTATTGATTATTTCTTAAGCAGTTCTCAGTTGGTTACTCTACAACTGACTGAAACGGCTGGATCCAGCCGTCTGAAGCGGAGCATGCTTCAGCTATCTCTGTTTGGTTGGGTGACATGTCTTGTGATGCTGGATTTTAGAGTCTGTCGTAGATTTTATAGTTGAGAGTTTTGCATTCCATTGTTTAGGTTCACCTAGCAATTGGAAACATCGTTTTTTAGGCCCAGCATTGCTTACTCGAGGCTTGATATTAATGAGTGACCATCGCATGGATGCCAGAACCCAATTTCTTGGGCAGCCTCTCCACCTAATTTAAAGGAAGGCCACCAGCCAGTTCGTTCCTTGGCTCTGCCTTTGATGTTTGCAGTTCCACCCAATAAATCGAGGATGTGTCTCTCCCAATCTCCTGTGTGTACAAATGATTACATGACTCTGCTTCTTCTCTTTGCCATTCCACCCAGTGAATGACTTACTTCTATATGTGCATTTTCCTGTCGGTTGTGATGATATTGCCTAAGGCCCAGCAAAAGTTAAGTAAACTGAATAATTTTTGGATTCTCTTTTGCTCAGGGATCTACTAGAATAAATTGTTTGCTCTGTTGGCTTATTTGTCGTTTGAAAATTTAGGATACGTGTAAAATTACGAATGCTAGTCTTTTATGATCTATTTTATTGTCTATAAACCATCGACTTTACATATCTTTTATTCTTTCAGGTTTTGTTTAAACATCTGCAAGAGAAACTCCTCATCGCGGAGGTATGAGGCTATTTTAAGGAACCTCGAACTGGAGTATCAGCATATATTTTGTTTCAGATCGTTTGAAATGACACAGGCCTTGCCTTGTCTACAAAAGACCGTCTGGATAGTTTAGACGCTGTATGGATCCTGGGTAGACCAGCCGCAAAATGTGATGAGAGAAATTAGTATCGGCAGTCTGTTCAAAACATATCAAATTTTATCCAATTTAAAGTTATCCAGGAATTTCAGTAATATGATAAAATGTTCTGGTTGCATGCCGGCTAACTCTGTATTTTTTAAGTATCAGATAAACTTATAGAAAGAATTAGGTTTGTAGTGGATTTTATCTAACAGCTTTTTGGATAAAAATGTCAGAATACTCTCTGTTTACAGAATCTATTACAAAATCATTCCACAAGACATATTAGAAATGTGATTAAAAAGCTGTATTTAATCTAGTTATCGTATAATGTTGGCTTTCTTTAAATGGATTGTCTTCGGTTTTAAAGAGTGAGAATGGGATTAACTTTCAAAACTTCTGTCGTCACTAATTTTTGCAGGAGAAATTAAAAGATTCTCAGTATCAGTTGACTCCTTGGCAGGCTGACGCAATGAACAGCGTCCCACAGTCACCACTGCATCCCATCAATCCAGTAACTGCCGCACCTGTATGGTCAATTACATCTTGCTACTATTTAAAACTATATCCTACATATTTTCTTAAATTTTGGAGTGCTTGTGTCAGAGCAAAAGTGGGCTGGAACTCGTACCTCAACACCAATATTCTCATGCGCAGTCACCCACTGCCTCTCCTTTGAACGCTGAGATACGAGCCGATTGGGATGGTCTGGGACATGGACCAATTCGTAGTGGTTCTAGTGGTATTGTGAGGAGAAACGGGGAACATGAAACTATGGTAAAATCTTCTTCTGGAAGCAGGTGAGTTAGCCAATAATATTTGTTTCGCCTCATGATATAATTTTCAAATGTGTTATAGTTTATTACACCCATGTCATTTTCTGATTGCTTATGGGCACACAATTGTCGAGCCTTGTGATTCTTTTATATGTTTATAATATTATGCAATAGCAATCGTATATTGAAGAATTGAAAGTGCATGAGGAATATGAAAGTGCGCTTAATTTTCACATATTTAATTCTTGGTATATGCACATTTCCTGTTTAGTATATGGCATTAGGAGTAATGAATAACTTGTGGTTTGTGCCCCTTTGTTTTTGGTCTTGGCCTCCATATTCTTCATGTCTCGAATCGATTGTTTCCCATTTTCTCAGAATGTGGATTATGCCATCACAAATCCCAAGTTAGATTTTTGTTTTACAAAAAACCTCCAAAAGTGTCTTTCTTTAAAACTTGGCATTGACAAATCTTTGGGGAAATAACTTAGGAAAGCATTGAAAAAACTTTGCAGTTAATGCCTTTCAACAGGAGCTGGATTAGTTGGATTGCCCATACCACATCTGCAGCCAGATTTCATTTCTCTGAATATATAAATTGGGAGATTCTTTGAGTTTAGCAGAGGACTGAGCCTGGGTGTCTTTGGTCGCTCCTTTTTTTTCCGTTTGCTGGTCATATTCTTTTCTCAACATTGAAAAAGCTATCATGTTGTAACGTCACCTGCAATTAGTAGATAGTTCATATTCATTTTCAATTTGGAAAGTCCCATGCATGTCTGTCAAGTCAGTGTGCATATGGTTGTAGAAGTAATGATTAGATGTAGAGTTACCTTTTCCAAATGTGAGATTGTGACCGTAGAACTTGAAACACAGAAGACTGTTGCCATATACTTCATATCAGGGAAATGCAATTTAGAATTCTCCTTAAAATATCAGGTGCCACCCTTTGACAAGTGTTGCTGTCAGAGAATCTTGGAATGTTTATCATTGGAAAACTTGGCTTTGAGGTCGAAAGTGGAAAACTAAAAACCGTCCTCGTCGATAAATGATCCCTGCGAAGTCTGTTTAAACTTGTCTTATCCTTTATTTGCTTCTTGGCAAGTTTTGGCTTCTCTGAAAAAATCGAACAGAGAAAAAGGTCGTTCTATTCTCCTGTTTTCTATGTGGGATAGCTAACAACGAGAGTTAATATCTCATCAATTGGCAGAAAGTCTTGAAGATCAAAAATGGTTTGTAGAGCTGGTTAAAATTGATAACCCTCTATGACTAGGTGGATGTGGTGGGTTGAAGCTTGTCAGAGGTAGTGTATTGGCTCTGGTTTCCGATCCAATCTCTCACGTGTGTCTAAACTTGCCCTTGATACAAAACTTCTATCCAGCCTATCAAAGAGTACTGTGGGAAGGGGGGGGGGGAATCGTGAAATCTATCACCGTTGATTTCTTTCTCCTTGAGACAGACTCAGAAGTAGATACCACACGTGATTAGGTTTATATTTCTGTGAAGGAACCTCAATGAGGAAATTGGGGGTCTCATCCTTGTGTGCAGAATCCTCTGACAGGAAAAATTAGATCAGTGGAAGAGATGATGAGAGAGCTTGGAAGATGGGAATGAACTACATGCAGAAGGGGGAGTCTTCCAAAGAGCTTATGCTACCACTTTGTAGAGAGATTTTGCGACACGGGTAGGCCAGAATGTTTGAGGGAAGTTAATATTTTAAAAGTGTGTCATAAAGAAGGATATCCGAGCACAACTGAGTTTGACAGTAGTTGATGAAGGAATTTCTCTTATTTGGGGTTATACCTAGGTTTAATTCAAAATTTTCATATTCCCTTATTAACTTTCTCGAACCTGTTTTCACTGTCAACAGTTTGGAAACTGGCAGTCAGTAGAACGAGCAGCTTTCCCTACCTATCAATAGTTATCACGCATGTCTGCCATGACAAATATGAGTCTGGCGTCCAGGGTTTGCTGGGAAACTTTTAGTATGAAAGTTTTAGTCTCCCAACCTGCTAGTCCTACTCAGTTGGCTGGGAAAGGCTTACAAATGTGACGAAACTGACGATTCGGAATCCACTGGGCGTTCTTACGCACTCACTTTACCCATGCTATGCCACCGAAGTTTAGTGCACCCATTTGCTCCGAACGATGATTTGTCACCAAGCTTAGCCAAACAAAAATACATATGATATTGGTTATCTTGTATTGATTGTTCTTCAGTATTGACTAGGAGGAAGGGTGAAACAGTCACACGCCAGGATTTTTATGAGACTAAGCCAATTATGGAGATTTGAACAGCTTACCCGTGAGGGTTGATAGATTTACCCCATATGGTCTGGTTTCTTAGTTTCTCTGACAGTTGAATTAACTGGGATCGCTAATATCTGTGTCACAATATTCTATATTTTGGTGAAAAGTGTACAATTTAATTTACCAAACTATGACATGGTCCTTTGATGAGGAAAAAAAAGAAGCATAATTCACATCAGTGAAAAAATCAAGGCTGTTTATCACTTGTAGATGATTATGATCATGAATTCTTACCTCCTATCTCAGAAGAATAAAATCGGCAATGTATGGAACTTGAGCCATTGAGTACCTTTGCAACTTCTAGCTATCTTTGTTGAATCTATCCGAGAGTTATTTTTTTCTTATTCAATGATTAATAATTATTTGTTTAACCAAACTGCCTTCGCACAAACTTATGATGAAATTTTGCGTATTGACCTAATACATTTTTCGTATGAGAACATCAACATGACTATGTTAATTTGGGATGACATTGCAATGTTTTCCTTGCCTTTTCAGTACTTAAGAATATGTCTTTCGCTTTCCCAGCATTCATGATCTTATGCTGCTATCACTGCGATGGTTTGCTTTTCAGCTCCAAAAATCGAGACGCACCAATAAGCAATGAGGCAGAAGATTCTGATGCAGCAAGAGTTCATCCAGGAAGAGAGCCATCTGCCCATTGGGCTGGTACTGGAAACTCACCTTATCTCCCATCTGGTGTGGATGAGACAACACCCTCATATCATTATTTGCCTCCAGTCCTGGAGGAACCTAGTTCTTCGTTATCTGAAGGTATTGGCCTTGAATGTTTTATATTAATGTCAAAGAAGTTCGTTTTTGAAAATTGTGTTTAATATTTGAGGTTTACTAATGCTAAATGATCATGCTGGGAGTCACAGCTGCAGAAGATGACCCCTTGCCTGCAGTAGAAGGGGTTCAAATTACAGGGGAAGCTTTCCCAGGGAATCAACTTCTGACGTCTGGTTTCTCTATCAATGGGACAAATTCGTGCAATTTTGAGGTGAATTTCATTATGTCTGTCATGTTTACCTTCCGACCTTAGAGACGCTTTACACTGTTCCTGTCTGTTCCCTTGTTCCTCTACATTCTCTAGTACTTGGGGGGTCATTTACGCTTTTTCTTATGTGGTTCAGTGGGTGCGCTATAGGGAAGATGGATCCATTAATTATATTGAGGGTAAGGATCTTTCTTATAAAATCGTGCTCAATTATCGTAGTTCTGTGTATGAACTTTAACATTTTATTTTTTTTGGAAATTAATAGGAGCGATGCAGCCCGGATACCTGGTTACTGCTGATGACATTGACTGCCTTCTTGCTATTGAAATTCAACCCCTAGATGATAGAAAACGAAAGGTGAATTTATTTCCTGAAAATGCCCCAAGATTTTATTGCTTAATGAATCTATTTCGAGTGGAGTGAAAGAGTATTGACTGGAAAGTTGCTTTTCTGCTTTGGAATGTACATTCCTAAATGTAGAAGTTCTTAATTACTCTCGAAACGGCAGCATAATTCATGACAGTTGTCTGGTAGGAATTCCCATAGTGCTGTGATTTATGAATAATTCATGACAGTTGTTCAGTTACAGAATTTTAGTGGCTTAGAAAATGGTTATCCAGATTGGATCAAACTGCTGGATTAGGATGAGATTCTCCAGATATTCGGATCCGAGAGAAAATTGATTTGGGTCACGAAAGGAAAAAACGACCTTGGCAAATTTATGAAGTGAGGATGTATAAGATTTATAAATGCTTTATTAATTGAATTGCCGACTTTTAGGCGGTTCAATGTTTACTAATCCCCACAGTGAACCCAACCCCATACACAGAAACCCCGATGGGTTCCCCCTGTGATAGATTACGTGAGAAAATTGATGGGATTGGGTTCGCTTGAAAACAGCATATTCAACTTTGGCCTGTGATGCAGCAACTCTGATTTTATGGTGGAGCTAAATGCTCTTGCGAATCTAAGTGATATGATAGGCTATTACGCTTATTAATCTAGCCAGAAAATTGGCTAGGCAATCCTTTTAATGGCTGATTGCTGAAAATTCCAAAATATCTCTACACATACATCATCAAAGAGCAAATACAGAAAATATGAGATGTCGAAAGAGGAACTGCAAAAGCAGACAGAAAAGTAATTATTTTTAGTCAGGGTTACAAGTGGGCCAGTGTGATCAACAACTAACAAGACTCATGGAAGTGGAAGAACAACCGAGATGAAGTTTGTTTAGATTGGATAGGAAAGATTAGAGTTCTAGCAGCGTGAGCAAGAGGCACAATCTCCACATAATCAGCTGATTTCGCTAGGGTAATCCAAGAACATGTAATCAAGGATATATTTCCGGAAGTAAAGAGCCACTATTTCTTAAGCATTTACGGTGTACATTCTCTTACATCCAACCAAGTTCTTTTTCCAAGAAAAAACAGGTTTCGTAGCTAATTAGGCCTTCCATTTCTTCTTTTATAGCTTTTTCCAACGTTGTATTTGAAGGGATCTCTTTCAAGTTTAGGGAGGGGAATATTGGGCAATAGGGGGGGGGGGGGGGGGAAATGAAAAAATGGAAGTTTACCATTCCTGCATCCCACCGATGGGAGGGAGTTACTGACTCCCATGATCTATAATGTGTTCGCAATGGGGCAGTATTTTATTTAAGAGATTTAATGTTAAATCTCTAATGTATTGGGGTTTTCTGAAACATACTATTTAAACTCCTTAAAACGTGGAGATTCATTTTTGGTCATCGTTTACTGAATTTGCTTTCTAGCTCCGAATTCTCAACCTCGCCAATCTGATTTCAATCCAGTTGGATTAATCCAACGAGAAGGAGAGAGAATTCAGACCAAAATGGCATTTTTTATTTTTTATATTTGCTGTAACGCCTGAAGCTGGTGGAATTTGACCTGAATCAGCCTTGTGACTTGCTAATATCACATTTACTTCCTCTTCTTACCATTTAAGTTTGCATGTGGTAGTATATATACTGAATCGCTGTTCTATTCAGGTTCAAAACAAATAATCAGTAAAGAACCAAAATATGGTGCAATGTACGTGTCTATTTCATGAGCTCTCAAAAACACCTTTACCTCTGTGCTTACTTTTCCAATATGGTATAGGGCATCCTAGCAAATCAAAACCACCAAGATAACTGATTATCTGTCATAAGATTAAAGTCTCTCTCACTCGTTGACCTATCTCTTATTCAATGACCTCTATACTTTGGTAAAAGAGTTAGTTACCTTTAAAAGAAATGCATTGCTCACCCTCAAATACCTTAGAGGTTCATGTGGAGGCCACCAAATCGCGAAGTCTGTTTTTTGGTTTCTAATTCCGACTGTACCTTAATCATGACCCATCCATCTGACCTGAACATTGTCATATACCTAAGTGTGGTATTCCATTTGGCAAATCTCCTGGGAGAAGCAATAGCCATTTAACTGGCAGCGGTTCTTCTACTGAAATTAGTTTGACAATAGACTTTTATTTGCACTTGTGACACTCAGGATGAAGTGCCTATCAGTTGATAATAGCTTGACATTGTGGGGATTTGTGCATATGCATCTTGATGATTACCTATTAACTTTGTTACAATATGAGGGCAAGGAAAGCGCATAAAAGCAAGCAATTGTTTGATGGTTAGTGGTTAGTTTTTCACAAAAGCGTACAAAATTGATGATGTGGTTCTAATTTGATAAGATGGAAGTCAGTTAAACTCTTTCGAGTGTCATCATTTTCTGCCTCATTCTCAAATGATTTTTTCTTATTTTTCTAAATGCAGGGAGAGCTAGTGACAGTATTTGCCAATGAGCAAAGGAAGATAACTTGTGGTAAGCTACGTTTTCAGTGTTTCATGAAACTTTCTTTTCCATGCTAACTTGTGCCGTATGAGTGACTTTTATCTTTTTTTATTCAAATATAAATTATGGATCTCAACAATACAATCTGTCGAGATCGGACAGGCATGAATCTAAGATGGTATTGGTGCATCACCTAGCCATATCTCTCTAAAAACAAATGAATCCTCGTGCACTCTTGTTGAAAGATAATGAAATTAAAATCAATAATTAACCTTCATATTTAATAGAATGCTATGAAAGTTTTGGAATGTATGCAAAGCTAGTAGAATATCGTATCATGGGTAGTCATGTCGAATGGTCGTCAAGGGGCATTTCACGATTTGCCAGTCAAGATCTATTTATTTCATTGGAATGTCGACAGAGGTTATCGAGAAAAAAACTCAAGCACTATGGGTGCTTTTGTGGAGCATGCATTATCTGAGTTGGGAACCGTGTACACTCTTTATATGTTTTATCCCATCTAAATGTAAAAAAGTGTTAGATCCGCCTTGATTCATTTATCCACCCATGTTTATGTAATTCTAGTCATCTGTCTAGTTGTCACTCTAGGTCTTAGTTGCACTAACTATAGTTGAGATTGAAGAATCATCAACGTGCCAGACATGGAGGTGAGCACATCCAATGCTGCTTACGAAGTGCATTGGTGATATAAGTGGCCTGCATATCTCTTATGAGAAACAGAATATTTAATAAATAGACTATTTCATGCCCATGAAATGGGAACCTTTTAGTACATCCTTGGAATTATTATGTTGTTACGATTGTCCTATGTATACCAATACTGTACTATTTACATCTGTTCTGGTTTATATGTTTCCCCGTGAAATTTAATGTTTATTTTATCAACACGTTGCAAGCCCAATTCAAGTCCTGGGATGCTAGATTTATTTCTCGTCAGGAGCTTCCCCCAGGCCCAGTTGCATGAATCAGCTTTGGCACCAGAGTACTGAGGTGCAGCCAAACCCAAGATTGTTTTATGCACATCAAAGTAGACCTGGTAATATTTCACAGACGAGGTTGAGGGTTGCAGTAGGTGTCTATCCAGGGATTCGATCCTATGACTTGAGGATGATCCGTGCCAGGAGGGATCTCCTGAGGTCACATTTTTTGAGTGTTGACCAGTTATCTGACTGTATTATTTTGGAATCCATTCTACAAAAAGCATCAAAGTCTAGATTTTTGATGATCTACAGATCTTTCATGCTCTAAAGTCATTAAAGAAAACTATTAGCGACCTGCTAATGCTATGCCTTTTCTACTCTTTGAAAGGGCTCACTGTATTTTTATTTTTTTTCCTCATGTAGTTTACTTATTGATGATTCATAGTTCGTCTTTCAAATGCTTACGCCGATTTGCATCTTTTGTGGCTTAAGTTAACATCTCTACTATGACAGATCCAGAAATGCAAGAAAAGATAGAGAGAACCTATCATAATGGTCAGATATCATTTGCTGTTTCATTATCGGTATGCTTCTGGTACTCTTTCCTGAGCCGATGATGCTTTTATTTATAATAGTAAAAAGATTATCAGGACTATTTGAATATTGACGCCTTCTATTCACCAATTACTTTCTACAGACAATACCTTTTTTTGTCTCTATCATTCTATCAGGGAAACAATCCCATGGACAAGAAGTTTATCTATTACGAAATGTATTTAATAGATAAATCTTACTATTCTTGGAAGCAGGTGGGAATTTCTGGGATTCTTGGGATTGATATGTTTCACTAGATTACAAAGTGAATCATAAATAAATGGCCTGTTTTGTGCGACAAGAAGGAATACACGGAGAAATCAGTACATAAATTGGACGGCGTCAAATGAACGGTGGGCATGGCTACCTTCTTTCAGCCACAGCTGACTGCGTGAATTTGAGGTGGTTTCACCCGCTTCGGTTGCCTCCAAGTCAATTGCTTCTGCTGGTGAGAGCATCCGCTTGGTTGCTGTGGCAGAGAAGAGGTAGTAAGGACTTCCTGCCTGAGAATATGAAAATAATATAAATCGAATTTTACAAGGATCAAAACCGCATTACTAGTATTCTAGTAGTTGGTCACAGACAAGAAAGTTCAGTTCCAGAGGCCGCAGTGGAGTGGAACGGCTGTGACGTGACATTCCTTACCTGGATCTCGATGGTGCCATCCCTTGTTCTTACGGGCAGACGACCAAGAACCAGGATCAGAAAAGCTGAGTGCGAATTGAGACGAAGGCAGATGTTAAATATTTGCTTTTGCATTATTCCATATCTACTTCTTTTAACTTTATGGTTGAGACAATCCATTGTGGGGTCGCAGTGTAAGATTGTTGCGTTGGATTGCACATTCAACGAATGCATTTGCCATTTCGTACCAAAAGCTTGTAAAATCATTTCAAAAGTCAAAATTCATCTCCACTTTTTTTAGTCGTACGAGAAGTACATTTTCAATTTAAAATATAAACAGAAAATATTTTAAAGCCTGGAGAAAGTTTGAATCCTTTTTGGACTCCCTTTTTTGGAAGCAGTTATCTGCTCTATGAGTGATTGCAAAAATATTAATTAGTGATTGATGATGATTACAATCAGAAATAACCGTGAATTGTTTGACAGGCTGGAGCTCTTAATATCTGGGAGAATGCCGTACTGGCTATCAAGAGGGAAGGCTACAGTATCAAGGCCAGTGGCACACGTGGTGTTGTTGTCGCAGAGAAATTTTCTCCAAACACACAAGTATTGTTCAATAGTTTTTTCCCAGCAACGCTGACGTTAACAGTCTCTTGTAGATTTATATTCTCTCTTAAAACGGGTGAAATTTTCTTGAAACGCCTTCCTTACGATGCTCACTGTAGAATCTTTTGGACGGGTATTTCATCAGTGTTGATAATCATTCCCCTGCTCAACCGATTCACAACGTCTTAGCCCACAGAATGAACAGAAAAAATTGACAATATTCAGGAACTCATGACAACATTGAGATGATGTTTTTTACTCATTTAGTCATATACTCTTTCGGGGTATCATTTATTAATTAGTAAGCACATGCCAAACTTGTTTAAATTATGGACCGTTGTCTGCAATGCACAGAAATATTTCAGTTGAATCAATTCTAAATTATTACAGACTATTGGTTAAGCAGTTGCGAGGTAAGACCGAAGATCAGGGGGCCACCTTCTTATACATGTGTTTCCTTGCTTGCATGACATTACAGTTGCCCTTCAGTTATTGTACATCTCACATTGAATTTCATATATCGTTGCTGAAAAATTGTGAAATAATTGCGTTCGCAGGTCGCAATTCCCCCTGGATACGTGACTGAGTTTTCAATCCAAAACTCTAGTGGGGTTGAGCATATGCTCAAGGCAAGTGATAGCCGGTGAGTACTTTTTTCCCTATGTAGGATTAAATATCTTGCTTTGACTTGATTACCTGGTATCAGCACTGAGTTCAAGTTATAATAGCTTCTAATTTTAATAGAGTTTTATTGCAAATCGTTCCTGTAGATTTCTTGAAGAGTATCAGTATGCATTTTATGATTTATTCCTAATATTATTCTCGGTGCGTGGTTGATGCAGGCAACGAGATATGATAGTGCTTACCATGAGGTTATTTATCAAGGGGGTATATCTTTAACCTACTTTTAATCCAGTCTAGTTGTAATATAATTTTTTTTGTGTGACTTTTGATCGTATTTTATGCTTTTTTTTTAACTGACATTCTCAACCTAAGCATTATTGATTAGTCCTTGAATATTCGTTTGGGTCGATAATTTTTTTTCAGATTTCTCAAACATTCACCAAAGCTTTTGACTTTCATTAGTACTTTTTCTGGTATTTCATGGTCCTCCCTCTTCTTAGATCCCTGATGAAACTATGGAAAATTAATTTCGCCAGTTCACAAGTTGTCACCAGCTTACTTAATCTCCAGATTACGATCGAGTTTTTTTCTGCCAGTTGGATTCAAAAAGTGAGATGAGAATATATTTCCCTTGATCTCTCTTGGTTTTGGAAGCATCACCTTAATGTTCCCATGGTTAAACTCATTTACACAAAAGTAATCTGATCCGGGCTTAGTTCTATCTGTGTGGCCGACCTTACCAGATCACATGAAACCCTGATTTTGGTCTTCGGTGACCTAATTGGGCTTGGAGGTTTCACCCGCGACAGATCTTACCAGACCACATGAAACCCTGATTTTGTTCTTCGGTGACCTATTTGGGCTTGGAGGTTTCATGTGGTCTGACAAGATCTGTCGCGGGTGAAACCTCCAAGCCCAATTAGGTCACCGAAGAACAAAATCAGGGTTTCATGTGGTCTGGTAAGATCTGTCGCGGTGAAACACATCCCTTTCTCTCACAATCCATTGCCCCTTTCATCAAGCATGAAGCACAGAATGACCCAATCTCCTAATGCCCACTAGGTTTCTCCCGATGGGGCGCTATCTCCCCTCCCCAGACTTGTTTTCTCAGAAGCATGAACCACAGTTGACTTATTTTCTCGAAAGATTGAATCATCGTTGACCTCCGTTGCCTCCCCCTGTGAGCTTGCCTCACTTTCACGGTGGACCTAGTATTCTGACGTCTGTGTTTTCTGGCGCCATCACAGGTGGTCGAGAAGAAAAGAGGGAAGAAGAAGGTCCTATTCTTTTAGTAGGCCATGAAGGGGTGTCGTGCCGGTAGTTTGTGCAGAACGACTGAATGTATGCTTGTAAAAAAAATATCATTTTCCCTGTGATGTGAGAGGAAAGGTGGTCGGTCAGTCTTTCCGAGGGCATCTTTTGTAAGAACCCCCGATTTTCGGGTGCGGTCAGCTGCTGCTTCTAGCTTTGACCCGACGGAAGTCTTTGATGTGAGTTCCCATGCCCACTGACGGCGAGAGTCAACGGCCCCGCCTGGGCCCCGGCCTCCTGGAATCCCGGGAAATTATCTTCGAACCCGCTCAAGGTGGGTGTTCCTGTTTTTACCAAGACTCGAGGAGAGAGAGAGAGAGTCTCATTCGTGTTTCGAAGGATGGAATAGAAAAGAGTTGTAACAGCACAATTACGTTGTGGGGGTTGAACGTTGACCACAATCCCGGGTTTTCAAAAGTCCATTGATTAAGAGGCGGCACGTCTGGGTGTTGGGTGTAACGCCGAGCCGGATCATCTTGTCCTGCAGCTCGAATGATCTTCTTGCATCCCCTTCAGCGGAATAAGCTTCGATGAGGAGATTATAACTCTTGGGGTCGTAGATTTGAAACTCCTCGGTCAGTTCACTCAAGAGTCTTTCAGCTTCGCTGAAAGCCCTCTCCTTGCAGTGTCCCTCCACCAAGGCCAGGCAGATTGCAGAGGTAGGAGCCAATCCAGCCCCCATCATCTTCCTCATCAACCACTCGGCTTCCTTGACCTTCCTCTGCCGGCACAAGCATCTGACAAGCGGTGTGTATGTGGCCGAATCAGGAGCAAGCCCACGGGCAGTCATCTCCTCCACTAACTCCAGCGCCTCCGTCAGGCAGTCACAGCCGCAGAACCCTTCAATTAGCAGGTTGAACGCTTGCGAGTCGGGCTCGTACCCGTCTTCCAAGAACAGGCCGAACAAGCTCCTCGCCGCGTTTGGTCTCTTGCCCTCGCACAGGGCGGCCATTAGGGTTCTGTACGTCTCTGAAGATACAGACGAACCTCCTGAGCTCCGCAGCTGCACCACCAGGTTCAAGAAGGCGAGCAATTTCCCACCCCGTCTGTACCCCTCCCAGAGGGCACGGAAGGTGAACCCATCAGGCTTCAGGCCACTCTGAATCATCTCCTGGAGCAGCACCCTCCCTTCCCTCGCCTTGCCCACTTTGCAGTACCCAGAGATGAGGGCGTTGTAGGCGTGACAATCCGGGTTCAATCCTCTGTGACACATTCTGTCGAACAGTTGGTGAGCTTCCTTGATTTTGCCTTCTCTACCTAGCCCCGCTATCAGAACCGTGTAGGTGATCAAATCCGGCTCCACCCCTCTCCTGTACATGATTCTGTACAGGTACAAAGCCTCCTCTGTCCTCCCCTTCCGGCAGAACCCGTCGATGATTGTATTATAAGTGACGACGTCGGGGTTAAACCCTGCTTCCTCCATCTCCTCCAAGAACTCTGTGGACTTGCCCACGTCGCCTCCCTTGCAGAGGACGCCGGTGAGGATGTTGAAAGTGTAGGAGTTGGCCGGGATCCCCGCGCTCTTCATCTCCCCGTAGACTTCCCAGCAGGCGCCGCGGCGGTTGACCTTGGACAGCCCGTTCAGCAGGCAGTTGACGTTGGCAGAATCAACGGGGAGACAGGCGGCGGTCGTCCTCCTAAAGACCTCCAGGGCCTGGTCGAGCCTCCCCAGCTTGACGTAGACCTTAACCAGCATTCCGAATACCGCCGGATGGCCGTTACAGCCTTCGGCGCCGCCGGCGAGGCCGTCGAAGACGTCACAGGGGGCGGCGGCGCTGTGGGTGAGGACGAGCTCGGAGAGGACGGCCATGGCGGGGGGGAATATCCCGGCGCCGGCGAGGATGTGGGCGAGGAGGAAGAAGCTCTTGGGAGGCAGCGCGGTGGGGCCCAGGGCGGAGCGGGCCCAGTTGAAGAACCGGAGGGAGGCGAGGGGGCGGGACTGAGAGCGGAGGATGATCCTGCAGATCTCGCCGGATCCGAGGTGGGGGAGGAGGTGGTGATCCGCCGGTGAGAGGAGCGGCGCCGTCGAGGTCGCCGGTAGCTGCTTGAGCCGGCAGCAGATGAGTTCTACCGCGGTGTTGCTCGGGTTGAGGGTCACCGGGAGTAGGGAGGAAAGCGGCACCGGCGGCGGGATCGGCTTTCCCAGCCGCCGGAGCATCGAGGAGAGAGTGAGCGAGCGAGCGAGCGAGCGAGAGAGAGAGAGAGAGAGAGAGAGAGAGAGAGGATCTGGGCTTTCTGCAGTAGGGAAAGAATGAAAGTAACAATTAGGATTTTTCTCTTTTTTTTTTGGGGGGGATTATTCAGAGTCCACTGAAACGCATCAGCCGATGGGGTTTGAGCTCAGATGAGCCTCAATTCATACTCGCCCGCCATGGTTATGTACCTCACCCAGGGGAGAGCCTGGTAGCCGCTCTTCTCTATGATTTTAAGGTACCGAACCTACCAAAATCAACAACCATATAACGCATCAGGGTGAGTTTCTTTACCTGTGAAAAGTCTCAGCCGGGGTTATTACCTGTATTCCAGACACCGTAAAGTAAGGGATCTCAAACTTCACCCGGATAGGGGCCTTGTTCTCCGGGGCCGCCTCCTCCGCAGTTATACTGGGAAGGCTGAATTCGGCCCTCATCATATACTCCTGTAGAGAGAAAGTAGGGCGGGGGGGATTCATAACATGTAGAGAGATGAATATTGGGTAACTTAGGTTATCTCACCTTGCCACCCGGGAAGGACTTGATTTTCCAGACGAGGGCGTCCTTCTCCGGGGCGTAGGCGGCTGAGCCCATGGATCTGCGGATATTAGGGTTGGTGGCGTCCGCAGGAACCGGCAACTCGATTTCCACGTTGGTGGCGGTGCTGCATTGGGACTCCCCCCTCCCCTTTAATGGGCAAAGAGTGCCTGAAGATTAAGTTTTAAAGAAGCTGGGCTGTGGAGTACCTGCGTTCCTTGAACTGGCTCCTGGCCTTCACCATGAACTCTATCCGGCTTCTGGAGTGCTTCTCTATCTGGGCCTCCACCCAGATTAGAGGCTTCACCTGTGGAGCAAGGGATCTGTCAGGACCCGCCATGAAGAGAGAGGGTTGACCTGGGGCCGAGGAAAGAGGGCTGACCTGGGTGCTGAGCCTGTAGGTCATTAGGTCGAAGGACCCATCTGGAGGTATGAAGGATATCGTCCTGTCGTTCTCAAAACGGGCCAGACGCACGCACCTGGGGACAGAGGTGAGCTAATGATAACATGAGGAGGGCACAGCCTAGTCTCGAGAGAGATCCGAAAAAGGAAGGGAAGGACGGGTCTTTGATTCTTACTGGTGGAACTTGATGTCGTCCAGATCGATGGCTTTACCCTTTGTTGATTGACCCTGAGACTCCAAGAACAGTCTGTCGTTCAAGCCCAGCTTGCACTCTGGCATGCCACTGCAAATGTTGAGTATTTCCTACTTTAGAAACATTCGACCCTTCGCAGGGAATAACAGGCTGTAAGAAGGAACCAACTTCTGGAGGGAAAATAAGCTAAAAACGGAACTGCAGCTTCGAGCAGAGAGCAGTAGAAAAAGGTGATGAATATGGCTCAATGACATCTCCACGCGAGCCACTGCTTTATGGCCAGATTGTCACTATGGAGAAATCCCCCTCTCCAATATGTTTATTGTTGATGCCTGCCTGAAAATTATGCCACGCTATCTAAAACACCCACAGGCACTGACCAAGGAAATCTAATCTAGATCAGAATTGGATCAGCTGACCATTGGTACCATGTCACCTGCTACATCCACAAGTGCCAACTGAGAAATTCCGAATGAGATAAGGGGGGGCAGACAAGTCAGTGCCAATCCAGATCCAATCTCTCGTATCGGCCAGTCCAAGAACAGCTCGATTTGGGTAACAGAATAAAAATAAAAATATATTATTTTCTATAAACAAGTATACATAAATATTTTAGCTTATTTTGACTATTAAATAACTTCACACCTTCATATAACCACCCCAGCCCTCCAACCAATAAAAAGATCCGATTTTCAGGGAAGGGGGGCAAGTGGACGACCATAGCAAGGGCTAGCAGTGGTCGGCCCATTCCAGCTAGCTAGTAGGGGAAGGAGATGGAAATTAAGGGCAGAGTTCTTTCTTTTGTCCTTTCCTTTTTCTGCTTCCAACATCTACTGGCAGTTGCACAGTCCTGTTCTTTGCCCTTCGTCTGCTAGCACCAAAAAATATGCAATCACAATGAGAATCATCCAATTCAGTGGAGACCAGACAACTTCCAATAAATGCCCGTCTTTCAATTCCTAGGGATATTGGCTCTCCCTTTTGGACTAGATAGGTGTTTCCCTGCCTTTCGTAAATACTGCCAGCAAATGATTCTTGAGATAGTTGTCACCAAATCAAAATTTTCGATTAATTTCTACCATTTTACTAACTTATAGACCCCCCTCTTCAAAATCATTTCCGGGTTCACATGAACTCCACCATTCGTACTTGATTAAAAACTCTGAAAACATGAAGAGAAGAAAGGAGTTGAAAATGCCCAACAGTTTCTGGTACGTCGAGGCCCCTGACATTCAAGTTTTGCTGCTATTATAACACAGAAAGACTGGGGAATCATTTCCACCGACCAACCCCCCGCCCCACACCACATCCCCCGAAGAAAACGAAGACCAGAAAAGCCCCCGTTCAATATCGTTGTGTTTGATAACTGGAAACTTCAGTCTCCCTCCCCAACATTTCGCAAATCAGCACTGGGCCGATACTGTGAAAATATGATCGTATCTGTGGGATTACCAAACGCCAAAATTTTCCCCAAAATGGGGTCCACTTGTCAACTCTTGATTGAATCTGCAGTTGTCACGGAGTTTAATCTTCGGTATATTTAAGAAGAAACATAAACTTCGGTGAAAACTGTACGTACCAAACTAATCTGCATCTGACAGAACATGTAAAGCTATACAGAAAAAAAAATAAAGAAAAAATTACAGATATTCCTGGATTTTATTTGTCTCTGGGTACACCAAGAACTAATTGTATAAGAACAAAAAATCAGGCTGTCAAAATGCAGTTAAAGGCCTAACCAGCCCATTTCTGATTGAAACTCACTGTATGCATTTTTATTCGAATATAGTGACAACTGACCTTGCCATGGGCTTTCCTATAGACAAGTTTCAGCACCATAAACGATTACATCAACATTTATGTGATTAAAGGTCCAAAAGACTCTATCATGGCTGTTATCAGAGAATTTAAGGAAAAAAACTTGTTCATAAGGTATGTTAACGCTGTATGTCTTTTGCTTTTTCCCGTAAACCAGATCCTGAAGATTTGTGAAAGATTATCACCAAAATATTTTCAAATGGATGCAGGGCTATATGATTATTCATAAAAGACGTTCTCATTGTACACAATTATCACACTTCCATACGTATCTTCTTCTACCTCAATTACAAAACCTATATAAGCTAGTTATTTGGGATAGCTCACTTTTTAAGATAATCTTGATTGCTTAGTTTACTACAAAGTTCATTTATCCACATTTGTTTCTATGAGAAGCATATGATTATTTTTTATTTGCAAAGCATGTTCAACTACACCAAAATAGGCGATAAGTAATGTCAAAACATTTCTTATCGCCCACTCTGTGCAAGGGTAAAAACTAAAAAAATGATATAATTAAGTGTTACCATACCTCAAGTATGTTCTCATTTTCAGTGCACCAACAACATCAGATCGTACGATCTGGCCATTTCTGTTGACAAGCATATTTACACTCTCAACCACGTCCAAGAAAACCTGAAAGAAAAGCATATTTGAAAAAATGCTTTCCTTCATAGGATAGCTCTGTAGAAAATATCGAAAGATATTTGAAAGAAAAGCTCACTTCATTCTTCTTGTAGCAGACGCCTTCACTTCGCCATGAAACAGCATTTGTTACTGCCATTGGTGGTTTTTGAGTAACTTCCATTCTGTGCGCATCAGTTTTGATGAACTCACTAAGAATTTTTGCTTCAGTGAACTGAGGATAGCCAAAGTCCATGATTTCATCAAGTAGCTCATACTGTTTTGGAATAGGAAAAAAATCATGATTAGATCACCAAATTACAAGTTCCATGCCTACAATAATAAACATATTGGAAGAAGAAAAAAGATGATACCCATATTATGTTACTTACCACAACTACAAAGTTATCTCTAAGAGATTCTTCCTCCAACTCCTCGAAATAATGCTTAAATACCTGCACAAGCAGCCACATCCTAAATGTAGTGGAATAGATAACATAGGGCGTATGGAATTTACTCACTCGCTCGGTGTCTTTGAATACGAAAACAGTTGCAATAATCAAATGTCTCTTCCAACATCAAGGAGAACTCACATCCACAACACGATGTAGAAAGAGAATTATACTGGCAGAATTGCAATTCTGTCGGGATGCTGTCATCAGGAACAAATTATTGTGTTGAATGAACATGTAGGTGACACCATTATCATAAATGACAGGATCATGAGACTCTTGATCGCCCTGCACCAAATTAAATGAAGAGTGAGATAGTTCTTTAGGATTTTTATCAACCATAGAATGCGACAGATGGCGTTTTCTACATAGAAACGCGTCAACATGACAAGTTCCAGCTAATTATATTCAAATGCAACCGACGATAGACGACAAGGCAGACGAGAGTGCCGCAAAAGACTGAAGTAAACTTGTTCGACCTAATATTAGGGCGTATCAGTCCAGCAGAGTATTGCAAACTCAATTCCAGAGGAAACGAACAAGCTCAAAGCTATAGTCCGCTTATGACGGAATGAATGCCAAACAAGATTAGGTCTGTTTCTTCTCTGAGTTGGTGTGAGCAGAGAGAATGTACAGGAGCCCCTCGCTGACCTCCTTTTCTATCAGCTTGGTGAAGAACCGCTCCGCCTGCACCGCGGTAACGTCCCCCCTGTAGTCCCGCCACACTAGGACGCGGCCCTTCATGTCGAGGAGGAAGATTGCTGAGACTGCTCCCGCCATGGATTGGAGGGGAGGACCGCGTAGGAAATCTTCGCAAGTACCTCCGCCAGGATCAGATCCCACTCCCAGTTGCGGATCCAGATCTTAGCTCCCGACGGCGGAATGCTTTCATGGCTCTCTTCATGTCCTGTCCTAAACTCAGGAATCAATTCATCGCGACAGCAAACGAAGGCGGGGATACATAGAGCGAGGGAGAGAGAGAGAGAGACAGACAGAGGAAACGATCAAAGCTCTGTCTGAAGAGGAAGAAGGAAGAAGGAAGGAAGCTCGTGCTTGGCTATTGAGTTTTCGCATTTATAGTTTTAAAAACTGCGTAAAAATAATATTTAATATTAATGTAAAAGTGTTGAAGGTAAAATGTATTTGTGATCGCAGCAGATTAATTTATAATTATTATTTTAAGAAGGGGTATTTATGGAAATGGAAACCACCAAACAGAGTACCTATATATTTGCCCTGGGGGAGTTCTCCAGGTAGCAACGTCTGCTGCCGCGGGGCGGGAACCTTCATGTAACCGACTTTGGAGAGGGTTTACGAGTGTCACCGGCGTGGTGGGGTTGGAGGTGAGGGAAGTCAGCGGATACACAGGAAGAGGAGGGTTTTCTCCGTTGGACCGTATTCTGTCCGGAAGAGCGCCTCCAGGTGCCGCCATTTCCTGTGTTCACGCAGATTTTATTTCTTTTCTTGGCTCTTTAACTTCGAACTGATTGATTGTCTGAGAATCATGTCTGTGTATTCTTCCGTGCAGTAAAGAAAGGGATCGGTAACAATGTCGATCGACGAGCTGAACGATGAGATGGTGCGGAGCATGTCCGTCGGTGCTGCTTTCACAGATTACGTGTGTGCCGAGGCTTCGTTTGCTTTATCTCCTGTATATTGTCCCTTATTTTTCTCTCGAATTATTTAATTATATATCTCCTCGTTTTTCTATATTGCAACTTGTTTCTATCTTTATTGAACTCAAGATCGATTATAATTCAGTCTTGTGGAACCCGATGGTCTAGAAATTATGCACCTCTAGCGTTCCATTGGATTTCTTATTTTTTTAGATGTTCATTGGTCAAATGATGCTGTGAGTACGGTTTTTCAGCTTGGAAAGATTAACTCTCTGGACTTTCATCGCAAGGACGATCTTCTGGTCACTGCAAGCGAGGATGATTCTATACGCCTCTATGACATTGCCAATGCTAAGTAAGTTTTCAGAGATAATCGCATCATAAAACGAGCGATTAATTTAAAATGTTTACGGTGCTCCCAGTTATTTTTCTGGTTCATTATTGAGATTATATATGCTTCGTTGGTTAATATCATCAGTTATTCTGCCGTAGGAAAAGCAACTCTATGAGCCATGCCTTTTTCTAGTAGTTATTATTTATTTTTCTGTGTCAAATTCTTATACATTTTGGTTTGTCTCGGTCGTCAACATTGCAATTTCCAGAAGTTGTAATCATGCCTCAGTTGACTGCAGATTTTCCGTCAGATTGAGCCAAAAGCTATTTTCTTTCTATTTTTTTGTTTGGTTTTGGCCTGTCTACGCACTGCATTAGCATCCATTCTTAGAAGTTTGTGGCTGCATTTTTTTTTATCTTCAAGTTCTATTGTAAACCATCACACTATTGAGTCTCTTCCTGATATCTTTTAGTGATCTTCTGGTTTCTCACTATCTTGATGAATCACTTCAAGCCAAAAGTTTTGCAATGTGTAGAATGAATGTGGATTATGGGCAACATAGACGATATAATTTTTTAATTTTCCGAAAAACTCCTTCAGGAATTCAGGGTGTCGATATTATAGTCAACGTATTGGGAGACTTCTACTGAAGTTCCAATGTTTTTTTACGGAGCTCTAACAATTGTCAATATGTTTTTCACGTGTTTGTGATGGCCACAAAAAGTAGCAACTTCTCATGCCAGCAAAGGGATTTCTCGGATAAGTCAGGAGAAAGTGGGGCAGAACCCAGGGAAATGCGACAAACTGATTGTTTTAGTTGTTTGATCTATCCTCCTTAAATGCGAATAGATCTATGCTCTCCTACCGTCATATATTTGCATAGCCTTGAGTTTGCGTTACACAGAAATTGGAGCACCATTGTCCTACCTCTGCATTTAGTAGGAGCATTTTGGCAAACAGTACCAACTGCGTTAGAAGAGCTTGGATAAATTTTTTGTCTAAAAGCTCTTTCGATTCTTAAATTAGATTTCTATTGGTCTGATTACTGGCTGTAAATAGCCGTTGTACATAGATAGATTTATATCTATTCATGGCTATATTTCTTCAAACGTTGGTGATAAATCGTAACATGTGGTTTAGCATCTATTTAATATGATTTCTCTGTTCAAGTGCTAAACTTCTCAAGAAGCTAACATTTGTGGTTCAAAACTCAGGCTGCTGAAGACTACTTATCATAAAAAGCATGGTGCAGATCGGATATGCTTCACTCACCACCCAAGTTGTGTCATATGCTCTTCAAGACACAGTTTGGAGTCAAAAGGTGATGCTATTCTAAACATCATTTACAGCTGGATGTTTGGTGCCTTTTGGAATGTTAATTCTAAGTTGCATGTTATATTCCCTCTAGCTTGTCTTTAATGAGCTTTTGTTTTTCATATAGCCAGTTTGTTAAAATGTAAACTGAAAAAATTAAGGATACCACTGGATTGCTGCTTTGAGATTGCGGCCTCAGTTCTATTTCCATTACAATTTCAATGAATTCCAAAGAAGTTGATGAATTCCTCTTACTTCCTTTTTATGGTCTCGTTCATATGGATCTAATGATCCGACCTATTTTCCATCTTCTCCAGAGTTTCTCCGTTATCTTTCCATGTATGATAACCGGTGCCTCCGCTATTTTAAGGGTCACAGTGAGAGGTGGGTGTGTTGCAACGAAATGATTTTACGCTATATGCTCATTTTCTAACACAAACCATTATCTTTGGTTGTAGAATTGTTTCGCTTTGCATGTCTCCCGTTAATGACAGCTTTATGTCAGGATCTCTCGACCATAGTGTAAGAATATGGGATCTGCGTGTTAATGCTTGCCAGGTTAGACGCTGTGCTATCTACATATGTGCAATTCGT